TCGAAAGAGACTTATGTGTCCCCAAGGTTGGCGATGTCATTCAAATGCACGCAAGCAATTACGAGAAGCGACTCGGCAGTCACCCCAACGCACTAGCGAGGCGGCTCCTGTCCAAACCTAAGAAGAGAAGACTGAAGAAGTGCCATCCAAAGGATCTCCCCACAAGAGCCCTTGTATAAAATACATAGTATATATCATAAAATATAATCATTTTTCATGTAAAACATTGTAAATATTGTATATATGTACATAGATATAAGTGCGTCCTATAGATGCTTACTATAGACAACTTTTGTATTCCCTAACTTTCAACTAGCTTAAGCTGCCATATTGGTAGTAGAAAACTAGTTTAATAAATTGTATATATGTAAAAAAAGAAAAAAAAAAAAAAAAAAAGACGTTATTGAAATTGGGTAGCAAAGGAAATGGCGATTACAAAACCATTAAAAATTCGTATTTTCTAGGGTCAGGCAGGAGAACATTATGGGGTCGTTTATTTGGGCCGGCCTGGTTAAAAAAATGATATTTATTCTATATAAATATATAATTTATTTTCGTCTTCAAAACAGACTTCTGTTAAGCAAATACAAGTAGGTCAACCCGTATTTCTATATTCAATAGACTTGTTATAGTCCACGGCCTGGATGGCCTTCAGTTCCTTCAGAGAATCAATTCTGCTGGATACGGTAGCTGAGCGATCGATGACTTTTGTTTCATGTTTGGCCAAAAATGCCGTCACAATATAATAAATATATTTGCGCCTTGTTATAACTAATAAAATCAATCCATGCCGATTAAAATGTGTACATAATTAGTAGAATGTTTCCATTTCAAAATAACTTTAAAAAAAGTAACATGTGTACATTGCAGATACATCTTACAAAGTATGTACAAATGTTGCCTGAAGGCATAATTTGCCTTTTTCAAGTTTTACTTCGATTTAAACGAATACGAGTAAGTTACACTTATAAACAAATTAAAAGTCAATTAATAGCAATTAAATTGTGCATTTCGGATTAAACCAATTAGCTGGTGTAACAGCCTACCCATTTGGTCACTCATCCATCATTTGCTTCAGTTGTTCCTGTAGAGTACATAAATTTTTCTAGAAACAGAAAATTGCATTTACTTGTAGACTACATTACATAGACAACTTAGTACGAGTAATACATAAATAACTCAATTTCGAAGCTAATTACACTTAATAACAATTTTATTGACGAACGAGCGCAGGAAACAAAATACAACAGTGGGGCATGATATCGATCTCAAAAAGTTGCAGTGCTACTTTGATTGTTGTTGTTGTTTTTGTTGTATAGTAGTTGTTGTACAGCCTGTTATTTTGTTGACAGCAAACATTACGAGGCAATTACACCAACAAAATGCATTGACAACCGAAGCAGCAGTCGTTGGACAGCCACCAGCAACCATTCAGCCATCCACGCGCAACCACCGCGGGCTAAATTTATAGAAAAGTTTACAATTAGTGCCGTCGTCGTTGCAGCCGCAACAAATAAACCAAAACACAACAAACACGGGCTGCTGGCCGCAGACGTTGTGGCACCCACGCATTGGCCGCCAAGTGGCAACCACTAAGGCACACTCGCATGCACAAATGCACAGATACACACACACATACACACACAGCACAGCACACTCCACACAACGCACCGCACAACATGTCGAATATGAACGTATATACAAGTATGTAAGTACTGCTTGCCCCCACTTACCTAGTACGAGGCGGGCGTTGCATGCGGTTAATTCAAGATTCCGCTGCCAAGAAGGCAATGGGAGAAACGTGCCTACATGCCTTGGTCAAAGCAATTGTGGACTCCTGTACACACTCAACAGCGACTTGTGGACACACACACACACACACATACGCTTAAAGCATAGTCAGGCCATTTCCAGGCTCGTCAGAAACTATCTATCTAACGATCTTTGTGGCACAAAACACTGTTATTTATAACTTTTGATAATACATTCGCCCATGATCTGACACTATATTTATTAAGTTATTTATTCAATTAATATAGTAAAATTAAATTCAACACTTTCGTAACAAAAAATGTATTTTATCAAATTAATTATTTATTATGAAAGAGTAACATTTATTTTTTATTATTTCCTAGTGCGTCAAGAAAAATTCTTATAAATTACTGCACTCGTCACAAAAACGTACAACTTTTATTGAAAACAAATTTAAGACGATTTGATTAACGTACTTAATCTATTTTATAACATTAAGGTTCAATTTAATATATTAATTCGAACAATTGGATTGTTAGTTACTTATTATTTAAAAGAAATTTAAATTGAATTCTTTAATTGAAACTACCGCAACATTGTGGTAGTTTATTCCACATCCATTCCATGTAGTGTAAGTCTCTGACCCATTGGGGGAAAATTTGAGATCGGAGATACACTGAAAAGTAGAGAATCGCTGACCCGGTTGGTGCAGGTTTCGTAGCTAGTCTGGTAAGCTATGCCCATATCCTGTGCATACATCGGCCGTCTTCTTTTCTCATATGTATGTACTACAAGTATATGTCAGTCCAAAGGCGTACGCAGCCAATTTATTGTAAAACTGTATTCCAATTTATTAAGATATTCATATATATAAATTTTGATGTGTCAAATTAAATTATACATTTCCTTGAGTTTTTAGAAAAATCACCATTTTTTTCGGCAATTAACTGCCTGTGTAAGCTTATCATACATTATGTATGTAATAATATTGAAAACCACGTATATGTATATACTAATAAGACTGTTATATTTGAATTATCTTATTTTATTACAATTTAAACGATATTCAGTCATTGTAGATCGGAGCCATCTTTGGACTTTCCCCAGATTGCTAAACGACCCAATACAACAATCTGGTGACGCTCTAAGTCTACTAATTTAAGTTCTTGTTTTTTGTGTGATTGTTACGTCAGCTTGAGTATTTTTACAGTTTTACAATTTGTATTAAATTTTGCGTTAAAAATAGATGCAAAAACCTTATAAATGTTGGGACTCTTTTTTGGCAATGAGACTTCAAAGAAAATAGCCGCTTACCATGCCACTTCGCTTTAGAAGAGATCGTGAGTCCATCAAAGATGACGAACTTAGTGGCAGGCCGTCTTCATCAAAAACTGAATAAATTGAATGAAAAATGTATCAATAACCGCAAATTAACCATCAGAGAGCTGGCAAAGAACTTGAACATTACTTTTGGATCTGTTTAGGGCATTGGAGTTATTGATTTGGGTTTGCCACAATCTAACTTTTGATGAATGAATTTGTATTTTGCATTTTCTGAGTATATTCACAATATATGCTTTTGTATCGTCGAATGAAACATATTTAAATTTCATAAAAAGTAGCATTATTTTGTTTCGAAAATCCTTGGGAAATGAAGGATATTACAGAATCAAGGGTCTAATTTTTTGTTTGTGCACTATTCTTGGCATAGTTATTTCAAGTGATACGTTATTTGCTAATTCGGAGGCTATTTTAAAAATATCATTGAAGACTTGAATTATAATTTTATATCTTTGTACATATATTTCGGATGTTTATGCCTATGACAATTATTGATCAGTTTTTATAGCTTTATGAGCTTTTATTTGAAATGAGTTATTTTATTTGCACTTTGTGGTCACAGTTGGACGACCGCCACAATTTTTCTAGGTTTCTCAAATAATTTTACAGTCATAAAACAACAATATATTAAAAGAGGTGTATATGCAACTTTTTACATCTTTAGATTATCTATGTAAGTATATGTGTATTTGATTTATGTTCAGGGTATATTGCTCATAGCCCAAAATATTAAAGAAAAGGCACTGAATACGGCGGACTTAGGTACTTACTGAGCCCTTGTGAAAATAAGTAATTAGTTTCCAACCGAGTCAATTTAAATAACTTTCGGCTCTAATAATAGAAGCCAGTTTTTTATCCCTCTTTCCCAAAAAACACATATTGGGTAAATAGTGGAATGAAGAATTTTAATTTCATGCCCTCTTTTCTTGCACACTTCTATGTTGTCTTATGGTTGAGGCACTAAGGACATTATTAAGCACACGGTAATTAAGTTTTCACAAAATGTTTTTTGGGGCTTTGGGTGGACAAGAGCCCAGCCCAAGACTTCAGGTTACCGGGCAAGTCCTAGGCAAATGCTTGGAGAACTTTGCTGAATGTTGTTGCAAATTTGTTAACTGTCATTTGTGGTCGAGAACATGCAACAGACAAAGCAATACAATGCGAAACATGGAGGTGGAGGCAACTGTTGGGATGCCAGCACTTACTGTTTGTGTTTAGAAGTAATTTATTTTGTATGTTAGTTCTTGACCACAAATTGCAACAATGTGCGCAAATTAAACAGCAACATCAACATTTGCAAGGCTACTACACTTTAAGTGCAGCAACAACAACAACATCAAAGAGAAAAAAATCAAAATAAAATATTATATAGCATATTTCATGGCGTTTACAGGGCAACGCACACACACACACAATCACACAATGTTGTTGATGATGATGAATGTCAGACGCATAAAAGAAGTAATTTTGTGTGAAAACGCCATCAGCCACCCAACGCCCCACTTGGAGGCGTGGCCCGAAGCAGTTACAACTGTTAATGACATTTACGAATGTTTGTGAGGGACGCGATGTCGGAGTCGGGTCGATTCGCCAGTTCTCTCAACCGTAACCGTCGCTACACATAATGCCAAAATAATGACCCTGGCTGGGCTTCCCAACCGGTGCGGCTCCTTTCCATTGCCAGACGACATGCCATAGAAAAATGACGCGGAAACTGTCAAAAACTCCGAGCTACGGCTACGGTTACATTTGTGGCTCGCTATACAAATGACCACCCTCGTGGCTGCCAGCAACACGCCTTTCCTCTACCCCACGAAAAAATTACATAATAATGGCGTCAACATTAGCAAATTGTTCCTTGGTACCTTTCTTTTCAACGGGCAGACAGAATTTAAACACATTTTCCCTGGATTTTCCTTGCCGATCCAAAGGCTCGTTCCTTCATTTTATTTATAACGATCATGCAAAGAAATAGCGATTGCAATAAAGAAACCACACATAAGTTCAATAAAATTAGTATATAGTATAGTACATCGCTTAAATTGGAAATGTGTTCAATGTTTTGGGATAGGGAAAATGTTATTCAATAACTGGAATGCGTATCTGAAGCATTTTACTTGTTTTATCGAACAGTGCCTGAGCACGCTCTTGGTGCAAGCGATAATTGAGAAACTTGTCGAAAACTATTCCATACTTTAAAGACTCGACCAAAATCCGATCCTCGCCAATATCCACGCTCAGTTCTTGTGAAGATATGCAGTTTGGCAAATACAGTTCAGCATAAATTTCTTCTGCGACATCATCCTTAACTCTAGCACGAAGCTTATATTCAAAATTCTTGGAATTAACCTTAGGAATGGCTCTTTTTAATTTAACTGAGTTATCTGCACGAACATCTTCGCTCTTTTTTGAAAGGTTTTCCAACTCCTGTTCATCAATCTCCTGCACCAACAATTGTTTTTGCCCTCCACATCCGTCCGTATGTCCGTATTTTTCACTGTCATCATCGTTTCGCACACGGTGCGAGACGAGCGTGTCAATAAATTTGCGATTATTAAGTATGATAATCCTTTCCATTGATATTTGTATGTTGTATTTCTCACTTAGTGCCTCGGAAACGAGGTTCAAAAAGAAATTGTTGAAAAATTGCGATCTCTTGATTTTTTTCAAAAAGCCTGGGTTTATGGCTATGTCGCAAACTTCGACGGTGTTGCCGGAACGATCCTTGGTATTTCGTGGCTCCGACAGGCTCATCGGCACACGCCAGTCCGGTGTTGGCGATTGCAATATTTCAATAAGCTCGATTTCGGTCACATCTCTTGGAGATGGCACCTCGGGAGCTTGGCAAACGTTCATGAAGAATTTCTCATTGGTATTCACTTTGAAGCTTTTGACACAGAACCCCGGCTTGGGTTGTACTATCAAGGGCTCCCGAGGTGTCACGTTTCCAGATGACCCGGCGCCGTTGAGCAACTGACTTATGTTCTCCTCGAGTTCATTACGCACAAAACAGAGGTCCTGCGCGTCACTTCCTTTGAGAAATTTCGACGGGCCAGACATTGTTATTAATATCCAAAAATCTTTTAAGGTATTACAATTTCTTTAATTCAAATTTTTGTGACGAAAAACCAAAGAGATTTCAATGTTATACAAGTATATTCTTATTTGACAGAATATTCTGGGCAATATTGGCAGACCTTACAAAATATATAAGTACAAGTATATTCTAGATCAGCATGACAAGACGAGCTGAGCCAACCTTGTAGGACTTTCTGTCCGACTGATGCTGTTGAAGTTTCTTTTATTTTTTTGATTTTCCCCCCACTTTCCTGATAATAGGATTTTTCCGTAGCATCGTCAGTATATGTACGTTATTTTTATATTTTTAAACTTATATAGTAACTAATTTAAAAATTTCTTTATAATTTTAATAATGAGTCGATCCTTCCTTGTTGAGAATGATCTCATAGATACAATTTGTTCAAAAATTGCAACTCGCACGTACCATAATAGAAGATAGCTCCCCCCAGCATTACACCGCCAAGGCGATCCAACTGATGCTTCTCCATTCGAAGATCATGGAAATAATAGAATTTGATTTAATAGTATTTCCCTTCGAGCATCGTTAAGGTTTTTTTTTCAATCTTTTCAAATGTGGCGCATTCCTTATCACCCTTTCAACAGTAGGTGCTTCTCTGAAAATAACTCTTTTATCAGCATCGGCTATCACTTTATTACCGCATTTATTATTTTTACCATATCCTGACTTTTTAAGTAAGAAATTGTATACAGTGTTGTTCCCAGACAAACTTCCATCACTGAGTTATATGCGCACATAGCAGAAGCAAAACCAGGAAGAAGAGCGAACTTGTTGCTGCAGTTTGGGAGTGTTGTACTGGAGAGAATTTGTTTCGCTAATAACTTTTCTTAGAATTGACCGAATTGGATAATATTTTAAACAGCAGTAGATAACTATATATAAATTATGTGTAAAAAATGTTTGGTCTAGGTAGCATTTGAAATGTGGGCAGTATTAACGAAATTCTGTAGCGGGGGAAGGGGGAAAATTCAAAAAAATAAAATAAACTCGTCCTTTCTCGGACCTAGGAGAATCTGAATACCAAATTTGGTTATTCTAGCTTTTATAGTTTCTGAGATCCTTGCGTTCATCCAGACAGACAGACGGACGGACATGTCTAGAACAATTTCTCTCGTCATGCTGATTCAGAATATACTTGTATATACTTTATGGGGTCGGAGATGCTTCCTTTCGCATGTTACATACTTTGCACAAACCTAATATACCCTTTTTACCGTACGGGTACAGGGTATAAAAATCATATAACGGTATATTGATATCACATGTTCTCTTTATAGGTGACAGTGCATACAAAGATGAGAAAAATAGAAAACAAAAAAGTAGCTTAAAGGTAACAACAACAAAATCAGAAGCAATTATATTCGGCTGATGTAGGTGTGCTAACCTGATGACGCGCAGTGTACTATATGTACAGAGTAGAGATGGGCACGGGCCGACTATTTTCGGCCCGACACGACACGGCCACGAAATTAACTTTTAGAAACACGCACGCAGAGCTGACAGGGATATTGAGTATATGCCTTGATAATTGCCTTAGCATTTTAAATTTTGTTGCTTTTTTCCAGAATGTTAGCACACAAATTCCTGGATCAACAACACTACTTATATAAACATCTATTTCAATATCCATTCTTGACCTATCCAATTTAATTTTTTTTTTTTTGAATTATTAGTGTCCAAAAATTTAGAAAAGTCGTGTTGACTATTGGGTGCTTCGTTTTCTGATTCAAGTGTTAAATCGTTATTTAAGCTATCATTTATTTCAGCTAGCATCGATTTTAGTGTTCTTTCGTGTTTCCTCGTGCGTGTTTTGTCGTGCCTTTTTGGCTCAACACGAACACGCACGGCCACGCACGAAATCGGAATTTACAACACGAACACGCGGGCCCACGCGTGGCACGAAGTGCCACGACAAAAAACACGGCCCGTGCCCAACTCTAGTACTGAGTACTCTGAATTATGTTTTTACACGGTAGATTGGTTCCAGAAAAAGTCGTGAATACCTCCATTTTGTTTTTACACGGTTTGAAAATTAAAAATTTTATATATGGTTACACGACTATATTCCATTTAGCACGGTACATTTTCCATATGGGGAATGTCTTTTTTACACGATTTTGTTTTTACATGACTTTTTTAGGAACCAATCCACCGTGTAAAAACAGAATTAGGTGTAATGTCTTAAAGAAATTTTCCGATGGAATCAAGCTGCTCTCTAGTGCTTAACATGACCCTCTCTCAACAATAAAATGGGAATAGTCATTAGAAATGAAAGACAACACTGTTTAATAGATCAAATATTTATTTAAAACTTTGCCTAATTGCAGCGACCTTATAGCTACTGTAATTCTTTTGTTGCCTCCTGCTGCTGCACCTTTTGATTCTCTTGTGGTTGTGCTTCTCCTTTACCATCGTTTAGTGTCTGTAAACCTCTGTTTGGATTATTGTGCGCCTGCCACCAATCGCTGACATATGAACGCAAACTGGACAGTGCCAACACGCCATGCGTATCCAACTGTTGTTCGTTGGCTAACCAGCGGCAATATTCTTCCCGCTTAGAGGCACCTGCTCCTCCAAAACTGCGCACATATCGAACTCCTGATATTTGCTCGGGCCAGTGCCTGGCGGCGCAGTCAATCAGTAAATCGAGCTGCTTCTCAGACAGAGCCATATACTGTCCACTGACCGCCGACGTCTTCTGGAGCACATTCAACAGTCTTGCTAGTGCAGCCACCGATATGCGCGCCGAGAGCAGCGGCAAGAAACTCAGCATCACACGGTGCAACCGAATCTGCAAATTTGAATAGTCGAGCAGCTCTGTTCGGTTGGCGGCCATCGAAAACCACAGATTGCATGCAATGGTAATGAGACCCTCGATAATGTCGAAATGATAAAACTCAGTTTCACGGATGACACCCGCCAACCAGGCGAGGATACCTACATGCTCCAGCATGATCTTGACGGCACCGGGTATTTTGGCACAAGTCGATAACAGGGACAATATTAGTAGATTCACTTCCAGCCCTGATAAGTTGCAGCTAAAATAACTAAGCAGAACCTTGAACGTGTTGGTAGACACAAGCAGGAAGAGATCGCCACTGCATTTAATGCCGGAACGGAGCAGGTCCACAATCCACTCGCGATACTGCTGGTGCTCCACCTCTTGCGAGTAAAAGAAAACATTGAATTCCGGTATCGTCTGGAAGTTGAAACTCTCCTTCAGCTGCAGATACATCATTAACCGTTTGTACAGTAAGTGAGTGGGGTCCGTGCTCAGATTAAACGTGCGTGCAATGAAGAGGGCGGGTATAAGAGGTACACGGGGCGTGCCTCCATGTGTGCGTCTCTGCGCCAACCAGGATTCACGAAGATCGTTCAACCCCGCCTGTATATTGTCGTAAGCCTGTGTCCACAAGGGTTTTTCAAAGAATTTGGCCTGCTCGAAATGTACCCGATAACGTTGCTGACAACAGGCAGCTGCCAATCGCATGTCCTTGTCTAAAGAAGACAGCGCACAGAAGCTCAGCGCCAGCAATCCGTTCTGTACAGGCCAAAGTGACCGCACCACAGAGTCCGGAGCAAAACAGTGCACCATTAGCGGCACAATAAATGCGGGATCATAACAACTCTCAAAAACATCCGAACGTTTGGGGCATAGCCGACGCACCGACTGCTCAAACTCTAGCTGTCCCTGCTCCACTTGGTGTTCCAGCGTATTGTTGCCAAACCGCAACGCTTTCTTTTGTGGATGCACAAACTCCACTTCGGGCAACTGCTCGCTGGAATGCAGTGCCCGCCACACCGGATAGTTTTCTATGGTATATTTGCATTGTTGGGGAACAATCAAGGACATAACTTGGGCCACCGCTGTTTCCTGCTTCTGCAGTTTGGAACGCTCATCTTCTGTGGCTCTTAAAGCATAAAAAGCCTCGGCGCTTTCGCCCCAAATGAAAGGGCGGTATGCTGCCAGGCCCACATCGTACCGTTCGTAATGCTCCAGCAGTGCCAGGGTAAAGCGATCCGCATGGGTCAGACGCGCCTGATATGCTCCTAGCAGTATGGGTATATGCGCAGACTGTAAAGCCTGTGGCGCCTTACGTGCCAGCGTCTCGAGCAACTGCAGCACATGTGTTTTCACTGCAGTCGGGGTGCTGGCATAGTCCAGTAGATGATCTAGGCAACAAGAATGCGTGCACACCATTTCATAAAGCAAAGCTGGCGTGCTTGTGTTTTCTTGTTGCTCCCGACTTTCGCTAAAGTCCTCGTAAAGATGTTCACACAAATAGGCCAACAGCTTGAGCAGCAATCCATTTGTAATGTCTCTGGCTTCGTCAGCAGCCTGCTCCTCCTTCGCTAGAGCCATTTTCAAACAGCTCTTGCAAAAGTTAACCCATTGAGGCGAATTCAACAAGCGACTCCAGTCCAGCGCTTGTTGCATCTCTTCGCTGCGCATTTGCTGCCACCATTCATAGCAATTGTAAGCTAACTGCTCCAGTTTTTCCAGCTGCACCATCTGCTTCTTCAAGTCCAGAGACAGCATTTGCACCTGTATACTGATATAGTTCACAAATATTGCAGACTGTTGCTTCACATTTTTGGCAGACGCTTCAAATGCTTGTTTATAAATCTCGTGTAGCACCCGCATTTGATACAATTCCACAGCATCAAATTTCAGCTGCTTGTTACAATAATCCACACACTCTGATTTTGGCATGCAATTAGCAATGAGAGCGGCACTGGCCTCAGCATTCTCGCGATAAATAAGTGCAGCCTTTTGAGGCTTTTCTATGGATTTAAGCAGGCCAGATTTGTATACTTGATAGCAGCGTTGCAGCAAGTTCGTCTCCAGAGTATATTTACAACTAAACGCCACATCTAACAAAGGATATATCAACTCTTTTTGCTCCACATGTTCCAACAGTAAAGTGCTGAATTTTGGAGCCAAATTTTCATTTCGCTGCAGCAGCAAAGAAGCCAAGCGTACGGCCGATTTGCTCAACTTTCGCGCCGCACCAAAGAAGCATCCAAAAAATTCTGCATCGCAGTCTGCAATATGATGATGATAGTGCAGAAGAAAGTCGCATAGTGCCACCTCCAATTGTTCAAGCTGCTGCTCACCAACTAGTCCAGATAGTTCTCCACAATAGTCCGCATAATAGAGACGCAACTTGGTCATGATTTCGCGACAATCAACAGGCTGCTGCAGTGCAGCCAAACGCTTCAGTAAGTGCAGCAACAGTTCGTAGTAATGTGTTGCCTTCGCATGAACAAAATAGTCGGCCGATTGCAGCTTTGACGTCAGCAGCGCCAACATTTGCATACATTCTTCGGCATTGAGTTCAAATACCTTAACCAACTCCACACATTCGAGCAGCTGTATGGCTTCTTCGCCAACTTCTTTCCTGGTGCTCAGTGCTATATCCAATGCATTAACTACTTTCAAGCGATAGTTTCCGGTATATGAGGCAAAGTTGGGCAGCGTGCGGCAGTGTTCCGTTAGTAGGCGCAAAAAATGAACATAGTGCAGCAGTTGGTCATTGTTTTCGCTACTGAAGAGCTTAGTTAGCTGCATTTGACTGAGACGCACTCCATATATGTAGTGTAACAAACGTTGCACATGCGTTTGTTGCTCCTCCTCATTCTCATGCGTTTCTGGCTTATTCAGATCCAATTGAGCGGCAATTTGCAGTAATCGCTTCATGTATAATGCGGCCTGTTCGGATATCTTAAAGCTCAGTTGTTGTTTCGCCATAAGTTGGGCTACATGGAACAGCAACACCTGGACATACAACATAATGCGTGATGTATTTTCCAAGCTATGATGCAGATGCACAATCTCTCCATTTTCAAGCTTCAATTTAAACTGCAAACTATTATTTTTTGCTGGTTTAAATAAACTCTCAAATTTCGGCGATTCCGCAGAGAAAAGTGCCTCCTGCAAATTCGCCATCAGGGGCCACTGTTTGACCACGCTTGCATCCAGCATTTCCGGTTGCGATTGCGCACTCTCCAATTGTAACCAGCTCTGCATGTAATTGTTATGGATTTGCAAGTGCTGTGAATAGAGTTGCTGCACTTGCTCCGGTTTTGTATGGTAGTGGTAGAGCAATACAAACACCAACTCGAAGTAGGCATCGTAGGGTGGCTCAATTGACACACCCTGCAGTATCAAGGGCATCAGCTTGCTCAGCGTTAATGTCTCAACATAGGCCTGCACCGTTTGTCCCTCTTCGATTTGTTTAAAAAGTTGCTCCAAATTTTCCACATTGCTAGCGGTTTCACGCACTATTATCTCAGGTAGCTCCACCACACTAAAATCTAGCTGCAACGAAATAAAAATTAACATTTGAACTTCCTCTCTGTAAATTGTAGTGGCAAATTTTAAATCCTTCCAGTTCTACGATTTCTTCCGATTCACCACAATTCTCGCATATGTCGCAATAACTCACCCGAAAAACATTCAACAATATGGAAAGCACATTGTCCACTATTTCTGAATCGAAGCCATGCAATGCCTCCAGCCACAGATCGATTTCATAGCGACAGGAATCGAATATGCCAGTATTGTAAAAGAGGCGATGTAGTACATTACCAGCCTCAGCACTAAGCTCTGAGTCCTGGAGGAGATAGGCGCGCACAAAGGAGCGCAAAACCTTCTCAAAAAGTTGTTCCTGTGGCTGAAGCGTTCCTGGAAACAACAGTAAGATCGTCTTAATGGACTTTATTTCCAATTTCATTTTCGACACTATGTCCAGCTGCTTCGATAGTGGCTGCGTATCGTTCTTAACTTGCATTTCCTTGGTGACCCCTTTTTTCAGATCATCAAAATCAAGTTCGTAAAGAGGACGAAGTACATCCAAATAGTCCAAAATTTTACTCGTTCGATTGACAAATGCGCGATTCTCCTTGCACATAAGCAGCACCAAGTCCAAAGTTACAGACAAATGTTCCAGCACATTGACGGACTCCACCAGCTGATCATTTATGGAGATAGAGAGAGAGAAAAGTATGCTTTCCACAGTGGGGAAGTTAACGAGCACATGATTTAACAGTTCGAATTTGAAACGACGCAGCGAGTTGATTGCGTGCTTGGATTTTTCACGCCGTGCAATCGCACTTATATAATTGCTGTATTGGGTCATCATGGCAAGCAGTAATCGATTGACTGCTATGCGCACACAATAGTCTTTGTGCCTTAATATTTGTTGACTGACCGTTATGAGTAAAGCCTCAATAGGCAAGCAAACTTCCTTGATCCAGTAGCTCAAGTCCGTCAATGTCATTTTTTGCATGGCCGGCGCAATGGCCTCTGGAGGCACAGACTGAATGATTTTTGTGAGCAATTCGGCCGCATGTGTTAAGTTACTCATTGTAGCATTGGTGGGACTTAGTAGGCTCGCATAGTTGCGTACAGTATGGCGTGCCAGTTCTGGACAAGCGCGTAACGTCTCCGTTATCAACTCAATCTTTCGCCAATTTTCATAAGGACGGTGAAGTGTGCCGATCATTTTTCCTGCAAAAGAAATAGTTTATGAAGAAGTTTAATGCACAATACCACTACAAACTAAAAGGTTTGGGATTGCATTCGGCCTTTCCAATTTAACAAATAAATAAAGCTTAAATAAAGCTGCATTTTATATGACATTACAAATGCCTAAAAACTTTAAATGCAGTACAAAAAGTTCTGGAGTTTAAACAAAAAACAGGCGATATGATATGAAATAATTATTAAAATTACCTTTTGAATAACTCGTCTACTTAAAACGAAAGCTACTATAAATTTTGTAACAATACCATTGGCTTACCTTGTAGGGAATTGTGCTTTTGGCGGTAGTGTGTCACAGCATCAAAGGCGATGCCGTGCTTACGAGAAGTAAATAGCATCAGGAGAAGTGAGTGTGTGGCCGTAGCCACAGCTTCCCGTTCTTCGGGAGCAGCCAACTGCATTAGCTCAGAATTGTTTATGCGTTTGCCACTGAAGTGCGAAATAAGGGCCTTTGGGCCAAGCCAGTCGTAGAGACGCCGTAAATGCTTGCAGCATTCAGCATCGAATACAAGAATTTTCTTCGTCTTGGAAATTTCTGGGCACTCGAGCACGTATTGTCGCAAGGCATTGAGCACCACACACACTGTCACATGATCGTCGTAAAGTAAACCACCGGCTAGCAATGTGATCAGGTGTCCCTTGTCCAGTATATTTCGTATTAGCAGCGTGTTTCCGTCGACAAGAAAAGCCAGTACAAAGTGTATGTAGGCTTTGCGCACCGTGTCCTCCTCGTTACAATCTGAACGCGAATGAGAGAGCAAATGCGTCCCTGTTTTGGTGTTGGAGAGTGTATCGTAGGAGCTAAGCACTTGCCGACCAAGTTGGGGTTCTACACACACAATGGCCGTCAACAGTTTAAGTGCATTGCGGCGATGTTTCGGGTTGGCCGACTGCAACAGCTGCTCTACGACGGCACCATGGGCCTTTAAAAAGTACCGACAACCATGTGCCGCAGACTCCATGTGACTCTTTTGATTGACCAGTATCTCCATCACAACGCGCTGCAGTGCTTCACACAGATAGCTTAGGTGAAGCACATTGCTTTTATCGATGCGTTCGAAAGCCTCTGCAAGTTCCAACGGTTTTCCACGCTTCTCAATGTACTTGGCCACAATTTTTGGACGCGTGTCACACATATACAAAAAATGACGAAGTTCTGTGTAAAGAATTTTCGTTAATACCTATGCCTTTATATCTATATCTATACACCCACCGGTAATAAAGTTTTTGGTCCGTAGCCGGCTGCGAAAGTGCATCATTTTGAAGTCATTTGGAAAACGCACTTTCGGCTCTTCCTCATAGCCAGTACCCGAGTCAAGGTTTTCATGAAGATAGCCATTTTCAGTTAATTCCATGGCCTCAAAAGAACCTTCATTTTTCTGCCCATGCTTGCGTTTTGACTTTTTGGTGGGCGTTTGTAATTCCACCTGTTGACCACCGTCAACATTTTTAGCTGCTTCTACACTTGTGGCAGCTTTGGCTTTTTTTGACTTTTTCTTTGGAGAGTGATTTGTATCCACTTCATCGACATCAGCCAGCCCACTATCGGCCTGTTCCTGTTCGGCTTCTCCCAGCTCAGCCTTTTCCTTTTTTGGCGTGTGGAACTGCTTCATCTGTTTTTTGGGCACTGCCCCTTCACCATCATCTATACCATCGGCGGTCTCATGTTTTCTCTTGCGCCTATTCGCTTGTATGGCCATCTTACAAATTAAATTTCTATATTTCACATATATTTAGTTATATATATTCTTATGCAGAATTTAAGAAAGGAAAATCGTTTACTCCAGTTGCACGTGTGCGTGCTTCTTCTTATCAAAACGCTGTGTCGGCAGAGTTGCCACATCGTTGAGTCGGCTTTTCTAAATTTGCATCAGCAGCCCTCGTTCTCTTATTGCCTTTATGTATGTATGTATGTTTGAATTCATTTTGCAGCTATGACGGAAAATCCGAGTTTAAGTGCTGAAAAAATGGAAAAAGAACAAACAAACACTGCCGAAGAACCCACAGGTGTGTCTGAAGATTCCACTGTTGAAGCTATGCAAGAGCAGCTCTCGAAGTCAATAAATCTTGGTGAAGTGGGCCATGGCGAAAACAACATTAGCATGACAGATGAAAAGCCGGCGGGAAAAGCAGGAAAAAATAAATGCAGTCCTAAAGCTCGTCGCACCGTAGCTGGCACTGACACCAGCATTGAACCAGATATCAGAAAACTGAAGCAACGACGCATAAATGTAGCTGGTGCACCCAAAATGCCATTAAATGGATATGTGCGCTTCATGAACGACCGCCGAGAGATGCTGCGACGGGATTACCCTAACCGTACTGCCCTGGAGCACACCAAGATGATTGGCGAGGAATGGCAAGCGTTGCCCGATGAGCGCAAGGCTCCGTATCTGGATGCAGCAGCCAAGGATAGAGCCAAGTAAGCGTAAGAATACTTTAGTAGATTTTGTATTCAACTTTTATATTTCTAGATATCACGAGGAATTGAATAAATTTTTAAAAGAGCATCCCGATATCTGGAACAGTGAACTGGCCAAAATCAATAAGTCCAATAACTCTGCGACAGTGGACCAAAAGATTGGTGGAAACAAAGAAAAGTCCAACAACAACATTAGCACCAACAACAGCGGCGCTGGTACTAGCAAAAAACAAGGCCCTAAGTGTGCGGAGGTCAAGCGTCAATCTGGTACTAATTCAAACCCGGATGACCTGTCGGTTTTGCAGACCCTCCCGCCATCCGCAGCCCACACCCCGGCAGTTACCCGCCCTTACACAGCAACAGAAATACCCATCTTTACAAACGAATTCCTTGATCACAACCGAAATGTTGAAATTGAGCTACGCACCCTGCGCAAAACCAAAACCGATTTGGAGCAGCAAAATGATGTTCTCGGACAGCATGTGGAAAACACAAAGGCCGGAAGCGCGAAAATTACGGGCGAAGTGGCCGAATTGCAGGAAGAAACCAAAATCCTAAAAGCCTACAACAAGGCGTTGCGTCAAAAGTTAATACTCGCACTGCGCGGCGTTGGCCTGCCCGCGCTCAGTATCAATGGGCCAACAGAAGATAACCTTGATAGGTATATGCAGCACCTGGCAGACTTGACCACTACAGCTACGGGTCAGAATGATCCCACATTTCAACTAGCGCGAGATTTGCTACTCAATGTAGATTTTACTGATCTTCAAAAGTCGTGAGCCCTGCAACAAACAGTATTGAATCGATAAGAGTTTATCAGCAAAGTTCAACTATTAGCAATATAAAATTAATTGGAAAATAATATGCATCTACATTATGTATATTCTTCTTTTAATAAATTCTTTACAACTTGGAAATAATTTACGTATGTATATGTTCCTCCTCGGAGGCGTTGCCCCCGCTGGCAATACTATCACGACTGCGTGACGACAAGCTTCCAGCGCTACGATAGGAACGTATCCGAGGAGTGCGCGCCGGCATTATCCGACTAGCCGCAAGCTCGGTTCCCATCTGAGCCTTACGACGCTGCAACATCTTGCGCACAAAATAGACCGCGCCCAGTAGCATTGGAATCAACATGAAAGGATGACAGGCAATGCGCAGCACCAGAAAAAAACAGAACATCATAAAGTTTATAAGCAGCTCTGTAAAATAACAACCGCGTTCTGCATTTAAAATGACTAACTATATACATATAAGACCTTACGTTCAATGTGCCACAATGTGGAGAAGGTTGTGTAAATCGCCGTTGACACGGCCTGTAGCATCGCGTAAATCATTTTAGTGTTGTTTTTTTTTTGAGACTAAATATACGCTACGAACCAAATGACTTGGAAAATTTTTGAAAATTGGTCTTTACTGACTTCAATGACCCAGTTTACTATGCTATAACAAATTTATAATAAATTCAACTGTAACTTGGACATTTTTAATATACTAAATAAAATACGAATTCATGCTGAAATAATACTTACATATCCCTGGCTTGAACTCTGTAAAGCTTCAGGTGAAGAAACTTATTGCATTAGTTAGTTATTTGAACAGCCCCATCTCTTCCAATAGATTGTGTACTCAAATATCTTTTTACTACTTTTAATCTTCCAATATAGTTTTTGTCATTCGGCTTTTCCAAATCACGTTTTATATGTCATAAATGCATATACGAGTACATATAAGCAAATAGCAAAGTTCTCCGTTTTAGTAAATAGTGAAATCCAATGCAGCTCAATTCGTAAGAAGCAAAAACTCGGTGGCTAATAAACTTTTCAACCCTTAAAATGTAATGATAAGTGATATTAATTTTTTAATATAAAATATCAACATTTTACAAATATTTGTAATCTGCAATTTTATCAACTGATAAAAACAAAACTTAACAAATAATTAACCCAATCAATATATAACTGAAAAAGTGTAAAGTATTTTTTCCATTATTCAGCGACAAAAGATTTATTTTCTTTACTCGTGTTTTACTTCGTCATAAATAAACTAAAGCGCTCTTCAATGCAGTTGCATTTGTGGTTTTGTTTTTAATAGGAACAGCAAATTTTAAACAAAAAATAAATTAAAAACTTAAAATCATATTTTCAAAAAGATAATTCTAGATCATAGCGTAAAATTAATGTTTATGACAAAATAATTTAATGAGATATGCGTAAATCAAGGGCGCAGACTTCCAAAATATTTCATTAATGTAAGGAAACCTTCTAATTGGGCAAAATTAAATAGCTTGTTTCACTCAAAGCCGTCGCTAAAATACTCAATCAACGTTTACAACAGCTAATATACTTTGTTTTCTGTGAAAATAAATACAATCGCATTTTCAATTTTGCATTTACGTTATTTTTATAAATTGTTCAAATGTAATGTGGGCTTATTTTAAATCAAGTCAATTTTTGTTAAGTTTAACTTTTCTGCCGGCTGGTAAACATGTGTACGGTTGAGGTGTGTAAAGGAATTTGGAAGGGACAATCGATTCTAGGTGGCACTTTGCAATCCAAGTACACGCACTCTTAACATTAATACAGAGATTTCTTTCGACATTAATTACTGGCTCTTTTTAAATGTGCTAAGAAGCATTTTAGTTGGTAATTTGGTCTACAAAATTAATATACTTGGGTAGATTTCGCATAAACTAAAGACTTTGTAAATTCAATTTAATTTAAATGTATTCATAATAAAAAGGATGTTCGACGAAAATATGTTAGCATTAAAATATTCAGTGATAACTCATGTAGCAACCACATGAGTGGAAATTTGACCTCGATTAAAATAAAAAAGGCTGATAGCCGGAGGAAGTAGCTTCAAACGTTAAGTTTAAATAAACAAATCATCTTTCAGTTAAATTGTTAAATTAGAACTTCAAATTTCAAATTTTAGAAGGATTTCGGATTTTAACTTAATGCTTCTGAAAATAAAATGGTTTATAAACAAAAAAAATTAACCCGTTAGGAAATATGCAACTGCTGATGGTGTATTCATTTCAGTAGCTGTACATATTTTAATAATTAATCTTCTTTACTGACACATTACGCATATTGTTTCATCATTATTTATCATTACGAAAAGTCATAGCAGAATGTGGTTCTGCATTAAATACTCCATCCCTATGAACGGGCAGTGTTAATGTCCTTTAAACGTGTGGGCAGCCTTAAAATTTGTAAGTGCCATACTATTGTAAATATTTTGTGGAAAGTGGGAAATGGGGATTACTGTTGTATTTAGAGGCCCCGTGGACTCAAATAAAATTGCTTATGCTTAAATACGGACATTTAGATATCATATGCGAACTGATGGTGGCTATTGTAGTCCAATTGGAGTTGCTCATCAGTTGCTGCTGTTGTTGCTTTTATGGTTGTTGTTAAAAGTATATTAATCTCAAACTTGTCGTCTAAGTAGCATATGCGATGCGGCCGACGACGACGACTGTTGCGACGACAACGGCTGCTTTTGCTGTTGGCGTCAGGCATCTGTGCCGTTGGGATTCATGCCGACAGGTGCAACCATCATGTTGCCTGTCTTGGGCGTGTACACGCTGGCGTTCGGATCCAACGTGGAGACGCCACCATTGGCTGCCGCATTTGCAGCTGCTACGTGCAGTGCAGTGGCCACACTAACCGGTACAATTTGCTGCTGCGAGACTGGCACCGCCTGCTGCTGCTGCTGTAGTTGTTGCTGCTGTTGCAGTTGTTGTTGCTGAAGTTGCTGCTGCTGGAGTTGCTGCTGCTGTTGTTGATGTTGTTGATGCTGTTGATGCTGTTGATGCTGCTGGTGCTGCTGATGCTGCTGATGCTGTTGATACTCCTGTGCAGCGTTGAGACTACTAAGCATAGGGGAGGATGGGCCCCCACCCGTTTGCAACGGCGGCGTGTCGTTCATGCGCAACATACCTCCACTGGGTCCATGGGGACCTGTGCTCATGCACAACGGATCGGGCATAACAGCGAGAAGTTGCGCAATCTTGGCTTTGAGATCAATGACCTCATCCTCCTTGGAGCGTCGATGACCTGTAGAAATTTTATTTAGAATTATGAAGGCTTTAATATGGATTATAGAGGCACTTACTGTCTGCAATTTCGAGCTGCCGCTTGGCCACACCTAGAGCTGAGAATAAGTCCAGCTTAACTCTCGTCTCTGCTGACAGGTTCTTTTCGAGCGTTGTATTCTTGTCCTGCATGGCCGAAAGTGCGCTCATCAACATATCAGCATCCGGTTGCGAGGACTCGCGATTGCGGACCTTGACCTCCAGCATGCGATACTGCAAAAGTGTGACAAGATTAGTCTGGGTTAACTGGGCTTAAAAATAGACAAAAGTTCTACAAAAATTAAGTATATAAGGCAACCCGTTCAAAAAGACTTATGTGTACATATAATAGGATATATATTGCTCCCTACACGGATGCAGCAAACCACAACTTTTTTTTGACACAACCAGCCGGATTGGCTGCCATTTAAGTTGCCGGAAGATTTTGGCAATAGTATCTGTATTTAAGTACCTTTATCTTCACAAAATATACTTAAATTAACAAATCCGACTACCATACTAATACTACTATGTTTTAAGTTTTAAAATTAACTTTTTTATGCAAACTAAGTTGGCAAACTAAGTCACATGAAATTTTAAAGTGAGGGAGTACATTAACTTGGATATACATATAAGCCTGAGGCCCGAAGCTAAATGGCTACTTGATATTTTTCTTTTTTTATAATAAAACTAGACACCGACATATTTTCAGAAAACTAGGTTTCATTAAAATAACCTTAAATGACTCAAAACTAACAGGTCCATACTTTCTTGGTAACATATCTTAGAGCTTTGTGAACTAATTAATGAATATTGCACTTACAACGCACTGTTTTAAAATACTTGTAATGTGTTTTTTGCAATGGATTGGGTGAAGATTACCTCTTGCTCGAACTTGCGTCCATGCTCCACAGCCAATTGTTTGGCTTCCTCTGCTTGTTTTAGCTCGGCACGCAAGCGTTTGAGTTCCTCGTCCAACTGCTGGCGCCGCTGCTTGCACTGGGCACTGCACTCAGGACGCGCTGCCTTCTCCTCGGCTGCTTTGCGAGCTTTCTTCTCGTTACCCAGTTGAGCCTCTAGCGATTGCTTCTGTCTTCGCTCCTCGTTCAGTCGACGTTCCACATTCTGTAAGCTCAACATGTCCGAATGCCGTGCATTGTTCAACTCCTGTATGCGTTTCTCCAGCTCATCGCATTCCTTTTGTTTGGCCTGCAAACAGGACTTGGTGGTCAAGTTGGATTCGAGCTTCTGGCGAAGCTCGTTCTCAATTTGTTTCATGTTGCTTATTTCAGAGCGATATTTCTTTATGTCTGCCTCAAGCTTAAGGCATGTTTCACAGATTTTCGATACAACCTTTGAGGCTATTTGAGTCAGAGCAGCAGCAGCGGCATTGCTTGAGCTAGCCGAGGTAGAACTAGCCGACGATGAAACAGAGCTGGCATCGTTATTATTATTGTTTATGTTGCTGTTATGGTTACTGTTGCTGTTGACGCTTGATGCTGAAGCGTTGTGGTTGTTGCCATTGTTGTTCTGCTGCTGTTGCTGATTGTCCTTGGAAACATTATCCTTTTTCCCACGGTTTCGACGACCTTCAAATTATGTAAATATTCAGTCACTTCCCACCGACTACAGTCCGAGACCAATGTACTCACCCTTTGTTTTCTCTACCACTACAGGTGCTGTCTCTACAACTAGCGTATCCTCTCCCTCAAACTGCAGGACGTTGCCATTTGAGCCCGCATTATGTACTTTTTTATCTGGCATAAATATATTGCAGAACGTTAATTTTACAAGAACTTTTAACATTTCTTTTGGTTGCCACAAACCATGTTTCTCCTTTATTCCATGTTGTTGTTGATAGTTGCCATTGCTACTATCCCAGTCTGACTTCTCCTTACTGTTACTACTTGTTGTTGTTGCCACATTGCTGCCGCCATCCCCTTGGTGATTGCTGTTGTTGTTGCTATTTTTACCACTATGTCGCGCATTGTGCTCATTATCAGCGTCGCTTTTATTGCGATGTTTGTCCTTGTCCATGCAGCGCCGATGGTTTCTTGAGCTGCCGCCACCTCCTCCGCTAATGTGACCATTAGACGTTGCTGCAAGTTTGGTATAGAAATGATATATACATATATAATTGTGGTTTATTGATTTTTTTCCCACAAATTTTTTGTAAGTTCGTGCACGTGTTTTACAGAACAATGAGCATCTAGCATTAATTAGTTGGTTGGAAGGATATTTCGGATAAGCTCTGTTGCGGGAAATGTGATGTGTGTATATACTAATAGACTAATCCGTTTGGACTTGATAAACACGGTGAAAAATGCAACCGTGAATAGAAAAATAAAGAGCTATTGCCCCAATTATTAGTGACATCATTAGGATAAAAACATTTGAATGAATAAAGTTGTTTTAAGCAAATGTGGGTGGCATTCATACGAAACCTTCAAATAATATCCAGTTATATCTCTTAACTACTCCACAGTCTTTAAAAAAGTCATAAAACTATAAATATAAATTAATAAAAGTCTGAGGCACTAGCTTTGTTAGTGGGTTCTAAACACAAATAATTAGAGTCGACGATTTGTCTTTGGATTAGTCAAGCGAAAATACAAATAAGTTGTTGTTGTCTTTCTTGGATATGTTGCGAGCCATCATTAAACATTATTACCACCACTAAAACCACCAATACCATCAGCGCTGTCGCCGCCGCCGCTACTGCACAACTTCTCGGCAGTAGAAAAAGACGTCATGTTGTCGCCTTGACCATTACTGTTAGAAATTTGAAGAGCACTGCCAATGGAAGAAAGTGCTGTGCGTTGAAGTTGCTGCTCGTCTTCTCTTTTATCTGGCGACGACGACGTTGAACTTATTGTAGTAGAAATAGTGGGAATAGTACACATAATAGTAGAAGTGGATGTGGCACCTGCAGTTGTTGTCGCCCCCTGCTTGGACGTTGCTGAAGACGACGAGGCTGATACGGCGGATGCCGCCGGCGATGCGGCAGATGTCAATGCAGCCGTTGTGCTGTTATCGCTTGTACTGTTATCTTTGCTATGGTGGTTGTTGTTATTATTATTGTGATGGTGATGATGATGGTGATTGCTGTTGCTGCTGTTATTGTTATTGGCGGTGGAACTGTTGCCGCTGCCACCGCCGCTGTGATGATGTTCATGATGTGTTTGTTGCGCTTGTGTTGCCAAAATGCCGTTCGCCTGAGCTGCTGAAACATTAGACGAGGATGAGGACGAAGTTGCCACCGTTGCTTGTGCAGCATGTTGCGTGGCGCTGCCATTGGCCAGGACAGCAGTGCCAGCTGCCGCTGCTCCTGCTCCGGTCGCCGTTTGTGCATCCTCAGGTGCCTCTTCGGCAGGCAGAGCTTGCTGCAGTAGTTGCATGTAGAACTCATTCTCTTTGGCTACCTCGCGCTGCTTGCGCTGACGCATGCGATAGCCCACATAGCTTTTGAAGCCAAAGCCGAGTGTGACAACAGGGTAGCCAATGCTGTAGAGATAAATTATGCGTAATAGTAACAATAAAAAAAAACGTCTGTACAAGAATATACTTACCAATGCGCTGCAAATGGTCGACATAGATCCAAATGCGGCATATGACGACTATCCTTCCATCGTATGCCAACCTCCAGATAGACAAACAACATCCAGAGTATTATCGTTGGTAAACAAATACCTTTATCTGTAACGAAGAGTGAGCTAACTAGCTTGAATAGATTACAATGTTTTTATACGTACCTGTATGCCATACATACTGCACCCAGACATATGTGCTGGCTGCAAAAAGCAGCCAGTGCACGGGTATAAAGAATAAGCACACTAGATCCGATGTTATTGCTATGCATACGAATAACACCGAAAATGCCTGAAATTAAGTTTTAAACTTTTAAATTCCTCCTCGGTCTCAGAATTCAGTTAGTTGTACTTACCAGGCCCTTATATTTGAAGGAATCGTGAACGGATCGCAACAATAGCCAGAACGGCCATAGAAACTCAAATCGAAACATAAACATAAAGTCGGCTACCATAACAATGGCCCAAAGTATGAGAAATTTCATGTATAAAACAGTAGTGCTGCAAAAATATTACATAAAATAACAGATGAAATATGTATATTAAATTAATGTATGTATATTAAATATAAAGAAAATTTCACAGCAATGCAGCGAATAAATATACATACAACGAAAAATGTAAGAAAAAGCTAAAGTCGGGTTGTTCCGACTTCGAAATACTCTGTACATATGTTTAGAATTATTATAGAAATTAAAAAAAAAAAAATAAGAAAATAAAAAAAATGTTGATCGATTGTACTTATGTAATAGGTGTATAACAGCTCAAAAAAATAAAACAAACTGGCACAGCGTACCAACATAAAGCACCTTTGTGAAAAATTTGGCGTCTCTAGCTCTTAGTTTCTCTGAGATCCAGGTGTTCATACGGGCAGACAGACCTAGATCGACTCGTATTGTCATGCTGTTCAAGAATGTACATAAATACTTTGTTGGGTCTGCCACCTAATATATGTATATACTCTTGTACGTTTCATGTACAGAGCATGACAAATGACAAAAAGATGCACATACTATGTACATAGTACCTAAACAATCGATGTTATTCTATCGATATTCATACATATGTACTCGTAAACATCTTAACTAATACCAGATTAGTCGAAAGTTGAAACTTTCGAAGAACATTAGCAATTAGAGAGTATCGTGTGTTCAACAAATTAAACCTTGCGTACTTCAGAGCACTGGGAACACTACTTTGAACAGCTGATTTCTATTACATTGTTTTTCATGAATACCTTTTGAAACCTATTAATGCTAGTAAGTACGCTATCTTCTGCAACTTGAAAGCAACTAGCGATATCGTAAAAATCTGTGTACAAATATTTATACATATGTACATATGTTACCGAGAAAATACTAGTCTTATGTACATACATACATACATACATACATATGTACCTACATAAGTATCTAAATATTAGAATATTTCGAATATGTAGATGTTGCAAGTACATTCATATGTACATATGTATGTATGTATATTTATGCAAATGTTATAGTTGATTATCCTCACATTAGTTGGTATAATTAATTTATCTAAGCTTGATGCAAAAGATGAAACTTCAGAACCTAAACATTGTGAGGCAAAAACAATAGTAGCGTATTGCCATCAGCATCAATCAGTCAATAAATTGTCAAATGCGATTAGTAGAAGGCGAGGAAGTGCGCGCGCGCAAACGACATACAAATACACACGATTGTACACACATGGGTACAGCAAAGAATCAAAAAGTAAACAAACATAAATAATATTAAAAAAGCACATAAAAACAAGCAGGAGCCCGCATACAAACAAAATTACGAAAGCTCAGACGCGACGACGAGCTGTTTTTGCAATTGTGTTGGCATAACGGTCACACGTGTGCTACTTGGCGTATGTACTTGTATGTATGTGCCGAGGTACATATGTATGTATGTATATTTTGTTATTGACTTATGTATGTACATACATACATACATATATGTACATATGTACATTCGTCCGAAATTTTAAATTACATACAAACATATGTACGTACATATGTATGTATGTATGGATATAGGCATGTGAGATGCGTTGCAGCTTAGAAGCAGCCCTTCTAATCTTAAGCCTCGCGGCTAGGTGACTCTTAATTAAAAAAAAAAGACTCACCTACTATACATGCCCTCTGTGATTTTGTTACGTTTCATCGGCCGACGTAATTTACCACAATCTGCATTGCGCCGCTTCATTTTGCTGAACAGTTTGCCTTCCTCAATTTTCCCTTCAAACTTGGTAATTTTTACCTTTGCACCGTAATCAACAATTAGGCGTCTTTTCTCCGCTCCTTTTATTTAATCGTGGTATCCAATTGTTTTAAATGATTTGAATTCGTCGCGCACTCACTTTTTACTTAATTATTACACTTTCCGATAAATGTATTGTGCTATTTGTGATTCTTGTTGAGGGCATCGGTGTGTGTGCGACTGCCGGCGTCATTTCATCACAAATTACCACACGCTGAGCCGGCTTTCAATGTTGCGCTGTCTAAGAAGTGAGAGAGATAGACATTGAATTAATATGTATACATACATATGTATGTGTGCAATATATGAAGATACATTCAGACATATGTATGCACATTCAAGCATGTGCACGCTTGTGTGTTTGTGTGCGTAGTTTGTTTTTTTAGAATATTTATTTTTTGTTCTCCCAAAGGGTTACATTATTATTATTGCTGTAGGCACGACAGGTGATTTAAATACATGAATATGTATGTATGTACAGATGTATGTACATACATACATACATATGTATGTATGTATATGCACATGGATTTACACTTAAGCAGTTTATTTTCTTTTGCACTATTACTTATTTGCTACGCTATCGCAAGCAACAACAAACAAAAACCCAAAACACCGAAAACAACAACGCGTTGTGTTTTTAATTAAAAGACGGGGGCGACAACATTGCAGTTGCTTTTGAAATGCGGTCAAGCTATTTTTGTAAAAAAAAAATAATAAAATAAACACTTAACTGCGGGTAATATGTGAAAGCTATTCACATATATACACATGCATTAAAATGACAATATTACACCATTCGAAAAATTAAATTTAAATGGTAAATTTGATTTCTCGAACAATTACGGCTAATGCAAAATATTCTCAGGTGCAAGCGAGATGTCACCATCTGAAATGAAAACCAAAACATAAACAATGTACATAACATACATAAATAAATATTAAGTGCAAGGAACTGAAGATTTGACTTAAAAGACTGCTTTTTCTTTTCACTTTTTTCTCTCTCACTGCGCAGGTACGTCACAAAAAGCTTTGCGGAAGTTGCAAACGAGGGAGTGAGAATGAGCGCACGATAAATGCACATGCACTGTCGCTCCTATTGTGACTGGAATTTGATTTTGTGCTTTATTGTACAAAATGGCGCACACTGCTGTTTTGAACTTTCATGTGTAGCAGGATTGCCTATGGCGCGTTTTATTTGAAATCAAACGTCTGCTTAATAATTGAACTATAGTACTTTAAGGTTTATTTTGAAAAGGCAACATATTTCGATAAATCAGATAATTTTCAGAGATGCACACTGGCTGACAGATAACCATAGAAACAAATTGAGATTAGCCGCGGCTACCAACAAATACATCCTTTTTAAAACCTGTACTCAAAAGGAACCAGATATTTAGGTTCACCTTAAGGCCCAGGCATACCACGTTTGTTTCTCTGTGCTCACTCCCCCGATGTGAGTATAGTAGTTTTGTTCGAATAACATATAGAAGGAAGCGTGGCAGACCCCCATATATGTGTATATTTTTGAACAGGATCTCGGAAAGAGTAAGAGATAGAATAATCAAACTTGGTATCAAGATTCTTCTAAGCCCTAGGTATCTAGGTTTTTCAAGTTTGTTTGTTTTTTCAGATGCACTCCCCCGCTATTTATGATTTTCCATAACTCCCTTATGTGTCCTTATGCTATGTTTCATCATGATAAGTCATATGTGTAATCTCTGCCCATTCTGTGCCCGCAGCTGTTGTTGTTGCTGCTGCTTTTATTTAATCATGTCTTTCATGTTATTTTGAAAGGGGATGCAAATGTTATGCCTGCATTACTTTATTGAGTTATTCGAAAATAACTGTTTTTTTTTAATTGTATGTTAAAAATGGAAAAATTAATATTATACCTATGCAGTTTCTTTAACCAAAACTGTACATAGAAAAGCACTCTACAAAGTTAAGCTTCTTGTTAACATTGATATTAAACTTAAATTATATATTATATATATATTATTATATATAATTATATATGTGTGTACATATGTACAAACATACCTTCATGCGTTTACATATGTACATTTTTAAAAGCACATAGAATGCAAATTTTGGGCACACAATAATGTAAATATAAAAGCTAAACAATAATAATAGACAATTACAATACATTTGAACGAGTATACATACAGAATATTGCCTGCCAAACAAAACAAGTTCTCCCGTACACTTATAATTCATATACTATATCTATGTATGTATGTATATAAGTACACACATATTCAATTATATATATTAGCACATTCACATTAGACGTCAGCAAAATATAATTTCTTTCAAATTTTTATGTAAGCAAGCGAGAAGGCTAGATGCAGTAGCGTTAAAAAGCAAGGTATACATACAACTGTAACGATTGGAGAATGTTCATTATAATATTTACCAAAAATATTTACAAATTTGATTTTTGCAAAATGGTATAGAACATCAATCTATATATGTATGTATGTAAAATAGTTTGGCTTGACTGACTGAATGTTTGGCGATCAACGAACAGCCCAAATGGCAAGAGCTAGGAAGTTGAAACTTGGACGCAAGTTTGGAAAGTTCGATCTCCAAATGGCGGAAACGGGCTTTCATCCGATTAACTTAATTCTTGTTTATAAGCTCTTGAAAAATTGTTTGAAAAGGTTTTTTTTTTTTTAAGTTTGAGGTACATTTTTAACATAACTGGAGCTATGACTTGGCATTCAACGATTTTTAAATATATAAATGCATATTCAGAAACAAGAAACAACACAACAAATCAAATCGGTGGAGGGCAGTAAACAGTCTCACACACTCACAAACATAAGCAAGTTAGAGAATTAAATTCGATTTTACATTCATTGTTATGTATATCCTTTTACTCTTTGGGTACAACAATTTAATTCAATAATAAGCAAGAATGGAACTGGTGAGGGGGCTCTAATCTTAAATACTTTCTATTCACCCACTCTCACAAAAAATAATTGCAATTTAATAAATTATTTTTATTTTAAACCCATATCAATAAATTTATATCGGGATTGTGTACAGTATAGAATTGAGGCAAAAAATAACAACCGCTGCGTAAAGTTTGGTCAGAGATTACATTTGACTGACATACCATCCTTTAAATATACCTATTATGATGAAACGTAATATGCTATTAGTAATAATAATAATCACTACCTGGATTTGAGTAAAACTTGCATGGGGGTGTGCGTCCGAAAAAAATCACTGGTACTTTCTCGGTCATGAGAGAATCTAGATACCAAGTTTCGTTATTCTAGCTCTTATACTTTCCTCGTTTTTACAGACGGAAATAGCGATTGGACTCGTCTTATCACGCCGCATTCTGCGTGTTACCGTTTTTACTTTGCACAAACCTTTTACTTTTGTACCTTTCCGGTACAAGGCCGAAATAAGTGGTTTGAGCAATATCGCAAATGGGTTGATTATTTGAAGCCTTTCATAAACGTTATTCACACACATATATATGTATGTATGTTTGCGCGTTTATCAACTAATTATTAACTTCCCTTTCAAGTTATAAATGTTCGGCCATTGAGAGTCACAAACTGGATTAGTAATAAATTAATAAAATTCCCCAAATACGGCAAAAATGCTAATTTGTTATTATTTCTTATCGTGTGATGAAAAAAAATGGTTCGAATACAGGATACCCTGAAGGCAGTTACATACATATGTATGTACCCTTTACCGAAAAGATACATATTAAAAAGAGTACAAATAGAATAGGATAATACATACATACTTGTATGTTCATAGGCATGCATGTACATATAGCTCATAAATAATTTCCGTTTATACCCTGCACCCAAAAGCTTCTCAAAAACTATAAAAGTTGGAATGACAAAAATTGGTGTCCAGATTCTTCTAGGTCGAGAATGGGCGAGAATGGACGAGGTTTTTTTTTTTATTAATTTTCTTCCCTTTTTCCTTCTGTAGCGACAGAATTTCGTCAATACTGCCCACATTCCAAAAGCTACATAAACCAAACTTGCCACAAGTAATATATATATATATATATATATATATATATATATAGATATATATATATATATATATATAGATATATATATATATATATATATATATATATATATATATATATATATATATATATATATATATATATATATATATATATATATATATATATTTGATATACTTTTGTTCCAAATCGGTCAATTGTAAAAAAGTTATTACTTGTATTCACTGTCGGGCATTCTCTCTTCACCACTTTGCACAAACCTAATAAACCCTTGTACATTTTAAGTTCATGTAAAGTTGAATATTACGACCCGTCGCTAAATTCAACTTATACCATAACTTTCATATGTGTGTGTGTTTACATATGAGGGATATTTGGATGTACATACAAGTACATACAAATGCATAAGGATGAACATCAAAGTGTTGTGACGGAGGCGGCGGTGGCTCTAATAGACAGTCACTACGACACAAATCAATGGAAAAATCGGTGAGTATGCACAAGGCAGACAACAAACATGCCGAAAGGATACACGTAACATACATGTATGTATGTATGTACATATAGAGAAAGATGAAGCAGCAAAACTGCACGAGCCTCAACATGTGGATGTGGGCTTTGCTAGATATTGTGTGCATGGAAGCCCGGTAAATTTGTGGATTCTGAAACGCACGCACACACACATACAGACAAAACCTCACGCTGTTGCGCCGAGACTGCGCAATAAGCAGCGGCGCTCATGGCAAGCATAACTTGACGGAAGCGGAACTATGCAGATTTAAAGGAAGCAGCCGAATAGGAGCACCGCGTTGTGTATGTATCGCATCCGCGTCTGTTTGTATTTGTATGCATGTATACGGCCAAATTCTATAAATAGCATCCAAAAGTGGAGCGCATAATGAAGCGTATGTATGCATGTATGTATGTATGAGAGCTCGGACATGAAGGCAATGGGAACTAAAACTTAAATATATTGTTAAAAAAATAATTTGCAGTCAGCGCAGTCTAAAAAAATAGGGTGTTCATAGCCAATATATGAGGTGTCTGCGCAGGACTCTGTGTCTATGTGTATTTTTATGTCGGAAATGTCTACATATATGCGAAGGCAACGGTTGCCTGCCGGTGCTAATATATTGCTATCGTTGTAAATTGACCCGTTAATGCATGTAGAAACATGATCAGGAATATAGGAACATATGCCGAATCAGTAAGAGTTGGACACGGGCCGTGTTTTCGGCACGCGTGCTCGTGTTGCAAATTCCGATTTCGTGCGTGGCCGCGCGTGTTCGTGTTCGTTTTAAGCCAAAAAGGCACGAGCAAATAGGATAGGATAGGAATTTTTTAAGTTCCGATAAAAAGAGAATTAGGGCGAATAGCGATTTAATATTTGAATCAGAAAGCCAAACACCTAATAGTCAAGACGACTTTTTTAATTTATGGACACTAATAATTCAACTTTATTTTTCTGGGCAGGTCAAGAATAGTTATTGCAATATTTACTATATACTATTAGTAGTGCTGTTGACCCAGGAATTTGTGTGTTAATTTACTGGAAAAATAAAATTTAAGTTGCTCAGGCAAATATTAAGACATATGCATATACTCAAGATACCTGTCACCTCTTCAAAAAAGTGAACGAGTTCTGGCTTAGCTCAAATATAGATAAGCAACTATTTCTTAATACAAATTTGAAGTGCTTAATATGGATATATTTTTGGTTTTTACATTTAATGGTTATAACAATTTCGTGTTGGGCCGTGTTTAGTAAAATTGTCGTCATGCGTGCACGTGCTTGTTTCTAAAAGTTCATTTCGTGCCCGACATTTTTTGAGAAAAGTGCTGTCTGAGATAACACTAGCTAACCGAACAAAAATACCCCACAACAATGTTTTTGATCCTCATGATGAGTTATTCTAGACATGTTGGTCACAGTAACAAAACTTGGTATGTAATTGAAATGCGGTACAAATAATATACATACATTTGTACATACACATGTACATACATATATACTTTCTGGAGTCTTCTTTTGAATGATTGAACTATTTCCTAAATTTAGAGATCCTTATTAACCTTACGACTTTATTATTAAATGATCGACTAGTATTTTTTAAATTTTAAATGAACACACTCTAGGGTACATCTGCATTTTGAAATTTATGACGAGGTGGTATTGTACACGCAATGGTCTAATCAGCCTATCATTCTAAATCACTACGATTACTGAAACCGCATAATCTAACAAAAAAATCTATCGGTAAACGATCAGTGCTCTTTTCACGATCACGCACTCATCACGCACACCTCTAATATAAATGCGAAAACGAAATTTCAGCTGTTTTAGTGCGTGCGGCATTTAGAAACGATAATAACAACAAAACCAACAAATCGTCACAATTTTTCTCGCTGTCGTTTTGTTGTCGAATGAGAGTGTGCGAGAACCCAACACACAAGAGGCTAAAGAACTTTTGATAAGATGCCATAAATGTTTCTGCTGTGTTTTGTATTATTCTTGTCTTTGCTTTTTGCATAATGTGTGCGCGCATGCTTTTTAATTAAAAACCGCTAGGGAAATATTATAACATTTCGTAACCAATACACACAAAATTTTACTGCAGATGTGCACGACCCTTTCCATTGATGGCTTAATTTTAAGGGAAATTGTGCTTACATTGTTTACACTTAAGTATGTCATTTTTTGTTTATTTAACTTGTAAATAAACTTTTAGATGTGTGTACATACATACACATGTACGAGTTATTTGACAGCAATGTCGAACGAACCTGGATATTTAATCGGTAGGCTGCGATAATGATCAACAAACTTAATAACCTTGATATACGAAAATAGCAAAAATACTTGCAAAACTTAGTGAAGGTAGGCACAACAACACTAAGAAAAAGTGAAAAGTTGTTAAAAATTCGAATAATTTTCACGATAATGACGGCAACGACGCCAACACAATGCGGGGGTGGTTGCTGTGGAGCAAAGCTGAACAGCATCCACAGTCAAGCTTTACACACACACACCATCTCCAAAAACACAGTGAGGCGCGCGACAGGAAACGAAATAAGGATGCTGCTTCACTGGTCGCTGCTGACGTCGCCAGCGGTTACGTTTTGCACTAGTTAGTATGTGTATGGTAGTCTGCTGACGGCGCCAGCAGCAGCGGCGCTCTATGAGCACCTATATTTTCTTCACCTTCCACACACACACACACAAGCACATATGTATGCATGCATATACATACATAAGTATCAGAAAACACTGATGATTTTTTACACGGCGAAAATTGCACACGTTATTTATGCTCTGCTTTGGTCGTGTGTACGATTTGCGGTACACATGATTCGATTATTTCACTAAACGCCGTACAAGTTTTTCTACCTATTTTCTAGAGTTTGTATATACATTTTTATAAAAATTTGCACATTTCTCACAACTGCTTAGTGCTGCGCTCTTCATATATACATATGCATGTATGTATGCGTACGCGCCAGTATGTGTGTACGTGCATGTGTTCACCGACGAAAGCCAGCTAGAGACCGTGGCAGAGCACAAAATATTCTTTAACGAAGAAAAATGTATTTTCGCACAACAAAATTACTTTTTCATACATTGTATTAACACAACATGTTGCTTATAGTATTAAACGCGTATATTTAACAATATGAATATTGATTGGGGCCGTACTTTATTTTATTAGGGATCGAAACACGAACGCTTTTTAATGACGCGACCGCGACGCAAACCAATGAGAATATAACTACAGTGAAAAGCGACTAAGAGCAAAGCCGAAAACTGTGCAATCTAGTAATTTCGATAGTTCAAGGTATTTCAAAACTAAGTGTTCACATCGAAACGTACAGTTCGTAGGTACCTTTATATATTTATACTTAAATTCCTCGTTTATAGAAAAATACTTACTAGTTAACACACACTTAATAAGAGCGTACCATTTTATTTGATAAATTTTCACTGTACTTGCATGTCTATGCCAACAAGCTGAAAATGTTACATTTCGATATTTCATGGCACATTTTATGATATGCCGAGTTGGCAGCGCTAGATCAATTTTGTAATCATTATTAAATCACCGCTAGAGGGCGATTGGACAATTATTAAATTTTCGAAGGCTTTTATAACGAATAGCTCAGTAAACCCGAATGGAACAATAAAGGTTATTGAAGATGTATAAACACTGGTGGTGAAACGTGATGTATTTAATATAATTCAGAAAGCAAAATTCCATTTTTAATTTTAGCCCCTACCAATATGTACGTGTATTTGGTTTAATTAAATCGCCATATATAGCTCAAAGGAAACTAAATACAATTCAATGGATTTGTGAACTAGTCGTCATTAGCTTTTAAAGGTCATGTTTTCGTTATAAAGAATTCCATAATAACATAGTTTTAATTATCGGTGGAACATAATCTATATACAATTGTACGTAAATTTAATGCACGGGTGATGTGAATCTAGAAATGAGCAAAATTTGAGTTTTGCATTTAATTTTAATAAAAACAGAATTGAAAAAGAAATGCAAGTTACCCATTATGCTTTTAATAGTATTGATATTGTATTTAAATTGTACATTATTATATGTTTGTGTAGAATATGCGCAATATAAACAATCCAAGTGTTAAATAATTGCTTAAGTTTAAATATATAACAAATTTAAAACATTTCAATGTTGTTGCCGAGCTATTTTGTTGTCTCTGTTTGTCTATTCTTTTGCTAATTATTTTATTAATTATTTTTAATGGGTTTTGTGATTATTTGCGGTCCAGCCTGTGCTATATTACAGCTTGGGGATGGTCAAGTACCTAAAATCGATAGCAACACGTTGGCCAGGAAATCCATACGTTAGAATTGTTTAATATTAAATAAGAAGGGCGTGTCCATAGAGGCAACAACAAATGCGTAATCTCTAAATGTAAAATGTTTGGATGTGTGTATGTATGTATGGTCCGGTTACATATATAAATATAAGGAAATCAACAATTACACATTTGAGTAGCACTAAAATCAAAATATGATTACTCGTAGTTGTTGGTCTTCTACCCGGCTGCTTCAGTCGGTTCCATGTTTCCTTCACTAGACACAGGCTGTGACTCCATAACCGGTTCCGTGTCTGTTGTCGAAGGAGCGGTAGTTTCAGTAACGGCCTGTGTAGTGTTTGTAGGCGGCGCCTCGTTGACGGTTTCCGGCGTCGGGGCTCTGTTCGTATCCATTTTTGGTGGCGCTGCCGCTGGTGGGGGCAGCTCATCGTAGAGTGGTGTGCAGGCAGGCGATGGCAACGGTTTCGTTGTGACTTCTTCGACACTATCTTCCACTTGGGGCTTGACGAATGTGGGCGCGCTATCCCTCGTCTGTGAAGTTGCTGCTGCCTCATCTACTGCTGACTCATTGACAACAGCAGATGTAGAATCATTTTTAGACATTTTCTCTGCCTCCATTCTGGCATCGTACTCTTGTAGCTCACGATCCCAGTCTTCTTCTGTATCTCCAGACACTGCTGTCGTTGTGTTTGTAGCCACTGGCAATGGTGATGGGACAGACATCGAGGTTGTCGGTGCTGGTGCAGCAGGGCTCGGCTTGCTGTTCTCATCCGTAGAACTAAAGGAATGCCGATTACTGTCATCGCGGGAACTGCGTCTATTTCCACCACGTTCCCTTTCATCGCGTGGACCACCGCGTCCACGCATATTGCCTCCACGTCTGTCCTCGCCATTGTCGCGATCACGGAAGCGACTGCCACCGCCGCCACCAGGTCCACCGCGACGTTTGAAATTGTTGCCATCATCCTCGTCATCGCTCCAGCGCCCTCCTCCACCACCGCCACCACGACTACCTATGTTTCGACCACCGCCACGTACACGTTGATTATCGTTGAAGGGATTGCGCGGATTAAAGAAACCTAAAGGACGGAAAGAGGGGTGAGATTTTTTCATTTATTATTTATCGTCAAATATTACCTGGTCCCTGTTGTCGCCCACCTGGACCATTTCCGCCACCGCCCTGGTTACGCATAAACATGGGTCCCACGCCTCCATTGCCTCCCCCGTTTGGCCCGCCCATGCGCTGATTAAAGGCCATTGGCGGCGGTATGCGCATTTGCATCAGACTAGTGGGTTGATTGAATCGGTTTTGATTCATGTTTGGCTGGAGGAAGTCTGCACCGCCATTTAAATTTCCCGGACGTGGTCCCATGCCTCTAGGTCCACCAGGGCGATTATCAAAGTCTGCACAGAAAAAGAATTAAAAAATGTTAGTTCTTTTTAAGTCTTCTCAAAAAAGGATCTTAGATCAAATTTGTATACATATTTGTAACACATCTGAGATGAATATGCTTAGCTAGATATATAGATAAATCTGGTCAGACTTAGGTTTCAATACCGTACAGCGTTTTTACTTATAATATTCGTATATTGAATTCTTAAGAGCTATTACTTGTATTCATCTACTCACCCATGAAGTCTGATCGCTGTGGCTGTTGCTGCTGTATACCCAGTTCCATGTGATTGAGATTAAGACGAGCACGCGCTTCATTGAAAGCAGCGCCCCCACCACCCACAGGCGGTGGACCACCACCATTTTCGCCGCGCCAAGGTCCGTCATTTACATCATCACGTCCACCCCAACGCGAACCGCCGCCACCACCACGTCCGCGCTCCCGCTGGAACATTTCATTAGCAGCGGCTGCCACAACAGCTTCCACACTGTTCGCCGGTGCACCACTGCCCGAAAAGATGGGAGGAGGCTGATTGAAGTTTGGTGGCTGCTGCTGTGGTGGCGGTGGCGCCGATTGCGGCGTTTCCTCCACCTCCATTTCAATGTCCATTTGATCGTCGCTCGACACATTGCCACAAGCAGCTACGTTAGGAGGTGGTGGATTAGACATTGGTGGTGGCACCGCTCCAGGCGGCGGAAATTGTGCACCTGGCGGAGGCAAGCTCAGTGGATGTGGTGGACCGCCAGGAAGGCCAGCAAATCCTGGTGGCATCATTGAGGGAGGCATCATCATCATGTTCGGTGGCATAGGCATGCCACCCATTGAGGGTATGGGACCCATGGGGCCCATCATTCGTGGTGGCGGAGCTCCTATTGGCGGTGCCATTGAGAACTGGCCGGGAGGAACCATGCCCATTAAGGTTGGCGGTGGCGCACCCGGCGCACCAAGTGGTTGGGCCACAGGTGGAGGTTGCGTAGTATCTATGCCAAAGATCAAATTTGGGGGACCAGGTGGTAGTGGCTTAGGCAACTCTGCAGGCCCAGCAGCAGGGTTTGTTTTATTATCCTTGACATTCTTGACTTGATTTATCTTGTCTTTCATCCAACCTGGCATCGTGTCTTCGTCGAACATGCCACCCTCCTCCAAGCTATCAAAATCGGTGTCCACGTTCAGTTTATTCCATGGTATATAGGTAACACCCAGCTCCAGATCCCAAAAGTCTTTCCACTCTTTGCTTTTTACACCCTTTCCAGCGGCCCACGATATGGTAATTGCTCGCCCCTGCAACTTGTGGTTCTTTAGCCCCTGCATGGCCTTGTGCGCGTCCTGACGCCGATTCATGACTATAAATGCGCACCCACGTGGGACGATCTGGTCGATACTCACGATATCGCCATACTCGCCAAAAGTATCGGACAACTCCTCCTGGTAGACCAGTTTTGAGAGATGACCGACCCACAGTGTTGTACTGCAGACTGCAAAAATATCAAGAAGGATACAAAAATGTAAGTCAAGGTGGGTGAATGGCCGAAATCATAATTATGCATTCTGTTAGTGAAGTTAAGCAGTGGACTGATAAATGTGACATATTTTTGCATATAATGCATTTTACAATTGCAAACTTTTGGCTTTTCAATTCATTTTTCCAGCAAAATATGTAACAGTAAAAAAAAAATGGTTCCCAACTATTTATTGCCTTTAGCAAAGAAATCAGATTTGTTTCATTCAGAAATGAAAATAGTTTTATAATCTGAATTGAATTTTGTGGTCACTTTCATAACTAAAGGACACATATGTTACCTATGAAGCATATGTAGCAGGGTGTAAGTTAATAATCTAATAGTTTAAGATTTCGAAAGCACAATGGTTCCTGATTGATTAGATGATCAGAAATTCTGTGATACCTGCAGATGCAATCTATTATTGTTATTAAATTTTGTATCAAGATCATCAAGGAAGTATACCTTGTGCATACAAATTTAAAAAAATAATAATAAACGAAATGGTAATAAAAAAATTTGTTTGATCGATTACGGGATTCTAAATCACGGAAAAGGAGTGTACATCGTGTCTAAGTATGTCTATGAGTATCTGTGTGTAAACAAGTTGAGCCAAAGAAGCAGCAACAACAGCTGCGAGCCCAGCTCAAACCGATATTTGATTTACATAACTTCCTTTCAAATTCACCTATCACGATTAAACTTGACACACACATAAGCATACCCGAAAGTACTATCCTGATGTAAACTCCAAATTGGAGTAAAAAATTCCAAGAATTACTGGAGCTATAGAAAATAGCTAATAACGGAGTGCAAAGAAGTTTTATGTACACTTGTTCCGCATAGTTATATAAGGCATCTGTGTGCAAAATTGTTGTACGAAGTACAAAAAGTGGCTGCCATAAGAGAATGGTAAGACTACTTGTAAATCAATTTTTAAATGCATAATATTAGGTAGCATATGCTAATTTCGATAGATTTAAAACCGAAGATTATATGACATTTTGTTTGGAAATATCGGGAAGATATAAATGCTTAAAAGAAAACATTCTACAGTTGATAGACATGACTACCAGGGTTGCGCTATTTCATTCCATGAAATATTTTTAAAATATTGTGGAGATAAGACTGAGGGATGGTATTGCATAATCGTATTGCTCCTGTATAACTGGATCACATAGTTGAATTAAATTATTAATTTTTAAGTTTAGTCACATAAATCGAGACCACTGGGTAATGAAATAAAAATTGCTAGGCTGTACGTGCAGTTGTAGCTTTAGTCAGGGACGCATCCTCTTCGTTTTGCCATTAATTCGTTACTCGCACCAATTGGCCAATCTAGTTTATGTACGCATGATAAATGTACGTAATTATATGGTGTAAAAATTAAACATATTTTTAAAAATTAAATTACTAGCTTAAATAGTTTCAACAACAAATTTGCTCAAAAACGCTACAGGGGTGTACTCTCATATGAAAAATGCCAGATTTGCAGTAGAATTTTTTGCTAAAGCTAAAACACACACGTCAACCGAGCCAAATCGGAGCTGCAGAATAAAGAGTATATAAATATTCTCATTCTGAGAAGAAAATTAAAATGAAAAAATAATAATTAAGATTAACATAGACATCAATAAAAGGCTGTGCACATCCTAGACAGAGCTAGTAACAGCACTGCAATAAGTGCATGCAATACGCAAAGCCTTTCACTGACAGAAATTCAAATTCCCGTTAGTGATGTGCTATTACTCATAGTTACCACTTAAGTGCTCCTTCTTAATTTCCGGCAGTCCCTTCTTGCGTCGCTCACGCTCGTGCTCGCGATCACGCTCTTTGTCGCGTGCACTTCGTTCCATTCGTTCACGATCACGAGAATTGCGTCGTCGACTGCCTCGAGGCGAACGGCTGCGGGATCTGGAACGCGATGATCGCCGACGGCTACTTCGATCATTGGGTCCAACAGTTCCACCACCACGTCCACTTCCACGACCATCGCGGGGTGAACGGCTACGACTGCGGCTGCTGCGTCTGCCACGCTTGTAACGCTCGCGGTCTGGCGTCGGACTACGCGAATCTCCGCCATCCAGATTGATTACCTAGAATTTAAAGTTGGCAAGAGATTCAAGAGAAAAAGGTATGTGATATAACCGTTAAGTTTAAGCATAAATTAAATAATGAGGACTTCTTGGACATTGGTTGTACGGGATATTTTGGGTCGGATTGTTGGGATTAGGAACTTATGCTACAAATAAAAAAAACTTGAAATAAAAATGAAATATTTTTTACTGCAATCTTGGCGTGTTGACGTGTGCTTGCTTTCGTTTTCATTTGGACTGCATTGCGGAACTTTGGCATTTTTCCTGGATCAGAATCTTGTTGCGTTTTCAAGCAAATTGTTTTGATTTGTTGTTGTAGTAGTAGGGTCTTTAATTTCTGTTTTTATCATATGAAGAACTTACCAGTGTGCTAAGCAAATGATGTTATGGTTTCTGTTCGATTCCGCCGGAATTTTTGTTCATTACCTTACCTTTTCATTGTTCATCTTTTTTTTACCATTATTAAATTTTAAAATATTGCAATAAACTAATACGAATTGAAAGAGTTCTGGCGTATTTTACGAGATCTATTCCCATAAATTCGTTTAATGATTTGAATAACTTGTCTTCATGTAAACTTTTTTAATTGGCAAGCTTCAAATGATATTTATCTTCAACTGCACTTTGTCAGTATAAGTTAGCTAAGAAACGTAATTATAGGCAAAACTTATCGTAGTGATTACATTCACCTGCACGTCAGCACAAATAAAAAATATTTTGTTTTAATATGTAAATTTTTGCGTGTTAACTTTGATGGCCTATCTATCTTTTTGAATCGATATTATATCATATGCAAAAACATACACAGCGATAATGATTCCCACTTTACAGACAAACTTTCATGGCTGAAGTCAAACTTTAACAATCAATTTAACAATTTTAAAAATTCATAAACTGTTCTATTTGTATGTTCGCTATGAAAGTGTGACTGTTATATGTACAATAATATATATGTATATGCAGTCATATAAAAGCATACGAAAAGAAAATGCATATAATACCTCAATATTTTGTTGTTCAGATACAAATTCCACATCTTTGTTCATATCGGACACATCGTTCATACTCATGCCCATACCCATGCCTGGCGGTATCCCCGCAGTACCCTGTTAAAAGACAATGTTCTATGTACATGGCCATATGAAGAGAAAAAATTAAATAAACTCACCTTTAAAACATTATGCAAATGTTGCTGCAAACTGTCATCCTGATAACGAAGCTTTTGATTCTCCTCTTGTTGCTTAAATTTTTGAAAACTCTGCAATGTTTGCAGTTGGCGAAGGACGTTGGGATCGTTGAGTAACTGTTTCAAATTGTTGTTCTGCAAAGAAGTCAAGTTATTATTAATAAATTTATAAAGGCATCAACCACAATTAATTAAAAAAAAAGAAGAAAACCAAAAAGAAATTGCAACTGAAATAAGAACATAAACGCTGCCTACGTCTAGCAAATTGGATGAAGTTGGCGGTGAATCATCGCCCAAGCAGTGATGATCATCGGTCACCAACATATTATCTTCATCATCAATGATCTCGCGCACATCGTACTCCAACAGTTCATGGGAACTTTTGCTATATTTGTGATGATGCATTTTGCTTGAGCCACCGGCGCTATCAAAGCGTGATTTTGAGCTGGAACTACACGAAGGTGGCATTGTGTGTTGACGCTTCATATAGTGTTGGTCCATATGGCGGCGGTTGCTACCGGCGCTGCTGCCTCCAATGCTCTCATGCATGCCACGCGAGCACTTTTCATGGCTCAGCTGTGACGAGAGCGATTTTAGCAATTGTGCAAGACATGGTTAATTCGAAGCAAATACAATAATAATGACAAGTGCGTTAGTTTTTGATTGCAGAAGGCTATGCATAGCTCTTTGGTTAGTACTTAAATTTATGGGCAAGGCTCGCTTGTCAACTTACAGATAAATCAGGCATGCCGCCGAGCTTATCATCACCACCGTGTGGACCACCCATACCACTGCTCATACTCAGCTCCAAGCTACTCAAGCCAGATGTATTGAGACCATTGGCGCCACTCGATATGTCAGCCAGGGTCAAGGCTCCACTGCTGCTAGGACCTGCGCCTACGCCTCCTGACACACCACCCATGCCCCCGACTGGTGGCATTTGATGATAGATCGGGTGATTGGGATCGGCTAAATCAAATATCGGTTGAATGACGTCCGATTTGAATACATTGTTTTTCTGCCACAAATTTAGCACACGGATGATGCGGCTTTTGTCCTCGGGGGCGCAGCGAAACAGATTGGCAAAGGTCTCCGTGAGATTGCGCTGGAAGCGTGGTGCGAACACATCTTTCTCGGTCCCGTATTGATGTCGGGACTGCCGAACAATAGAATCAATCACGTACAGACCGGGCACTTTATACTCAGGCTTGCACTTCAGTATAAATTTCTCCACGCTTTGCACAACATGTTTATAGAATTTGATTGCACGCATTGCCGACTTGGTAATGGCGGCCATTTTTGCCTTGGATATAGGCGGTCGGCTGTCATAGAGCCCAGAGAGCTGCAAATATACAATGGAATTCGGTTAAAGTAATAGTAGCCTACGCCCAAATGCAACATTGCATGAACACCGACAATTGTCAAGACCTAATTTGATACACCGCGACACCATGGTCTTCACTAAAGGCCTATTATTTGTTGTTGGTTGAACAGCACGGTGCCTTTTTTGCATTGTATAACCGCACTTTATACAACTACTTTGTAATACATTTTTCACATAGTGGTCGCGGCAGCGGCGGCAACCGACTTTAGCTCCGTCTTTTTGCACAAGCCCCAGCTTACCTCATTGTTGAAAGCGACAACAGTATCCATGTTTACTGTTTCCCGCCTAGTTTTGGCTATATGTCGCCTAGTATTGGGTTCGCAAAATTAATTAATATACTCTTAATTAATTACTTTAACGCGCTATTCCCTAATTTTCACGACTTTTACAATGAAAACGGCAAAGCACAATGAAAACGTGAAAAAATAGGGATGTAAAAAACGATGTTATCGATACATCGTGCACAAGATGGCTGCCAGACTCGATAACTGACAGCGTTTCTATCGATTCGTACTAACCATATTGCAACCCAAACACAAGACCTTTGCGTAGTGAATTACATGGTATCGTATAGCCATACATATGTTGAAACTTCTATACTCTCACAGTGTAGTTACGAAAATAAAATAAACCATGGATTTGTGACGTCATTGGAGCACCAAGTAGCAGGTCTGCGCAACGCCATACTATGTAATTCAGTGTACCACTAATATAGTACTGCACATCGTAAACGTAAATATAAAAAATTTGTCTACATGAGTGCGAGTCATAAGCCACTGGAAGAAAACGATATTACGCTAATAAACAAAGTACAGGAGACTCCCTCACTCTATGATCACAGACATGCTGACTTTCGAATGCATCGTAAGGAGGAGGAGTGGTCCAGAGTGGCCAACAGCTTAAACATTTCAGTTGCAGATGCAAAACGGAGATGGACATGCCTGCGTGACCGCTACTCACGGGAACTTAAGCAAATGCGTCTACATCCGAGCAGTGAATTTGGTCGCAATGACTTTTTTCGCCAGATGGACTTTCTCCGCGAGTTCGTCCGCAAGCGGCGCGAGCGGAGCAGGCATGAAAACACCCCCATGAGCTGGCTTAAGTCTGAGACGCATTCTCAAAGGTTGGTCAAAGCGCAACTAGAGTCAAATGCATTGTTTGAGGAGAGTGACCACAACTATGATGCCCAACTGGATACGCAAACTACGCAATCGGAGACATACTCTGTCCTGGTCGAAGATGATGGCGATGGCAACGAGTCGTACACAGCCAAGTCTGAAGCCCCTGAGCAGAAAGTTTTGCCAGTGTCAGGAGCGGTAATGGCAATGCAACAGGAATCGTCAGGCACTGCTATCACGCCAACCACTGCGGCACAGCCGGACCTTAATTACATGGTGTGTATGCCCTTGCCAAATGTCGCGCTACAGCGGGAACCCTCTCAATTAGCGGGCACCAGTAAAACGGAGCAAATGCCACCTCAGGAGCCAACGATTGCAGCGTCTTCATTGCATGATGAGGATGATTTCTTTTGCAAATCGGTGGCCGCCTATTTGCGCCAACTATCGCGACGACACAAGATCAAGGCCAAAGTCGAGATGTATCAAGTGCTGGAGAAGTACATACTGCTCGAAGATGGGATAGCCGCAACGTCAACTCAAAACAGTTGAGCAAAAACTTTTACATACGACCGCATATGTACTATATATACATATATTTAATTTTTTGGAGTACAAATATACAAGATACAAAAATCTATCCTATCTGCTCCGTCTATCCATCAAGAAAACTTTGTGTTGCATTTCAGTCGACATGCTCCAAGAGTGATTTGGTAACTAAACTATGGGTTTTGGTAGTTACCAAAATTTTGTTAGTTAGCTGACCGATGCTCCTGTAAGCGAAGCTACTTGTCCAATATTGAATTGAGATCTCCTCCAGAAGTTATGAAATTGTCTATCTGATAATAATCTCTTTAAGCAAAACAATATCTTTACCTCGAAAACTGAATCTGAAGACCTGATGGACGGCTTTTTTATAACTAAAAATAATAATTTAGGTGCTATTATATGCATACATATGTATGTATGTACAAGTATAATTTTTGTGTTAGGAGGTTTCATTTAAAATTACATATTATCGGCGAACTGCCCTGCCAGAACTCTTAATGATATCGGCGAACCTGTAATTAGAGATGTGCAATATTTTCATATTTCCGTTAACACTTTTTCACTAGTATATACCAATAAATATGTATCCATTTGCCAATACTTATATATGTATGTGCATTTATCATATAACGTTGGTTTTTTTTAATTTGACTGGGTTTTCTTTTCAAGTTAAAAGTTATTAAACAAATACAACAGTGAGCAGTTTTACCGCAACTCCTGTTTTGTCCATCTCTAGTTTACCGGCATGCGTGCAAACCAAACAAAAATTTGTACACGAGATGAAGTATGAAGAGCATTGAAGCCCAATTTATGTTAAACTAATCAAGTGTTCCGACCACAGACTCAGCGTTGACGGCCTACTTGTTTACTTCCCATACGAGTATATTTATCCAGAGCAATATGCATATATGTTGGAGCTTAAACGCAGTCTGGATGCCAAAGGACATTGTCTACTTGAAATGCCGTCGGGTACCGGCAAGACCGCCACATTGCTATCGCTCATTGTTGCTTACATGATAGAGCATCCGGAAACGGTGCGCAAGCTTATCTACTGCTCCCGCACAGTGCCTGAAATCGAAAAGGTTATAGCAGAGTTGCAAAACCTGATGGTATACTACGAGCGTCATGCACCCATCCCGCCCGGATTTACTGGCCTGGTGCTTAGCTCACGTAAAAACATGTGCATACATCCGGAGGTGAGCAAGGAGCGGGAGGGCAAAGCTGTGGATGGCAAGTGTTATGGGTTGACGGCAAGCTACATACGGGACCGGCATGAGATGGATGGTGGAGAGACGCCAATATGTATGTGTGTTTATAGTCAGGTTGAACGTTTTTGAATATTTTTATTGCAGGCCAGTACTTTGAGGGCTTCAGCTTGGAGGGCAAGGAGTCAACTTTACCCGTCGGCATCTACAGCATAGACGATCTCAAAGAATATGGCCGCTCGCGAAACTGGTGTCCCTATTTTCTGGCACGTTACGCAGTGAGTCATCAAAACCTTGCTGTATTTGTCCTATGGCATAATCTATTGTGTATTCCCAAAGATCGCACATGCACATATTGTGGTTTATAGCTACCATTATCTGCTTGATCCAAAAATAGCACAGGTTGTGTCTAAGGAAATGACGCGCGAATCCTGTATAGTTTTCGATGAGGCGCACAACATTGACAATGTCTGCATTGATTCGATGAGTGTTAAGATCAACAGACGAATAGTGGAGCGCAGTACTAATGCTTTGAATCAGTTGACAAAATTGGTCCAAGAGTAAGATATATTCGAACATAACACAGGACGTTTCTCAATAAAAAACATTTTAGTATACGGGATGAGGATACAAATCGTCTGAACGAAGAGTACCAACGCATGGTGCAGGGTCTCAAGGATGCCAGCGTACAGCGAGACACGGACATGATACTGGCCAATCCAGTACTGCCCAATGATGTGCTTAAAGAAGTTGTGCCTGGGAATATTCGCAATGCCGATCACTTTCTCAGTTTTCTTCGACGATTCATTGAATACATTAAGACGCGTCTGCGAGTCCATCATGTGGTACAGGAGTCGCCCGCCGGATTTCTCAAAGATGTTTCATCAAAAATTTGCATAGAACGGAAACCCCTGCGTTTCTGCGCTGAGCGTTTGAGCAGTTTGCTGCGGACGCTTGAAATCACCGACATGACGGAATATGGCGCATTAACTTTGGTAGGGATCAAAAAAATAAAATAAATTTTGTATATATTCATATAAGGTTACAAAACGTATGAATAGGATTCGTAATGTTGCAGAACATGAAAGGCTTGAAAGACTTGAATTTGTAATACATTTCATTATAAATTTATCTTTATATATAATCCATATTTTTTCTTAGTTAAAATTGCAAGTTTTGTTCCAATTGGTTTATGACTATTGCTGTTTTGAAAACATTTCTTCCAATTTTATGTTAAAACCAAATTTTCACATTTCTTTTACTTTCCACAGATCACACATTTTGCTACGCTCGTCTCAACATATACCAAAGGCTTCACCATAATTGTAGAGCCATTCGATGATAAAACGCCAACAGTGTCCAATCCCATATTGCATTTTAGTTGCTTGGACTCATCCATTGCCATGGCGCCAGTTTTTAAGCGCTTTCAAACGGTTGTCATCACCTCCGGCACACTTTCGCCAATGGATATGTATCCCAAGATCTTGGATTTTGATCCGGTTGTAATGAGTTCATTCACTATGACACTGGCCCGACCTTGTCTTTTGCCCATGGTATGATTTAACGCCAGATTAGGCTGCTAGATATAGTTAAATTTTGATTCTTTTGCAGATTGTCTCGAAGGGTAATGATCAGGTTACCATTTCATCCAAGTTTGAAACTCGAGAAGACACCGCTGTCATACGTAACTACGGTCAGTTACTTGTAGAAGTGGCAAAGACTGTACCTGACGGCATTGTATGCTTCTTTACATCCTATCTGTATTTGGAATCTGTTGTTGCTTCCTGGTACGATCAAGGCATTGTAGACACATTGCTTCGCTACAAGCTGCTGTTCATTGAGACGCAGGACAATGCCGAGACGAGCTATGCACTGATGAATTATGTTAAGGTGAGTAACGTGACGACCGCATGGCGATGGCGTCTTAATTGATATGGCTTCACCCGTATGCAAATTGTACTTGACATGCTCTCTACTCCACACAGGCCTGCGATTGTGGTCGCGGCGCGGTGCTGCTCGCTGTGGCGCGTGGCAAGGTCTCCGAGGGTGTGGATTTCGACCATCATTATGGTCGCGCGGTACTCATGTTCGGAATTCCATATGTGTATACACAATCGCGCATTCTCAAGGCGCGCCTTGACTACCTGCGTGATCAGTTTCAAATTCGCGAAAACGATTTTCTGACCTTCGATGCCATGCGGCATGCGGCGCAGTGTGTAGGACGTGCGCTGCGCGGCAAAACGGACTATGGTATCATGATATTCGCAGACAAGCGTTTTTCACGGCAGGACAAGCGTTCGCGTTTACCCAAATGGATACAGGAACACTTGGTGGACAGTTTCTGCAACCTAAGTACCGAGGAGGCCGTGCAGCTGGCTCGCCGTTGGTTGCGACGCATGGCTCAGCCATTTACACGTGAGGATCAGCTCGGAATATCGTTGCTAACGCTTGCGCAGCTGGAGAGCATGGAGCAGGAAAAATTGGAGCGGCAGGCGCAGGGCAAAGAGGGTGTTGGCGGCGAGGTGCAGGAGCTGTGAATGTGTAGAACCGGTTCAAATATTGAGCGACAGCTGATCCGGCTTCCTTCCGCAAAGTTTCTTTCCACTTTTCAACAGCTGCTGTATCTGCTGCTACTGTATTTGTATAAGCGCGTTTGAAATTGCCTGTGTGTGTGTGAGTGTGATTGTTCGATTGTTTGTAATAAAAAACATTTTTGCTGCCAAGCTAATGACATTGAATGCCATTATACAGCGCGGCAAAAACAAAATTAATTTAAAAGTTAAAAGTTTTCGGCTGGCGCTTGGACATTTCGCATGCAAATTCCACTTAAATATCTTGTTAACTGTTAATTAATATTACGTATTTATAATTTGCGGTTGCAAAATTGTTCTTTCTCGTCATCATGACTAAGTGGAGGTCGACTGTCTCAAGGTAGTGGGACAAACCTTCTGGGAAAATTTCAATGCAATGAAATTTCGTCATCCATGCGTTTTTATAACTTACAACCGAAAGGGTATGCTTAAAATTCCAAATGTATGTGACAGGCAAAAGAAGATATGGCGTACATATGTACATATATGGACATGCCATTTTTCCGAACCTAAGAATACCGAAAATGTTTGAATCAAACATTTCATGTAGGAATGTCTTATACATACACACACCAAATTTATCACAAACCATATTCTTCGTTCGAAAAAGGACAAGCTTGGGGTTTTCCCAATGGGCTCCCCTGCTATAAGTGATTTTCCATAAGTCGTAATTTTGTAAATGTATTATCGCCCGACTCTAGCACCCCATACTTGTTTTGTTTACGATTGAACGTTTGATTCAAAATCTGAATCTTGTAAAGAAAATATGAAATTTAAGGAGCAAAATAATTCGATTTATGATAGCTTTATACATTCAACCGACCTTCATAATGGACGCCTATTTGGCTATTACGAAGCACAAAATTCTTATGTGCACTTAGGTCTGTATATAATAAAGGTATTGGAAGGCAAACTCGGAGTAATATCAAGGCATCCTGTACTTTTAAGCTGGAATACAAAATCTATATAATTTTTTCGCTATCTGTATATAATTGGCAACGACTTTTTAATGATTCATTTAGACTTAACAAAGACAAAAGAAAGAAAAAAACAATATAAAGCATTTTTAATTGAACATCAAAAAATTTATAACAATTTTACGCTATCTGCTTATTATTGCCAATGACTTATTAACGATGCATTTTATTTGAAAACGAATGCATCATGTTTTTCGATGCCATTCTTAATGGATGTGTTTTTTTCTATGGACACATATGTATTTGCAAACATTAATGAAATTACTCTTAGGTTTTGATAACGAAATCAAAAAAAAAAAGTGCGGTTAATAATCGTAGAAGCAGTTCGATTGGCAATTTCCTGAAGTGGTCCTGCGAGAGCGACGAGCACAATGAAATTCAAAAGCTTTGCATGCTCGTAACTAACGGCGCACGGGCATGGCCGTTACTCAAAAAGACAGAAGCCAAAAGAGAGCGCGAGACAAGCAAGTAACAAAATACAATTACTCGTAACAAATGCGACAAAGCCACGGCTCAGAGTGTGTTTGTATCTCTCATTGAAAAAGAACTTTCGATTTTTCATAATAAAAAGGTTACAACTAAATACCGAGCCGTTTAGTCGGGTAGATGCTTAGGAAACTGAAGCAAATAAAACGAGCGCGCGCAAAAATCGTGAAACAATACAAATTTGAATCGAATAAATAAAAGCGTAAACTAAAATCGGGCGTGCATACGACAAATACGACGCAAAGCTCTAGTTAAATTATTTGTTAAAGGGGCGTTAGTTAGTTTACAGTGTGTGAGATATTTTCTTATTTATATTAAATTTAGTTAAAATCAAATCGCAATTAAATTAAAAAAGCAGTAACAAAATGAAGCCGCAAGTCAACGAACAAAACGGCAGTTCCCAGAATGGCGACGTTGCCATAGATGCTGCACTTCTTGCAACGGATGCGGCTGCCACAATCAAGCCAGCCACAGCTGTTGCCGGCGCAGGTACTGGCGCTCTAGTCACTGCCAAAAATAGTCAACAATTTAAAATGGAAATCCTCAATATGGGCAATGGCAATGGTAAGTGTGTTTGTTGTTCCTGTTCCTGGTTCGCTATGCAGCGAATATTCTGTCTATTAAATTGTAGTAGCCTTTTTTGGAGTAGCGGTTTGAAAACGTTTTGTATTTATTCATTTTATTAGGAGTTGTGTCAGAAGCAATTAATAAATATATATGTATATTGATATACGAGTACAAACATACATGTACATACATATATTGAGTTTGAAAAATCTCAGAGTAGTCATTTCTCAATGAGAGCTTTTTAGAGTGTTGCAAATAAGACTCCCGACTCAGTAGGCAACAGCCGGCTGATCTTTAGCTATCTAAATAATTCATTAATTACACTCAAAAAATACACAATTTTCATAAAAATGTAGTGAATTCAAAGTGTGGAAATATCATAAATGTTATCGTGGGCTTGATTCACACCGAAGGCTTAATTACTATATTTTAAAAATTTTCTGCTATTGTAAAAAATATCAATATTGATATTAAAAGTGAGGCATAACTGTATATACTTCTCCATTTCTTACACTTTGTATTTATACCCTACAAATGCTGAAAACCGACATGGGATTTCTAGTCAATGTTTCTCTTCATTTCATATTTACAAATATTATTTTCCTGTTAAAAATATTAAAATGAAATATATATTTCTAGCATACTTTAGTCAAATCAATGGTTAGAAAAATATTAAAATGTGGTATATGTCACTCTTTGAAGTGGGTGCATATTTAAATTTAATTAAATTCAAATTGACACGTTTTAATTATAAATGCTTAAACTTTGTTTTGAATATTATTATATTATACTAGGGTCCAGCGGGACCAACTTCAAAACACTTCAATCTTTTCAATATTTTTAAAATGAATTTATGTTTAAATAAAATTGTATACCAAAAAAATAGAGCCGTACAGCTTCAATAATATTATATTATGCGTTACTATGTGTTCGTATATGTAAATATGACAGAGTTGAGCCAAATTAGCAATAACAACAACAGCTACGTGCAGACCTTGGGCATTACACTTATGGCTGGAACTTCCTTTACATTTAACCTATCATGATGAACACACACGGGATGTAATTGTCAAATTACGAGAGTTATGGGAAATCACTAATAGCGGGGAAGTGGGGATAAAGCAACTCAAACTCGTCTTTTCGCGGATATAGGAGAATCTGGATTCCCATTTTGGTTTTTCTAGCTAATTTCTGAGATCCTTGCGTTCTTACAGATGGCCAGATAGAAGAAGAGTCTGGGGTACATTAGAAAAACTTAGGAAAAACTTAGTTTGGTTTTTCTAGCTCTTATACTCTCCGAGATCTTGCTAAATAAAAAAAAAAACACCCAAAATCAAGACGTAATAGTGAAATATTACTTTCTTAAATCAAGCACGAGCGATGTCAAAAATACCAGTTTACACCTTTTTAGTACAGACTTTTCTATCTAAACGGTCAGGGTTTAAAAAACAAATTTATTATTTGTTGCTTTTAATATTCTTATATGTATGTATATTTTTCAATGAGTTACTAAAATTGCATCCATTGTTAACATATAGCACACAGCCACATTAAAAGTGGCAGTAAACTAAAATTTGAATTAGCCAAGCTGAAAAATACTATGAAGTGTTTCATTTGAAAGCATTTTAATTTAAATTTATTTTGCATTTGGTCATCAATCGACAAGTCATGTTACATCATCATTACGCAATTCTTTTTCACTAAAAAAAAATAAACAATAGGAAACCCCTTTCCAAATCGTATATTTTTTTAGCTATATAAATAATATATGTTCTTAGTATTAATCTGACCCCATATTATCTGTGTCGCTTACTGAGAAGTCGTAATATGAAATGAGGGAGGAGTAGTGTTTAAAACAGACAGAAAGACGGATGGACAGACGGACGGATAAACAATCACCGCGCTTTGAGTTCGCTTCGTCATGCTGATCTAATTTGTACATTCATGCATAGTATGTATCTAGTATGTATGTATCTATAAACAAATACACCTGTCACTATTTACTGAATGTATGAAATAAAAACAATCCTTAAGATTGTTAAGATCAAAACAGGATAAATTTTTCCTTTTCCTTTTCCTTTCTATTTTTTTAGATCGCACTGTGAAAAAGGGGTTTCCGATTAATTTTTAGAGTTACGCTACATTTAATAAAACAAGTGCTTAATGTATATTTTGAGGGTAAGGAATTTAACATTTCGGAGAGATCGGCATAGACTACAAAACCTCAAATAGCAATATGCACTTTACAAAATCACATTACTATTTTTTTCTGTTTTCAATAATACATAACTTTAACGATATTATCTGTCACAACAAGTTTTAAACGTGCTTGATTCTGGACGCCTTTTCTAATTCTGCTCGTGCGGTTCCACCTCTACATAGGTACTTATGTATAATGCATTAGCTTTTATGATCATGATCTGGTGTTGGGTAATCCAAAACCAACATCACAGCTGCCTATGCCTACGTGCTGTCCAGCTGGCTTGGCGCCACGTGCGCAATTTTGCTGAGCAATTTCATCACCTACACGGTTTTGCATAGAATTCCGAATTTAATGAGATATATCAGTTTCGAAGATTGACCCTCAAGACATAGCTCCAATTTCCGATGATGCGCAAAATGGTTCGCATAAAATAAAATTCCTCACACATAAACCGCAAATCGGAAACTCGGATTTCTGCTGTACCGAAATACTTACATAGCTTGAAAACCACATTGACAGATCGAGAAACATAAAAAAACTACTAATGTATTATGTATACGTACATAAAAAGAATACTGCCAATATTAGTAGGTAATGGAAATGGATTTATTGACATTGACATTGAAAGTTTTGCTTGGCAGTTAAGCTTGCGGATCAGGAGATCTAAAGCCAGAGATATGAGTGGCATACATAGATACATACAAACATACATACATACATACATACATACATATGTACATAGTAGATAGGCACGCAGTCGAAGCTTTGCACTAATCCGCTATTTGGCCAGCGACAACAAAAGGCCAGCGCTAAACGGCTACAGATTTGCTGGGGTGGGGCGTGCAGACCTGTACTAGTTTTCGATAGAGAATTGAAGGTTAAATGCGTTTTTTTTACCTCAGCCAGCACTACTACTGGTCACTGAGCCGGCGGCTCATGGCGTGCGAGCCAAACGATTGAGTGAGCGAGGAAACATTTTGACTTTGGTTTTGTTTTTGGTTCGATGGCAGTGGTTTTGGTCTTGGTCTTGGAGTCTCGAAGAGCTTGTTGTTAATACTAGCTGCCGCGGCGGCAGTTAAATACGATTTCGATTTGTCTTTTTATTTCTATTTTTTTAATACATTTTGTGCTTTATTCTTTGCTGTCTTTGGGTTTCTTTTGGCATGGGCATGAGTAATAAGCTACAATATAGTAGTAGTAAGCACTTCACATTTGAACGATTGCGGTCAATAAAAAATTTGCGGCCGACAACAACATGGCATACATGCAGACATATACATACATAATATGTACATATGTATATAAACTCATAGTTGAACGTTTAAAAAATTCTTAGGCCATGTTTGTTTCGCCATGACTTTAAGAATTGCACTTGGTCTCAAATTTATTCATGCGCCAAAATCGACAACCCTATAAGTTCAAAACCCCCACACAGCTGTAGAAGTCAGATTAGACACGCTCTCTTCTGGTTCTTCTTCTTCTACTATTCCCAATGCGTAATTATAAATGACTGAAAGAAGAAGAAAAACACCTGCCCTATGAAAAATGTTAATAGTACTTAATTGCATTGCATGCTTACAATTCTTTCCAACTGGTTGCAAATTCATATAACCGTAGCCCCACCGGGTCGCTGCAATTGATTTACGGCATTGGTATTTACTCGGACAATTCGTTGCATTGTGTCTGTTGCAATGTCTGATGGAATCTTAAAGATTGTTTAAGACGCATTCTAAGAAATGTGCGCCAGATGATTGTAAGCTTTCATTAACATTAATTTGAAAGTTTTGTATTAACAACATTTTCGATTTTCTACATTTTTGTCTTTAAAAGTATTAGGAAGTTATACTACACATACAGACATACGCATACTTTATATCCGTCAAAGTATACGAATTTACGAATCATAATTACCTGGAAATGGGGTTTCCTATTGTTACATGTATCCGACACATTTATGTTTCAGTTATCAAATGATATTGTGTTCATCCTCCCAGATACACTATACTATCAGTTACCACCATATTCTAAAAAATATGTACTTACATTGGCTTGGTGGAATGTGGATTCCTATATTTTCCAGTTAAATCACAATACATTGTGCAATTAGCTCACATTCCAATTCTCTTTGCTCTACTTTGAACTCGGTCGGCATTTTCTGACATTTATAGTGAACAGTGGAGATTTTATACTGATATTATCTGCAGCTGGTTTTAGTATAAGTACACTGATAAAAAAGTTTCCTAGTACAGATGAATATTTTCATATTAAATTTAAAGCTCAACTAGCTCATATTCAAATCCAATTTAAACATCGTAAATTTAAATAAAAACGTATTCAATCACTGATTTAAATATGAATAATATTCAAATCAAAGTGTAAACCTTGCCATAGTAAATTTTAATATTTTTCTCAACTTTAATTTGACGTTTTTTGCAGTCGATTTCAATACACCTAATTCTGTTTTTACACGGTCTTGATACAACACGGTTTGAAAATTATTATCATATGGTTGCACTTTATTCCATTTAGCACGTTTCTAAATAACAGCAAGGTCCAATAAGAGCTAGCCAATATAGGCATCTATTTACTTGCTGGATCTTATTATTTTCATCATCAAATTGGTTCTATAAAAACAGTTAGTTAATTAATCAAATATTTTTCTAATTTTTATGGAAGTATCTACAAACTTCCCATTCGATGCATTCGATTGTTGCCTCTTTTGTCTGCCTTTCTCTCCCTCTTTCTTGTTAAATTGCCAACAATTTTCGAACACGGAGGCACTAACATATTTAATGAAACTCATTGTAACAATTGTGGAAGTCGAGTCGACGAAAGCCGTACAAGTTTCTCTTAAACAATTAAATGTTTAATTGAAAGCTTTGGCTAAGGGTGTTGGAGTGGGATCTGAATGAGTACGGACTTCTTATAGGGTTTCCAAAGGCAACGAACACACATTTATTGTAGGTGTCATCGTCCACGCTTAAACTAGTATTAGTATATACTAAAAGTTCTGGACATGTATAATTAATGGTATTGCCGAAATTTCTAAAATCAATGATGGTAGATGTTATGAAAGCTATATATTTTATAATAAATATTGTTATATTTTCATTGTTAATATTATATATGCCTAATTAAAAAAAGTTTTTATACAAGCTGTTTTTTTTTTAAATAAAATTAATTATTTAAAAAAAATCATTTGAAACTTAACATGAGAACACAGGATGTAAATGCCAAATTTGAGTAAAAAATTCAAAGAAATACGGAAGTTATGAAAATTCATTAATAGCGTGAGAGGAGTGGGGGAGTGCAAAAGAAGAAAGACATTAACTTCTCCTTTCTCTGAGATACCAAGTTTGGTTATCCTAACACTTATACTTTCTGAGATACTTTCGTTCATACAGACAGACGGACGGACAGACAGACTTTCTACATCGACTCGTCTTGTTATGCTGATCAAGAATATATATACACCTAATTCTGTTTTTACACGATCTCTTTTTACTCGATTTTAATATAACACGGTTTAAAAATTAAAAAATATGCATAAATAATGAATATATATTTCTTTAGAGATAAGGAACCAACCATCTACTTATTTTTGCATATGATCAATGTTTTTTTTACACGGTTGTTTCTGGAACCAATCCGTGTAAAAACAGAATTAGATGTACTTTTTTGGGGCTACCACGCCTCCTTCTGTGTGTTTCATGTGCTAGTATACCCTTTATCAGGTACGGGGTGTACAAATTCCATTTCCTAAGATGGTCGAATTGATCTCAGTTGCCTATTGTAATGACTATATGAAAAGTTAGTATGTATATGAGAAGTTAGAATAAAAGCCGCCTAGTATTAATGATATAGTAGATAACCTACCAATTGAAACTGTTACCAGACATAACCAACCAACCATCGAAAAGAGTAGTTACTTGTAGGCCCTATTTTCTCTTTACATTGCTGCCATCAGTGAAAATTCGAAAATTTTACTGTGGTCTACCCATTTATTTGTAAACTCTTTATTCTTGTTCTACCTTCCAATAATATAAAAATGCGACCCATGCGTCTACATTATGGTTTCCTCCTCCAGCATATATTCGGTTAGATCGCCTGGTCCCGATATCATAGTCACAGGGACCCGATTCATCTGAGCCACTCGTTGGCTAGGCCAAACCATAATGTCAGAACAGTTCGTCAAGACGACGACGTTTGTATTTTCCGTAGATGTACACATTAGGTTTGAAGTCTTCTCAAAGTCGCATTTGTTGGCCTTTCGGCGAAAACGAAACTTAATGGGTAACGTGTTGCCCAACACGGTTTCCTCGTCAAAATAGGGCGGCGGTCCCTGGTTGTAGACCGGGTTGGTGGTGGCAGGCTTGGTGAGCTCCTCCACTAATACTGATGTCTTGAGGCGTCTACAAGGATCACACATACTTTGTGCATTTGTGCCGGCTGGACTGGTGCTGGCGCATGGATCAACTGGTTGCTTTGCCACCCCATCCTTGACAGTGTCTGCGGCACTGCCACGTTTCCCATCTTTCTTCTGCTGGGGCTTCATGGGATCCTCGCCACGCTCCACGCACTGCTGCAGAAAATCTTCTTCCATGTCGATTAGGCGCTTTACGGCGCAATCCCGCTTTAGAAAGTTTTTTATTATGGATAGGTCACGTGGTACCGCACCAATGACGTCATAGTCGTCACATCGCACTTGTATGCGGTGCGCCATAGTGACCAGGACCAGGCACTAGAATAGGAAGACGAACAACCAGCGAGAGTAAATTTTGAATTTCTTTTTTTTATGCAGACTGTGTCTGTTGAGTATTTAAAGTTTAGAAGGACTTGACAGCTGGGTAAAAGCAAATATTTGACCATTTATCATTGAATGAGTCTACAACAACAAAAATGGTTTTATATCGTCTACACAAAAAATTAGCCTTGACAGGTTCAAGTTGGAAGCAGACAAAAGCCCACCAGCCCACCAGCCCCATCGGCCCAACGCTCAGCGAAAGCAACAAGTTTAAATGTGAACTTGCCACATACTACATACATACTTGTATGGGCGCCACAAAATGTGTCAACTTTGCAGTGAGAAGTCACGACTGGTGGGTGCCATGGCTCTTGTTAAAAAGAGCAAAGTGCCATTAAAGGCCCTTTTAGGACCGTACAATACAATTATATATTGGTCCAAAGCAGAAGTAGCTGTAGAATTGAACCATCGCTCATTTCAATCTAGTTCATTGTTCTTTAAGTTCTAAACAGATTTCTTCGTTCGGATTCTATGTTCATTTTCTTCAGAGAGAATTTCATCAATTCGTCGAATTAAAACAATTAATTTTATCAAAGGCTTCCTCCACTCTCATTTACTGCTATTTTTTTTTGGGTTTCAGTGTAATGACCCTGTTAGTCTATCAATATCTCATCGAATACAATCTGCAGACTTGCATACAATTATTTTTATTACGATAAGTGTATTCCTAAATAATAAACACTATTGCAAGGGGTAGTATTGCAGGCAGTTTTATGATGTCCGTTGATAGTTTAGGCAGTCATGGGACACTTGCATAAGTCCTGCTACGAAGCCTTATCTTCATGGCTGAAAAGTTTAGAAAAGAAAAGACCCAAGGCACAAAAATAATAATATATAAATGAATATTAACTATTAAAGTGTTATATTAAAATATAACATAGCTATAATAACCCTTATGTGTTACTTAAGATATCTTTATTTGCAAGTTGTTTTAATTTTATAGCTAATCAGTTTTATTTTTGAACTTCCTTTAATACATACTTCATATTGAAATCTGCAATTAATAGTCCTAAAAGTAATAAGCTTTAACTTGTTGCATAATAAATACAAAACAAATATAATGACAACATTAGGATTTGCAAATGCAACCTCTCATCGGAACATGTTGCTAAAGACATTCGGGATACGGAGAGTTCAGTTTAACAAAGCTTTCGAGTTAATTTTGCGCTCTACTTTTGAAATTCTCTTCGGCTCACCCTTAAGCGTAGGAGCGCGCATGTAATTGCTGAGAGCCGCTCACAGCTCCAAAACTTGCTGGCAAACTTTGGCACTCACCAAAGCTCTGCTCGAAGTTCTTATTTTAATTTCTTACTTCGGGCTGCGCTCAGTCAGTTGTGCAAAGCATTTCAAATCGGACGCAACGTCTAAAAAGCCGACGAGTTGAAGCGCAACCAATAATTCGTTCAATACATCTTTTTTTTGTGTATTTATATTTTGGCTGTACGCAAAAGTTGGCTTAGTTTTTGCTTAAGTGCTTCAAATATTTAAACAACATTATGAGCTTCACACGACAATTGTCCGAAATGAGCGCCAGCGAGCTGAACGATGCCATCGATGACACAAATTTTCCGCAGGCCCACATCCTTTCGCGCGGTCGTAACAATAGTGTTTGCTCAACAAGTAGCACCTCTGGTACTTCCTCGCTGATTGACCGTGCGCTATCCCATTCCGAAGAGACTAATAATGCAGCCCCATCACCCGAGGAGAAGGGCGCAATTTCAGAGAACGCCACAGCATCCCCGACTACGCCTGCATCTACAAATCGGCCACGTTTAATACTCAAAACGAATGGCACTATTCCGGAAACTGATGGTACACAACCGAAAACACCAATGACACCGCGCACATCGACAACGCCAGGTAGTTCGGTGCCGGATTGTAGTAGGTGTATAGTAGAAAATACTTAAATGTCTAGCAGCAGGTGAAATGTAGTTGGAGATGCCTGAGTGAGGGGTCTATTTTCAAACAGTAGTACCAAACAGTAATCATAGACTCGACAAGTCTAATATTAAATTAATAATATTGTCATATCTTAAAATAACTAGAACTTAAAGTGCTTAAGATGGTACAGCTAATATTTTGTGGTATGTACGTGTATAAGTGATTAGAGGTAAATGATCACACTTAATATAATTTTGTTAATAATTCCTGTTGAATAGTGTACCCCACACAATGGTGTCTATGCCTTAACAATCTAGCAGATTTAATTTTATTGCCCCCCATGAAATTATTTGCAATTTGTTGTATATTGAATTAAATGTTCAGTTAGAAAGAAAATGTTCTAAGCGAAAGTCAGCCCAACAGCAGAGATAAGCTAATTTTGAACTGATAGAAAGTCACGTTTGGGTCAATAGTTCAGTGAATTATGTGATATGGTGGACTTTTTTTTATTGTTTTGTTATTACTTACAACAAGAAACGGCCATTGGCAGTCTGATTAGGTCTGATTCTTATCGCAGCAGCGTAGCGTTAAATATGAATGGATTTATTTTCTAAGACGCTTACCTATTTGTTCTGCTTGCAGGCCATGAGAACTGCACTTTCCATCATGATCTGGAGCTGGATCACAAGCCTCCGACGCGTGAGGCACTTCTACCGGACATGGCGCGCTCGTATCGGCTGCTGCTTGGCGGACTAGGTGAGAATCCCGATCGCCAGGGTCTGATCAAAACACCGGAACGTGCGGCTAAGGCAATGCTCTACTTTACCAAAGGCTACGACCAATGTTTGGAGGGTGAGTACGAAATCTTAGATAAAATAAATAATGAAGACAGAGTCCGATAGTGGGGTTTACCATGGCCCTTTTCGGTGTTACAACAACTGAGTTCTTTAAAACCGAAATTGGAAAGTATGGAAACACTCAGCCTACCACTTGCAACGACTTTTTGTTTATTAGTGTAATTATAAATATTTGCGTGTTAAAGTGTCTTGCTAATTATCACAACCAAGCGCTTAAGCAGCAGGGGAGTTTCTGCACTGGTCACTGATCCATTCGGTGCGTCATAAGACAGTCGTGGCATTTCCCAAGTCGCATGCCCGAAAATGAAACTAGTTTTGTATCGGTTAACTGTGAATCACTATCCGAGTGTACTTCACCATTATCTCGCCCATGTCCATACCCATGCATTAAGCTAATTGCTAGTGTTCCCAATTGTGACATCAAGCAGATAGGCTGTTATGGGGTAGATGTATCTATTTATGACGTACAACCGGTGCATCAAATATGTATCGCTAGCCAGAGATGTTACTATAACTTCGTCGCGAAGACTCGCCTAGGGAATTTCCAAGTTAATTGCCATTGCAACTTAAGTATATTCTTACTCACGCAGTATAATTTTATTGCATGATAATTGCTAATACTCGTACATATTTGTCTCTAAACCGGTTCCTAAATGGTCTGATCGAAGCTGGTTTGTGTTCTAATAAAATCGCATATGTAAATCAAACAAGCGGCCCGGCAACATTGAACATTTGAAAGCAAAAAGAGACACAAACGCAAAAATTCAAAGATAAAGACATAAACGAAAGTTAACAGCCTTCGAAAATAAAACACAAATGTACGCATGCATGTACATATGTACTTGTATGTATGTTTGTACGTACATATGTACAAAAGTATGCTTGAAAAATACACGATTTTGTAGTACTTGATTGTCTAAATTGGATTTAGATGCGAGTCCAACTGACATTAAATAAAGTACATACTTTAAGCTTTACTGAATCCACATGCACCTTCAACGCCTGCTGCCGCTGACATTGAAAACAAAAACAAAACTACTACATACGTATGTATGTATGTACGTACATATGTATATGCATTACAGGTGGCTATGCCAAATTGACAGGAAACGTCCTCAAGCTTTTAAGGATTGCGTTTGCGTGCAAAGGCTTTGAATGCGTAGGTGTAAGCGGTCGAGCACACGTTAAAATGGTGCAAAAAAAGTTCGAAGCCAACAAGTGCCATTTAAGCAAAAGCTCAAGCAGGAATGGCCAACAACAAGTGGGGGAAAACTTCACAGGCAGCACTAAGCAATGTCATCACAAGCAATGTCCATCACATTAGCTCTTAAGTGCGAGTTGGAAGTATGTACAATGAAAAAATTGAGAAACTTAAGCATTCTATTCCGCTACTTCGTTATGCCTTGCATTTTTATTGCGCATAAATTAAATCAAACGTAAATCACTTCAAAACATAGAATTGTAAGAGGAACTATAGCTACGGTGACTTATGTGGCAATTGGAAAAGCTTGTTAAAGTGACTCCGTGGCGCAACGGTAGCGCGTCTGACTCCAGATCAGAAGGTTGCGTGTTCAAATCACGTCGGGGTCAAATCGGATTAGCAATCGGATTAGATTATTTCAATCGTTTTTTTTCCTTTTATCCTTCTTTTTTCATTTCTAAAAATTAAATATAGAGACGAGCACAGAGGTAGACATGACTATAGCGAGTCATCTTCGGTCGACTGATGAAGAATATTAGTATATAGCGTTACATACATTCGAACTAAACCAGTATACCTTCTACCAATTAAGTACATGGTCTAAAAACGCATAGTAAATATTCATATTAAGTAGGAGCTTTAAAAAACGGCACCTATGTATGTTTATAATTTATATGCTGGGAAATAACTAGTGATACTCTTTTCAATTTGGGTAGAGGAACTAAAAATGTCTTGTAAAAATTCATACTTTATAAAAAAAATAAGCTGCATCGGCCGGGAATCGAACCCGGGCCGCCCGCGTGGCAGGCGAGCATTCTACCACTGAACCACCGATGCTCTTTATAACCCCTTGAAATACTAGTGTGGCTGAAAGCTGATATTGATTGATTTACTAATCGTAGGTATAATACCCTAATTAGTGAAGTTATCAAATATAATCCATTTAAAAATGTTTTTATTTGAAATTGATCTTGGCAACCATATTATAAGGACTCCGTGGCGCAACGGTAGCGCGTCTGACTCCAGATCAGAAGGTTGCGTGTTCAAATCACGTCGGGGTCAAATGAAAAAAACACTTCCTGAGGCTTTTTTTTTCCTATAAACATTTTATTTTTGTATATATTTATTTATAATGGAAATATTTAACTCTTCAACATTAGAATTAAAATAATTCTTCACAGGTAAGGCCTTTATTGGTTTCCAAGTATAAATAGTTTTTATAAATGTATATTCCGAATTGTTTTACTGACATTTTTTATCCACACAAATCAATTCTATTAGTTTAAACTTTTGTCCTTATTAACCTAACCACTGTATCTCACAAAAAGATAAAGCGTATTTAAAAAAATCCGGATAAGATTAGAATCAATTTATTCATTTAGAAATTCCACAAGTCTATAGTATCACGGTATAATCCAATAATGAACTAAATATTTGGTGGGGTAATTTTGACTCAGAAGTTTGTGGATAATTGTAGTATTAAAACAAGAAAGGAATGATAATGAATGAAACTTGGTATACGGATATATAGTGAGTTTATATATCTGGATGTGTCTACCAAATTTTAGTTCAAAATTCCAAGTATTCCATTATCCTGAATGGGGGGAGTGGGGGGTGCATCGGGAAAAATGAACAAACTCGTCCTTTCTCGGGCCCAGGAGAATCTGTATATATATATACCAAGTTTGGTTATTCTAGCTCTTATACTTTCTGAGATCCTTGCGTTCATACAGACAGACGGACAGACGGACATAGATATATCGACTCGGCTTGTCATGCTGATCAAGAATATATATACTTTGTGGGGTCTGCCACGCCTCCTTCTGTGTGTTACATGTACACTCGCACAAAACTAATATACCCTTGTACCCTTTGGGTACCGCGCATATCTAAACAACAAACGTAAGGGAATGGACCGAAGCTAAAAACGATGAAGACGGAATATCCTGCGCCTATATTATTTTCAACTACGAATATTTCCTACGATATAACTGATATTGCAAACCGTTTTGGATAATGGTGAGCTATTATAAAAAGCCAATAACTAGCAATTTTGGTTACAATATAGTAAAAAAAAAGGTTATGCTAAGATTCATTTTTGCACCGATCGTTGCTAGGGAGCTTGTGATCCGATTTTGAGTATCGTTTAAGATTATAAAATAAGCGCTTGGACCAATGAAAATTAATAGGCGACAATAAGAACTATTCCTGAAAATATATCAAGCAGTGGCTGAGCATCTGATTTTTCATAGATTGAAATAAACAACAACTTTTTTCGCTACAGATGTTTTAAATGGCGCCGTTTTTGACGAGGATCACGACGAAATGGTGGTAGTAAAGGATATAGAAATGTTTTCAATGTGTGAACATCATCTAGTCCCATTCTACGGCAAAGTATCGATCGGGTATTTACCTTGTAACAAAATTCTGGGACTAAGCAAATTGGCACGGTAAGTGAAAAATCAGCCTTCTTACAGCAATAAATTTAACAATTTTTCCTTTTTTAGTATTGTGGAGATCTTTTCGCGTCGTTTACAAGTGCAGGAGCGTTTGACAAAACAGATCGCTGTTGCCGTAACACAGGCGGTGCAACCAGCTGGTGTTGCGGTTGTTGTTGAAGGCGTGTAAGTATTAACACTAGTCTCTCTCATTGGCCAATCAAATTATTAAACAGGAATCGGGTTTCAAATCCTCAAATTTTGTTGTCATCTTGATTCTTTGTCCGAATAGTTCTTAAACATTTATTTCCAACATAGTCTTTTTCTCAGTCAAGACACTTCTTCTTGCCATTCCCCCACTTCTTTAATCCCTCCAAAAAGTATTCGCCGCCCTGCATCCTAGGAAGTTAAAAGCCTCCCCATTTCATTTTACCTTGTGACCCCCCCCCCAGCGCAAGTTATAGTATTTCTTCGCTAACAACTTTTCTTAGAATTGACCGAGTTGGATAGAATTCAAATCAAACGTAGAGAATTATATACATATTTATTATCTGTAGTTGCGCAATTATTGGCAGTATTAACCAAATTCTCTAACGGGAGAGTGGTTAAAGAGTCAAAGCGCAATTCATGGATTTTTGTTATGCTAACTCCTGATGTATGGGAACACTCGGACGCCTTTCATCACCTAACGTCCACTTTTAAACTCAGCTGCCCGGAACTTACACATGAAAAAGTTTAGTTTAGGGCAGGGGAAGCCGTTACAATATGAAGTCGACCACACATTCATTATTAAATTATTATTTTACAATTTGCTTGAAGTAGTTCTGAAAAACCAATTCCCATGTAAATGTGCAGACATACACCGTTTACATGAGTTCGTATTTCAAAGTCGGGCACCCAACTTTAGCTATTCCACTTGTTTTTATTAAATAGGGTCTGACACGTCTTCTTTTGGTCCTCAAACATATTAGACCAAATGCAAGTTACTTCTTAATCTCCTTTTTTGTTATTCTCTTCCCGTCATTTCTGCTTATGAGTTGTTTCATTTGGCTTGCTTCTTGATGTTTTCCGATGTAAGCCTACGTGCCTATTAGATATGGTTTGCTATTTAGTAGTGGTAGTCTAACACTATGGAAAGAAAAGGTGCACCTAATTTTTATTTGTTATTGACTAGGGCTGTTTAGTGTGCCTTAATGTCCGTCCGTTCTAACCACTGTTTTGTGGTTTTAGGAATCTCAATGCAGAAAGCATATAATAAGCAAAAAATAAAAATAAAATAATTGTATTGCATCGGCCGGGAATCGAACCCGGGCCGCCCGCGTGGCAGGCGAGCATTCTACCACTGAACCACCGATGCTTGTTGCAGGTTCGTTTCAAATGTGCTTTAAAAGTATGACCCTCTCAGTTAAGTTAAGTTTTACACCAAGTGCGCATACGCAGCGTGATTTTTGCAACATAATGCGAATAAATAATAATCTGGCTTTCATCAATTTTATCTCTTTGCAGACATATGTGCATGGTCATGCGGGGCGTGCAGAAAATCAATAGCAAAACCGTGACCTCTACTATGTTGGGCGTGTTCCGGGATGATCCAAAGACACGCGAAGAATTCCTAAATTTAGTTAATAGCAAATAAACGTAATGATTAAACCTGAATTAGACAACAACAATACGAAAGATACAGAATATTCTTGAATATAAAAATAATAATATATTTAATAATGTAATATTTTTGGAGGCGCATACATACATATAGTATGTATTTCATCTTAACGAATACAATAACGCAACGAACACAGGGTCCAATAGTTCATGTTTATAGTTTTGTTCTCGTTTATTGTTAGTGCAATGTTTACAGGCATTTCAGTTGTCAACTGGTAAAGATTGTGTAAGATTTATTTTAAATTTTTAAATAGCGAAATATATGAAATAAAATATTGAATACATAATACATTTGTATTTCAAGCTTAAAAACACTGCATATTTTGGTGTTGGGTATATACGTACGTTAATTTTATAAACACTTTAATTGCACATGCATATACATATACATAATAATTTTTAAGTAAACAACATGAGACATTATGGCAAACTGTTTAGGGAATTTACAAAATAAAAGTATGTAATTCAAACATACATACGTATATACACATATACATATACATATACATATATATATATATATATATATATATATATATATATACACACATATACATATATACACATATATTAAAATTTAAAAAAAAACGTTTAAAAATGTTAAAAGTTAAATACGTTTAAATATTGTTGCTTGTGAAAAAATAAAACTGCTCGAATAATTAAATATATAATGCTTTAAATAAAATCGTGTTGAATATATGAGAAAAAAAAACGTGTTTCCATTATATTTTTCATCAAAACCTTGCCAAAATTGACCCTTTAAAAACAAAAAAGACAGTTTCCTGACCCCGACGTGATTTGAACACGCAACCTTCTGATCTGGAGTCAGACGCGCTACCGTTGCGCCACGGAGTCTCTTGCGCAACTGGTACCAACTTCGGATCAACAAATTTGTTAATTAAACAAAGAATCTATTTAAAATCAAAACATAATTACTTTTATTATATTCAAACACTTGAATAGATAAAAGACGAAACCCCGTCGGGTGCAATTGATTCAATATTCGTCTTTAGTAATAACAATTCTCCGAAGAAAGCCGTGTATGGGCATCGGTGGTTCAGTGGTAGAATGCTCGCCTGCCACGCGGGCGGCCCGGGTTCGATTCCCGGCCGATGCAAGAATGCACGTTATTTTTTGATAAAACATACATATATATATGTATGTATTTGATATTATTAAATAATTGAAACAGATAGGGCATTTTACAACAGCCACTTCTCCCCTCTATCTCCATATAATAATTAATAAGTTGAAATGGGCAATCATATTCTTATGATGATGACTTTATTAATTATTGAAAGGCGTTTTTAATTACACAACCAACAAACCGTATAGCCACCCTACAGAGAACTACCTTAACATTTGGGAAAACTTTTGTACTCTGTGCACGAAGATTATAAGACTATAACATCGTTGCGTATTTGAAACAAACAAGTTGGCGGTGTCCAGCAGGCACATAAATCACTAACGAGTTACCACATTTTAGTTCAAAATCTAAGAATTACGGGAGTTATGAAAAACACACGAGTTCCGGGGGAGTGGGAGGAGGAGAATCTGAATACCTAGTTTGGTTATTCTAAGCCTTGCAATTTCTGAGATCCCTGCGTTCATACAGCTCGTCTCGTCTTGTCATCCTGATCAATAATATACTTGTATGTATGTACTTTGTGGGGTCTGCCACTCCTCCTTCAGTGTGTTACATACATTCGTACAAAACTAGTATAGCCTTTTACCCTTTGGGTACAGGCTATAAAAATAAACAAACTTTATCTGCTTGAACACCATGTTTGGTTATTCTAGCTCTTTACTTCCTGAGATCCTTACGTGCATACAGACAGACGGACTTGGCCACGCCTCCTTCTTTGTATTACAAACATTCGCATTAGAGTTTACCCTTTGGATACAAATTTACTATTTAAATTTTAAGACTATAATAATTCTACTTTTCACATTACAAAATATTTCCACAAATTATTCAAATCCCAAATATATCGACTGGTTTTTACTTTTTATATATATTTTTACTCTGTACATGAAATGTACAAAAGTATATTAGGTTTGCGCGAGCTGAAAAATGTAACAGACAGAAGGAGGCGTGGCAGACCCCACAAAGTATATAAATTCTTGATCAGCGTGATAAGACGAGTCGACAGGGCTACTGTCTGTCCGTCTGTCTATCCGTATGAACACCTGAATCTCAGAGACTATAAGAGCTAGAGATACCAAATTTTGCACAAAGATGCCTTATGTGTGTACGCTGTGCAAGTTTGTTTTATTTTTTTAATTTTCCCCCCAAAATATGTATTTTGGAATTTCCCTCCCTCCCCCTCTCACCAACAAATCGTGATTTTCTCTAACTCCCGTAATTCCTGGAATTCAAATTTTGCAAATACCCCCAGTTAGTGACTATGTGTCCGTATGCTAAGATTTATTATGGTATACCGATTTAACGAGAAGTTATAGCCATAAATATATTTGCTGACCAAGCGCTGCCCGTAGCTGCAGATTATAAATAAATAATAGCAAAAAAAAACTGGTTCCAAATTGCTGACCCCGACGTGATTTGAACACGCAACCTTCTGATCTGGAGTCAGACGCGCTACCGTTGCGCCACGGAGTCCACATATTATTACTTGTCTAAGGTCGCATTTAAGTATTTTACATATGCGCCATCTGTTGAAGTACATGTATGACGCTAAAATAAAAAGCAAATATATCGATATAAGCAAAAGTTACAATCAAGATTAATTTTGACCTGAACCGATGTTACGTTCAAAGACCACAGTTGAAATTGGTATATCTGAAGACTCAATGACTTATATATGTTACCAACATGTATAGATATGATAATAGTGCTACAAAAACGAATATCGATATTTCAAGTATACAACGATGCTTTCGATATATCGATGCATATTTTACACCACCATTACGAATCGCAGCCAACTTCACATCAACGCGCTCTGTACATTCGCGAATCGTGTTTGTGGCCGAAAAAGTGAATTTTTCGCGAAAACAAATTGAATTTGCATGCATAGTAAAGGCATTAACGCCACTAACAATTAAATACACATTATTAACGCGTCCAAAGCACGCGCTTTAGCGTTTCCCCTGTGCGTTCTAACTTTTTCCACACCAGTGTCTCGGTGCACGCGTGTGTGTGTGTATTTTGTGCGTGACGCGCTGCTACCGCCAACCAAAATTAAAACATAAAAATGGATTTGGCGAAGCTGGAAAAGATGAAGGTAGTTGACCTGCGTAACGAACTGCAAGCGCGTGGTCTAGACACCAAAGGTGTAAAAGCCGTTCTCGTAGAGCGTTTGCGAGCTCATGTCGAAGGTTCTGGTGCCGGCGGCGGCGATGGAGGTAAGTTTGTGTGTGTATGCATCGTGTTTGTATGTATGTGTGAATGTGTTTTGTGTATGCACATACGCTTTTTTCTGCGCGGGTAATGTGCTCGCGTGTGTGTGTGTAACGCGGCTCAACAGCGCGTCGCGTTTTGTGTGTTGTAAATTTGTCTTATATAACCAAACATCTTGACCACTTAACGAACACGTCATTTTACACAATCTTTTATTTTACCGTTGCGGCAGACGGTACGCCAGTCACACCGAGCAGACGGCAACGTCGAACACGTTCAATGTCACGATCACCTTCGCCGGTTGCAGCTGCGCCTGTTGCCACTGAACCTGAGCTCGAAACATTGGCGGAGGAAGAGCAGCCAACAGAGATCGTGGATGATTCCGAGGCGGAAGAAGCTGTGGAAACGCATGCTGAGGCCGATGACTATGAGAATGAACAGGAAGCAGTGAAAGCGAGCGAAACTGATCAGGCAGCTGAAGCTGGGCCACAATCAGAACATGAGCAGGATAATGATGAGGACATAAGATTCCAACACAACACAGCAGGCGAGCAAAATGTTCATACTGAGTCCCATGAATCTTCTGAAGATGCTGAGACGGGCGAACCATACAAAGAATCTGGGGAACAGGATCAACGGGCAACCGAAGTTACCGTGGAAAATGGTCAGAAGATGGATGTGGATCAAGAAGATAATTTTGAGAAGGGGATCGACCAGGATGGCGATACTGCCGCGACTTCCACTCATGACCAGGAGCAGGAGAAAGATAAAACAGATAAGACGGACAAGCCGCACGATGACTCCCGAAGCACCAGTGAGCGGCGCAAGCGATCGCATAGTCACACACGCTCCCGCACTGGATCGCGCTCGCCAAAACGTCGGAGTGGCGATAAGCGCGACTCCAAGGTGGTTGAAGAGCGATCTGTACCAGAGGACGAGCCCATAATCGCAGATAAGCAAGTCGGACTAAGTTGGCGTAAGTGGACAACTCTTTTTTTTTTTTGTAAATTAAATAAACTTATCAAATATATTTCTAATATGCTTCTTTAACTCCTTCCCAGTTGATTCCGATTTGCATTTACGGATCGATGCCAATAACTATACGTCGGCCAAACCCTTGAATGCGGAAATATATTCGCTGATCTGGTCCGGGGCTCGCGCCAATTACGGTGTCCGCGAAGGCAAAGTGTGTTACGAAGTGCGCCTATCGGAAGAGTCGCAGCCGGAGAATTCCCATCATTTTCGCGATGAGCCACATGTTCGCGGCTTTCGCGTTGGTTTCTCCACGCCAAAGTCCTCACTGCTGTTGGGCGAGGCAGAACATTCCTATGGCTATTGTGAGAGTGGCCGGAAGGCCAGTAATAGCGAGTTTACGGAATACGGCAAACCATATCAATTGGACGATGTGATTGGCTGTTATTTGGACTTGGATAGCACACCTTGTCACATAAAGTATACGCTGAATGGCGAAGATCTTGGTGTAGCATTCGAGTTTGACAAAAGTGTGTTAGGTGAGGAGGATGCACTTTTTCCACATATTGTTACCAAAGGATATGAGTACATCGTTAATTTTGCGGATGGAGAAAATTTGCTGGTCAATGCAGAACGACCAACGCGTAAGCGTCGCAAGCCACGCAAAGAGTCTGTGAAAGAAGACGATGAAGGTGAAAAGTGGAAGGTGCTAGATGAGGCCACTGCCGACGATGATGAGCTTGAAAAGAAGGACGAGAAGGAAGAAAAACCGGAAACGGAGCAAGGCGATGCTGAAACAGTAGAAGAGGCGTCAGAGTCCGTCGTTGCTGAGAACACTGAACAATCGGAGAAGCAACAAGCAGAATCCCCAACAGCCATGGATACCGGGGAACCTGACCAAAACCAGAATGCAACAAATGGTATGTTTAGAATAAGTGCATAAAAATTAAAACTAATAGAATGATTTGCTTATACAGCCGAAGATGAAGTGAAAGCAGCCGATGAACCTATTGGCGTAATCAATGGCGACAGCGAGAAGCGAACGGATGAGTCTGCTGCAAGCGAGCCATCGGCAGCTGAACAAACCGAAAAATCAGTCGAACAGGCTGATGACGATGAAGAGGACGGTCCATCGCCCAACAAGCGATCCAAAACTGATGAATCTGAGAAAGAAGCTGCGTCATCTGTTGCAGCTGAAGATGAATACGAGGACGTGGTACCCTTGCCTCGTGAGACCGCTGCCCTTTTGCCAGGCTATGTGCTGATCGCACTCGTACCCGTTGAACAACTGATTGCAGGCCCACAACGTGCCGAATCGCGCAAGGAATGTGAGGTCATATTGTTAGTGGGACTGCCTGGCGCAGGTAAAACACACTGGACACAAAAGCACGTGGCTGAGAATGCCGAAAAACGCTATGAAATTATAGGACCTGATGCAATCATAGCCAAGATGACGGTAAGCTTTAGTGATTGTTTAAGAATTAGTTATGTTTGAACCGAATTATTCTCGCCTAAGAATGAAGCCAACACATTAGAAATATATTGAGATGTTAGTGTTTCGAGACCCTTTCTCACAAACCAAACTCAAAGTGTTTTTGAGATTCCTAGAAGAACATGAAAGCTACAAGTACTGACGTTAATTGTTTTAGTTAATCTTAATTAAACTTCAGATCATAGTGAGTAGTTGACAACATGCGACATGAACAGTTCCAACAATATAATTTCATCTGTTGGCAACAAACTTGACTTATTCGAATTTATCTGGATACTAAATTTAGTTATTCTAGCTTTAATGCTTTCTGAGATCCTTGCGTTCATACAGACAGACGGACATTTTCATATCCAAGTAGACTCGTCTTATCTTACTGATCAAGAATATATATACTTTGTGGGGTCTGCCTCACTGAGTTGACCGCAAGAAAGTATATATTGTTATGCATGTTTTGTTATATAAATATAATCTCTGTTAGATATTGTAGATGTATGTTTGTCTCTTTTTTAAATAATTTTTTTTTTTAATATGTGTGCTCTTTGAATCATGTTACATTTCCGTAATTTTGCGGATACAAAACTCAAATCAGAATATTGCTTTCTTATCAATTAAAAATTTATTATTTTGATGCATTATTTTATTTATTTGTTTCTATTACTTTTTCAGATTGATGGAGCATCGCGCAAAACTGTGCACAAGGGTCGCTGGGACAAGGTCTATGAAATATGCTTAAATAGTCTGGGCGGACTTGAAGACATTGCCATGAAGCGTCGTCGTAATTTCATACTTGATCAGGTAAAGCACAAATCTGAGTGTGCATAGTATGCACACAAACATACACGCATATGTATTTTTATATATATGCAAAACACACAAACACACACACACCTAAACACCCAAAAATACACATAACGAACGAACACAAAAAAGCGAGAATTATGCGTTGATGATGTGCCGCCCATGATTTTGAGATCATGGGACCGGTCAGGAAAGTTGCAAAATTTGCGAGAAAAAAGAAATGAAAAACTGTCCACCGTGCATTTTAGGTGGACATTTATTTTTGTTTTGTTTTGTACAAGTCATATTATGCAAAATCCAATCATATATTTTGCTCATTTAAAGACCCAAGCGTATGCGCGTATTGCTGCAGCGCCACCTTAAAAGGGCAGGTATGTTTAGACCTCTAAGTTGGTCCGATAATTAGTTTGCCTAAGTTTGTTGGCTGTAAGTATATGCGTTTAGATGTAAGTTTAAGTTTTAGGTGCAACAGTTGACTGTAGAGAAAATAAGCAGTGGTTGCATGAGGAGGATGATGATGGAAAGAAGGATGTTAATGGATGGCATATGGATTTGTGGAGCGTGCGGCATGGAAGCCACTGTAAGTAGACACACAAATCAAAAATACCAATGACCGCAAACGGCTACTACTTATCACATTTTAGTATCTACATATACAAGTCTTTCTATCTCTAATATGCCATCTATATATAAATATATATGTATATCCACACAGAACTAAGCGTTGCCACAACCACAACTGCTGCTATATACATAACTGTCTTACTTAATAACAATCAACTTTTATAAAAACACCTTATTAAGTCAACTGTTGTTTGTTCTACTATTTTAAAGAAGAGTAGAATTGAAAAGGTTTGGGCCTGTGGGGCCCACATAAATCAACTACCGGGCATAGTTGCCTGTATATATACATACAAATCAAATGTGTATAATGAGTAACAGAACAGGTATGTGTTAGTCTATAAGTCAACAACGAGATCCAAAACAATTGCGTTTGGTTAACAACGTGAAGTCTGTCGTCGATTCTGCGACCAACGACACCAACCGGCACCCACAATACTTCAACGACAACAATCATCATCAACGTGTTTCTCAAACGACTTATCCCAACAATTCAACAAGCGACGGCTACAGAAAACTGCAACAACAATTACAACTTGTACCAACCACACACATTATTTTGTAGACCAATGCCTATGCCTCGGCCCAGCGACGTAAAATGAAAGGTTTTAACGACTTCAAACGCATTGCCGTCGTTTGCATACCAAACGAGGATGAATTGAAACGTCGCATCGCCGAAAAAGAGGAAAAGGGAAATGCTTTTACAGTTAAAGAATCAACAATTAATAATTTACGAGGTAAATATTGTTCAACAAAACCACACAACAAAAAGCAGCGAAATAATAATTTCCAATTTATGAAAATAGTGAAGTACACCAAAAAAAAAGTGTTCAAACAATTTCGAAAACGTTTATAAATAATACTTACAAGTGTTATATATAGTGTAGTTTAGGAAATTCCCATTTAGTTTGTAAGCAGCTGCGTTTTATGTATGTGAACATTTGTATGGTATATTTAAGATTCTTTATTTTAAAAATATTTTCATTTTCATTTTTTTTATTGTAATCCAACCCGTCCCCTCTTCCCCTACAACTGAGCTTACGGGTGTATGTGCAAGAAAGAATATGGGTGACATCCTAAAATTAATGTTTTTTGGTCTTCCATTCTATGTGTGGAACATTAAAGCTTTTCAAAATATATCTCTCATCTACCCACTCTCGTTAAAAAATGTCTCATGAGAACAATGCTTATCCTTTAAAAAGTTAATGTAGCACTTGAGAAGCCTGGGACGCAATAAACAATCCGATAATCACCCAGTATACAAATGTCCGCTTTAGCTCAATTGGGGATTCGTACTGGTATGTCCGTCCAGTTAGTATTCTTTCTGGATCTTTTTGGATGTATACACTCTGTGACACAAAAGGTCACAAATGTGGCCCATTTTTTATTTTTTTATTTTTCCTTTATAACTTAATACGCCTTCTACTCGATAAATGTTCTTAATTACATGTAAAGTACGTATCTTTCATAATCGAGTCCCATACTGATGAAATACTCGCACTCTTTTTGCAGCCAATTTCACGCTGCCCTCGCTTGAGTTTGGCTGGTTTGATGACATCATCTATACGGAGTTGACTGGCGACGAAGCCAAGGCCGAGGTAAAGAAATATAACGAGAAGGGGAAGAAGGCCATCGATGCCGACCGTTCGCGGGACAAGCGTTCTAGGGGTGGTCGGGACTATCGACGCGACGATCGCAACCGCAATCGTTATGGAGATGACAGACGTCGCGACTATGGCGGACAGCGAAATGACAGTCGCTGGAACGATTCCAGACGAACTGGTGGTAGTTACTCCAGCGCCGGGGGCGCCAGTGGCGGAAGTCGGGGCTATGATAATCGTAATCGTGGATACCCTGGAGGCGGGGGTGGAGGAGGAGGAGGAGGAGGACAACAGAACTGGATGCAGAACAATCGTCAACGCTATGATGATCGCGGCTACGGTGGCGGCGCAGGCGGTCGTGGCTATGATAATCGCAATCGTGGGTATGGAGGCGGCGGACAACAAAATTGGATGCAAAACAATCGCCAACGGGGCTACGAAGATCGCGGCTATGGCGGGGGAGGCAGCTCACGGGATTATCGCGATCGAGATCGCGGAAATGATCGCAATCGCATGGGCAACAACAATGATCGCAATCGGGGTAACAGTAGTGGCGGCGGCAGTAGCCAAAGCAACTATCGGTCCGGCGGTGGCAATCATCAACAACGGGATTTTCGGCCTGGCCACCGCGACACCAAAGAAGATAGTCGCGGTGGCTATGAGCGGTCAGCTGCCCAAGCGTTGCCCAAGTACGGCAACAATTCGGCCATGAATGCAGGCTACGATCAATACAAGCAGTCCAGCGGCACGCCCGGCGGAAAGGTAAGTCATACGAAGGGTGAAACGTTTGTCCCTAAAATAATAATAAAAAATCGTCTACAGTCCTCGCTGAGCGGTAAGTGGAGTACCTATGCTCAGCATCAACAGCAGCAGCAAACGCAGCAGCATCAGACTGGCGCTTGGCAGCAGCAACAGCCCATGCAACAACAATACCAACAGCAACAACAACAGCAGACCGCGGGCCAACAACAATACTGGGGTTATAATCAGATGCAGGGTAGGTATTCAGAATATACAAGGTGTGTTCCAAAGTAAACAGGACTTTAAAAAAACAGAACAAATGGTTTTTTCGGCAAAATTAATTTATTTTATTCAAAATAGTCTCCTTCTGCTTCAATACAGCTTTTTGCACGATCCAAAAGCATGTCGACCTAGTGTTTTAGCTCGTTGGCCGGTATGGCCGCCAGTATGCTGTGCAAGAATGGCCTCTACGCCTGCATAACGCTTTCCTTTCATGGGCAAATGCAATGCAGTGGTTAATGGTTAAAATTTGATATTTGGTCAAATAATCGGTCACAAGCGTCGATCGATGAGAGCAATTTTTGGTCGTCAGTCAATTTGTGCGGAACAAACCGTGCACACACCTTTCGTAAGCCCAAATGTACAGTCAAAATGCGATAAATCGATGTTTTGGAGATGTTCAATTCCATTTCCATCAATTTCAATGATGATTTCGGATGATTTTAGATGAATTCACGCACAGTTTCGATGGAATTTTCGGTGATCACGAATTTTGATTGGCCCACATGTTGATCGTCATTTATGTCCCTCACGACCACTTTGAAAACGTTGAAACCACTCGAGCAGTTTGCTACTGGATAGGCAATCATCGCCATAAACTTGTTCCATCAATTGAAACGTTTCGGTAAAAGTTTTACCAATTTTAAAACAAAATTTAATGTTGGCTCTATTCGAAGCTCATTTTCGCACCGATAACACAAACATACTGACACTTAAAAACGCAATAAATTCTCACTGGACAATCGATAAAGATAGCAGATTCTAACGCACCAGTCGACATATAGATAGCGCCACCAGGGGGCGCTAGATTCAAGAAGGCCTGTTTACTTTGGAACGCACCTTGTATATACGGTTGTCGGTCTATGTTTATCTCACAACTCTCTACTTTTATAGGCTATGGCAACCAGCAAGCCTGGCAAGGTGCTGACCCGCAACAGCAACAACAGTGGATGTCGTGGTGGCCGGTAAGTAACAACTCAATCCTTCCTGCCTACATAGTTGGAACTTTCACTTATTTCCCGCTAAATTTCAGCAACAAGCAGGCGGCGCAGGAGGAGCCGCACCCGCGTCTGGCAGTGTCAGCGGAAGTGCAAATGCAGCTGCTGCTGCCTCTGTCAGTGCTAACAACGACGGCGGCGCCGCCAATCATTATTGGTCTCAATATTCATACTCCACACAGTCCAACGCCGGCGCTGAGAAAAAATAGAGAGACTATCTTTCGTTGCAAAGCTGGCAACTTTAGTTTTGCAAAAATGAACACATTTTACGTGGTAGTTAATAGTCTACATAAAAATAAAAAGAAACCGAACCGAACGTTACATAGTTTAGTTAAGCCAGTCTACGCATCTGAAAATGCAACCAACACACAAAAACACACACACACACTCTCTTTCTCATATACACCTCACTTTAAGTCTACAGAACCTTCATCCTTGCACCGACCTCTCTTTAAATTCCAAATCATCTACTTTCACAACTTTTATTGGCAAATGGCCTCTTTTTTAATTTTGAATTATGAAAAAGAAAAGCAAAACATTAATTGTCATTGGCTGCGTACGTAGCGAACTTTATTTACACTTTAAAAACTACGTATTTAGACGGTACAATTTGTTTTAACGATATATTATGATTATTGTTTTTAATTTTTGTACACTGGAAGACAAAACAAAAAAAAAAATCAATCTATACATTATAAATACATTTAAAACGGAACATTGTTTTTTTTTTCGCAAAAAAGAAAAGACATCTAAAAAATATATAAGACAAGAAAAAGCTGCAAATTCCTAAAATCAGAAGTAACCTAAGGTAATGGTACACTTGAGCAATCTTAACTTTGAAATGCCCTTGTAACCAACAAAAAAGGAAAACCGGAGCTGTATTATAACTTATTCAAAACGAAAGTAAGAAAGCAAAACGCTGATGCAGTTTAGCTGGCGGTGGTCCTGGCATGCGGTTGTGTCATTCATTTCTTAGGCTGATCAAATTTCAAATAAATACCCTCCGGTACAAGGAGCTAAGTAGTTTTAATGGCTGCGAGAGTGATCGGATCTGGTCGGTCTCAACTCTTACCTGCTTGTGACAATTACAATCAACACAATACCATGTTACAGAAGATGGAAGGGTAATAGGTAACAACAATTTAATTTTAAAACCATTTTTGTAAGTGTATGAAGTGGGGCCCAGACAACTGAGTTTTATGTTTGTTTTCGTTTACAATTTCAATAGGTTAGCATGGCCCTTGTTCAATGAGTTGGCAGCACGAATATTAGTCAGCTGTGGGGTGCGACAGCTTTGGCATGCGCACGCGGAATTGAGGCGTATTGTTTTAAACTAATAAAATATAAATAATCTAAATTAGACTCCTCTAGCAGTGTGTATAAATTTCAGTAGGTGTGGTCTGGAGCGCGGCCAACTTAAGACCTATTGTTTGGATTACATACATACATACATATGCACATGTATTTACATAGTGTGTTGTTTTAACGACAAATACACCAGGCGAGATAAGCGAACATTGGTGAATGACACATACCTAGGTGTAATTGCAATTGATTTTTCACAATCGCTGCTTCAAAATGGTTGCCATCCAACTGTTTAACGAAATCGGCAGTATATTCCTTAACGTAAGTTTTTCAGTTTTCTTTGGAAATCAGAATGATTAGTTCTGCTAACGTCTTTCAACAGACGCCCACATTTGCATTAGTTTTAGAAGCTTTGCTGCTGCTCTCCGTGATTTGGCTGGTGCTGCATAAGCGTGGCAGCGGACGCCGTCGATATACTAAGGAAGAGGAGGACTACTTGATTGAACAATATGAGCCGGAGCCCTTGGTTACCGAGACGGATCCAGGGCATCCGCTGCTGCGAAAGCGCCTTGTCCAGTCTAGGGTGGGCAAGCAAATTGTAGTCGATGGCCACGATTGCCTCAACTTAGGCTCTCACAACTATTTGGGCCTTTTGGAGGATGAAACAATATTGGAGGATGCCTGCAAGAGCTTACGGAAATACGGCGTTGGCTCTTGCGGGCCACGCGGATTCTATGGCACAATGGATGTCCATTTGGAATTGGAAGACCGCATTGCCAAGTTTATGGGACTGGAGGAAGCCATTGTGTATTCTTATGGCTTCTCCACCGTGGCCAGTGCCATTCCCGCCTATGCGAAGCGTGGCGATATTGTCTTTGTGTAAGTTACTTTACATGGGCAACTATCAGAATGAACAAATGCGATACGCTTTGCATTTTTATATTTGCAGCGATGAGTCTGTGAACTTTGCGATACAGAAGGGCTTGGATGCATCCCGAAGCACTATTATGTTTTTCAAACATAATGATGTCAACGACTTGGAACGCTTGTTGGCTGAGCAGGAAAAGCGTGATCAAAAGGTTCAACTTAACTGAAGAATTTTTCAAATGTTCAAAATTTATTTAAATGATCTTGTCGCAGAATCCAAAAAAAGCCGCGAAAACTCGTCGCTTTTTGGTTGTTGAAGGTATTTATTTGAATACCGGGGAAATATGCCCGCTGCCCGAGCTTGTAGAGTTGCGCAAGAAGTACAAGCTACGCATGTTTGTGGATGAAAGCGTATCTTTTGGCACTTTAGGCAAAACGGGTCATGGCGTCACAGAGCACTTCAATGTGGACGTGGGTTAAAAGGAAACACCGTATTTTTTATCCGATTAAAACATCTTTTTAATCTGCAGCTCGATGAAATCGACCTGATATCTGCCAGCATGGAGGGCGCTATGGCCACCATTGGTGGTTTTTGTGTTGGCTCACATTTCATCGCCGAGCATCAGCGGTTGTCTGGCTTAGGTTACATATTCTCGGCATCGTTACCACCCATGTTGGCACAGGCGGCGATTTCGGCATTGGACCGTTTTGAACGTGAACCAAAAATATTTGCGGAGCTACAGGAAAAAGCACGGTTGGTCCAGCAGAAGTTTGGGCTCTTCTCCAAATTAATTTTGCGTGGAAATGAACTGTCTCCTGTAAAGCATTTGTATTTGTCGCAGTCTTTGGGTGAGAACTTCGAGGCAGAGCGCAAGTTGCTTACTGAAGTAGCGGACAAGGTAGATTCGTTATTTTTTATTTGGATTTAGCTAAGTAACACGTTCACTTTGCAGTGCATTTCGCGGGGCGTGGCGGTTGTTGAGGCAGCTTACTTGCAGAACATTGAGCGGAAACCTGTGCGTCCCAGTCTACGGATTGCTGTTAGCCGTTTGCTGGACGAAGCAGACGTTGTCAGAGCCTATGACATTATTGAGAGCGTGTCCAATGAAGTGCTTTAAGCACAACTGAGAATATTATTCTTCTATGTATTCCTGTATTTGTGTTAATTTACTTGCGTTTTTTAGTCATAAGCACATTTACACTTACATTTCAGTATACATACATACATTGTTATTTATGTATTTTTGGAGTTAGATTTAGCAAAACTATTACGACTTTGCACATCAATAATAATGCTTTTAATAGTTAATATTAACATGAAATTTTGGTAAGCTTGAAAATATATTAAAACCGCCTCGCAGGATTGTTCATAAATTCGATAGAATATAGCACGAATTGTTTTTTCTCCATTTCGCTAACAGAATATTAAATAAAATTGGCATACGTTTATGTATCTTTTCCTGGTTTACTTTTTAATGTCGATGATAATGTTAGAATTTTCTGAAATTTGTTTAGCTTTTAGAGGACCCTCTCCTGTCCCGATCTTTCGGCCATATGCTTCAACCAGCCCCTTTCATCAGATTTATTTATGCTCTGCATTGGTTTTTGACTAAGAAAAGTAAACTTCTAAACAAGCAAATGGTACAAATTTATGTACTGTGTGCGAAATTAAACAATTATAAAAATACCATGGTTTGTTTAAACGTAATATTTTCCATTGTGCATGTTTTGACGGGTACAGGAAGTCAATAATACTTTACTTAGAACTTAATTAGCCCTCTTCATGCTCAGTTCAAAAATGTCAATTATTCATATTGTTGTTTATTTCACCCTCTCATCTTTTTTTGGCGCCGTCGTTATCAGCACATGATATGAAGCGGCAAAAACATGAAAACAATATTGTTTATATGCGCGAATGCGCGTGGAACGGCCAAATGGCGATAACAGCTGACGCCGATGAAAAAGCTTTGTAAAAAGCTTTTCTTGGCGCTGCAACCGCCGGCAGCTGCCATCCGCATCACAGTTGTTTGTCAACTTGCACGCGGCGCCGGCGGTAAGTGCAAGAGCTAATTCTAAAAGAGCTGCTAAAAATGGATGCCATGAAGGTGGAGGTTAAGGACATTGACAAGCTACTCGCAACCGATGGATATCTAAAACCCTTTGAGCGCGAAATACGACGCCGGTGAGTCTTAAACTATTTTCATTGTGTTTTCTTTTGGACCGCCGCCCTATACTCGTTATGGACCAAACCACCACCAAACCGTCTCCAACAGCATTTGTAGCTGATAAGCAAAAGATCAACATACTGATACTTGTAGTTGTGCAGCATGTTCCTATCAATTTAATACGAATGCATGGTTTAACATGCAATTCGAAAGTTGACAAAGTCAATTGAAGGTCAAATGGGTGTGCGGAAAAACTAATTATAATTTATGTATCTGTTAGCGATTGCTTTTTAAAAATTATGTGACAGATATGAAATTTCTGCCCCTCGCTTGGTAACAAAGATGACGGTGGTATAAATGTTTATTTGCGAGACCTAAAGAAGAGCGCATAATTGGTCGTGAGCGCCTAAGGAAAAAATCTTTAAGCACAAGTTTCTCATTGTGAGTGGTAGTTTCCGTTCAATAAAATGTTAGTCCGTGGGTCGTGACATCAACAACCTATTTCCATGTATGTATGTATTTATATATTTACATATGTAGGTATGTATGTACATATGTATGTATGTAAGGATTGATGAAATTTAAAATGTTAAAGTGTTTTACACAACCATAGTTTTTTGATGAATATATTTAATAAATAAATCATATAAATATATGGGAAAAATATGGAAATACATTTTTATATATTATGGTCATCTATTAAATATTAATTTATTCTGGCTTTCAGATATAAATTATTGTAATAAACTGTAACATTTGTATATTCTGTGGCTCCTTAAGATCTAGATCTATTATAGCGTTCGGGGCTTTTTACAATTAATATTAAATTAAGTTTTTGATCATAATATTCTTTGAATATTTTAACATTTAAATTCCACAAAATATCGATGTACATACTCATCTCTAATATTGCCGCCAATTTAAAGTCTTCAAGGTCATAGTAGTTTACGCATGTATTATTTATCTCGATTTTTGCAGACATGGGGTGCTTCAGGATTGGATTGGCAAAATCGACAAGTTGGAGGGCGGCATGGAGACCTTCTCGCAGGGCTACAAATACTACGGATTGCATTTTCAGCCGGATAATTCGGTAATAGCACGCGAGTGGGCGCCAGGAGCAAAGGATGTTTACCTAACGGGTGACTTTAGTAAGTATATTTTGCTAATCTGTATAGATTAAGTTTATACCATGTGGCGTCATTCTTACACAGACAACTGGCATTGGGAGTCGCACCCGTTCAAGAAACTGGACTTTGGAAAGTGGGAGCTGCATCTACCGGCTAATGAAGATGGCACCGCACCGATTAAGCATCTGAGCGAAATCAAAGTTATAATTCGAAATCAGTCTGGCCATTTGCTGGACCGCCTCTCACCCTGGGCCAAATACGTGCGTCAGCCACCCAAGGAAGCCAATCAGGGTGTCAACTACAAGCAATATGTTTGGCAGCCACCAGCTTCCGAACGCTATCAGTTTAAGCATGCGCGTCCGAAGCGTCCCAAGTCACTGCGGATATATGAGTGCCATGTGGGCATCGCCTCTCAGGAGCCGCGTGTCGGCAGCTATGACGAGTTCGCAGAGCGTATCGTGCCACGCATTAAGCGTCAAGGCTACAACTGCATACAGGTCATGGCTATAATGGAGCATGCTTATTATGCCAGCTTTGGCTATCAGGTGACCAGCTTCTATGCTGCGTCCAGTCGCTTCGGAAATCCTGAGCAGTTGAAACGTATGATCGATGCTGCACATGCCGCTGGTCTTTACGTGCTACTGGATGTGGTGCACTCACATGCCAGCAAGAATGTGCAGGACGGCTTGAATCAGTTTGATGGCACAAACAGCTGCTTCTTCCATGACGGCGCACGTGGCGAGCATTCGCTGTGGGACAGCCGTCTCTTCAACTATGTTGAGTACGAGGTGCTCAGATTTTTGCTTTCCAACTTGCGCTGGTGGCACGATGAATACAACTTCGATGGCTACCGCTTTGATGGCGTCACGTCCATGTTGTATCATTCGCGTGGTATTGGCGAGGGCTTCAGTGGCGACTACAATGAGTACTTTGGCCTGAATGTTGACACGGATGCACTCAATTACCTAGGCTTGGCTAATCACATGCTACACCAACTAGATTCCGAAGTTATTACCATTGCAGAGGTTAGTTGATGAAAACTGTAATCACCGCTTGAATCCGCTTTAAGGATTACAATCAAACTAAACCCAATCTGGAAGCTAATGTACATGCAAAAGAATTAGGTAAAGATTAAGGCCGACCAATGTGCATCATTTTTACAGCTAGTAACTGAACGGTCCAATGCAGGGATCGCAAATAATGATTTTTTGTTTTTTTTATAGCGAAAGAATCATTCACTTATAGTAACATTGAGAAACCGAACATTATACCAAAATCCTTAGGATTATCTACGAATATTCACCATGATTTAGATTCTAAATTTTAGAACATAAAATAATGATTATTCTTAAAATTTTATTTTTGAAATTTTACCTTTTTTATAGGGAATAAGGACAAAAGATATATATGTACATATGTCCTTCAACAATTACACATTTCATTCTTAAATGAAAATATTGTTTTAAGAATGTTTTTTTTTTTTAGCCCAAAACTGTATTATAGTAGTTCTTCTTGGCTCATTGTTGTGAAGTATAACTCGAAATTAATCATTGCGAGAATGAAAAAAATTATGTATTTTTCAAATAACCCTTTTAATGATTAGAGTCCCAATCCCAAATCTGATTTACCTACTTAGAGATATTAGAGAACCATTTTACTGCAGTACGAAACCCCCAAGCTGGTCGACTGTAATAGTCTGATCGGCATATTATCTGATTTTTGTACTAGTTGGCCCAGTATTTAGTTACACGTATTTTTGATCGACATACTTATTAACTCGTTTCTCGTGTTGCAGGATGTTTCTGGTATGCCCACACTTTGTCGGCCAGTTTCCGAAGGCGGTATTGGTTTTGACTATCGCCTTGGTATGGCTATACCGGACAAGTGGATTGAGTTACTGAAGGAGCACAAGGACGATGAGTGGAATATGGGAGATATTGTGCACACATTAACGAATCGACGTTGGATGGAAAACACTGTGGCTTATGCCGAGTCGCACGATCAGGCGCTGGTTGGCGACAAGACCATAGCCTTCTGGCTAATGGATAAGGAGATGTACACACACATGTCCACGGTGTCTGAGCCTTCGCTCATTATAGATCGTGGGCTTGCACTGCATAAGATGATACGTTTAATCACACACGCTTTAGGCGGCGAGGCCTACCTCAACTTTATGGGAAATGAGTTTGGACATCCCGAGTGGCTGGATTTTCCCCGTATTGGCAACAACGACTCTTATCACTATGCGCGTCGCCAGTGGAATTTGGTGGACGACGGGCTATTGAAGTACAAATATCTAAACGAATTCGATCGCGCCATGCATATGCTGGAGGAACGCTTTGGTTGGCTGCACTCGGGCCCTGCCTATGTCAGCTGGAAGCATGAGGGTGACAAGATTATTGCCTTTGAGCGCGCTGGTCTTGTATTTGTCTTCAATTTCCATCCCACCCAGAGTTTTACGGGTTATCGTGTGGGCACCAATTGGGCGGGTACTTACCAAGCCGTGCTTTCATCTGATGATCCACAATATGGTGGACACAATCGCATTGATGCCAATTGCAAGCACCCATCTAATCCCGAGGGCTATGCGGGACGCACGAATTTTATTGAGGTCTATGCCCCAGCTCGCACGGGCGTTGTCTATGCGCGGGTCAGCGATTAATATATAGGTAAGGGGCTACGATTTTTAAGCAAAGTTCGGAATTAATTGTACATAACTTGTTAAAGTTGCGATTCAGAAAACAATATTAAAATATATAATCTGAGATACATATATACATATACCATGTTTTGAGATTCTGAATTTGTTTGTTAAAATTAAGAATGTGTCATACCGATGTTTTGGATACTTGTCGGTTACGGAAGGTAACCATCGATTTGGTTGTACACCACAGTGGGGAGTGTATGTATATAGCGTAGAATCTGGACACATTTAACTAACGTTTCCAAGGGATTTTAAAATGGAAAGAGATAATACAATAATAAACGTAGATTGTTCGCAAAAAATTTACGCTTATTTCACTTTTCATTATTACAAACAATAAACTTAGATTTAATTTACGAAATTTTTACAAGATCAATCATTTTATCTTGATAATGATGTTATCAACTGCTTTCCGGAATCTCACTTTTTTTGGTTGAATATCTTGCTTGATAAGTGACCCGTCGCTATCAGCGGATACTTTGTCGTTATGCTGCTGCTAACCCACCTGGGACATCAACTTTTGAACATCTCGAACAGTAGACGCTGAAATTCGTTTTAAAATTTAAATGGAACGGCTTGATTAAAATAATGGTTTCAGTACTCTTCCAATAACTGTTTTGTACGTCCTTTCGATTTTGATACACATGTTCCTACATATTTCCCAAAACAACACAACATGGAAAAGGTAGTGGTAGAGAAATAAATTTATTTTGTCGTTTTTCAATTTGTAAGACTCTGGAAATGTGAGTTTATTCAGAGGATAGGTTCGCAGGAATAGACAATCATGGCAGTAGCGTGCTGGGAGTTACGGGTTCTCATCAAATTTAATAACCAATCTATCTCAAATAAGAAATAATACAAAATTTAGTTCCATGATTGTGCTCAGATTTGGGAGATACTTTGCAGTATTTGATTCAGATGTTCACAATAACATTGATGTTTAGTGACCTAACCCTAAGAACTATTTAGTGGGACGAGGAATTACGATGGATATAAAGTCCAGGGATAAAATTATCTTTTTAAATAAATATTGAAACCAACAGACCCGATTTGGATTCGGCACGTCAAACTGATCACATTTGTAGGTATATACCTAACATACCATTCTTCTGCATCTCATTAACGTACACTCCATAAACAATATATAGTAGCCTATTTTTAATTAAATGTAATATTTCAAAGTAGGTAACAGGAACAGCTGATTTTTCCGTTTTTTATGTAATTAAGTGCTAAAAAATGATTCGCCTGGTTTTGTAATCAATAATTATATATGCTTTATTTGCTTTCTTAGAATTTTTAAAATTTTATTTTATTGTTTTTAATAAATATATAATTTTTGTTGGTAGTTATTTATACATACGTATGCTAATAATGTCTCTTAATTAATTGCTTGATTCATCGCTTTTGTCTTAAACTAAATGTTTATCTTACAAAAAGTTTGACTCACTTTTTCATTCACGTTTATACATAAAACAAAAAAGTGCTTGTATCCTCTGTCTTCGATTGATGATGACATACTCGTATATTTGTATGCACGCAAGTAAGGTTAATAGTGTGTCTATAATATAAAGGCTTAAACTGCTTTGCTTAAGTAGTTGCTTGGTTGCTTTATGAAAAAATACTTTGCTTAACTATGTGCCGCTTAGAACAACTTAAGTCAGTGCTACGCTTTAATGCTTTTCATATATGTATTTATGTATGATAAATATTATTATGTGGTTTGTTTAGCAATCAACGCATATATAAATGGCATAACAAAATTGAAAATATCATATATACATATATATTATATATATATATATATTCATAGAAAAAATACAACACGTTAAACAATGATAAAAACTAGTGTTTTTTGCTGTATACAAAGTAACAAGCAGAATAAGTTATGGGTGGACTGACTTAGTTAGGAAATACGAAAATGCTAGATGAAATACATTAAATAAAATGGTTGCCAACAAGATTGCGTTGATTTTTGCTTTCTCATTTTCATTGTTATGCAAAGGAACAAAATCATATAGTAAGTTATTATCGTATTTAGTACATATTTAGCAATTAAGCGGAAATAATGTTACGAGTAGTGTGGTTTCAATACATAATGAAAAGTTAATTGCCATAGTTTTAATTAAGCTAGGTTCTATATCTTAACATTATTTTTGTCCTGCGCTGTACAAACTTTTGTTAACGGTGACAAAAAATTTAACTGGGTTCGGGTGTCTCTCGATAAACCATCGATTTTGCTTTTGCCTTCCACTTAACAATATGACTTATAGCTAACAATAAGTTAGTTCGTTTTTATGTTATTGTTTATATAAAATGTACATTTGATACTTTACAACACTTTTATTGCGGGTGTAGACAACGTTTGATTAGAAACTGCACACAACATTTGCAAAATTTGCATTCTTAATGAGTTACATATAAATTTTAGGTCAATAGAAAAATAAATGTTATGTGCAACAACAACGAAGTATGCACGGTAATGGTAATATTGAATTTATGAATTGTAAGTTAAACTTAACTTTCCTATGTTTCTTCATAAATGTTCAGTAAGACTTTTTAAGTTAGCAACGCTTTTCGGTGGCCAAATGTGACGATTTTTTTCTTGCCAGTTAAAAATAAATTGTTGCAGTATATAAAAACTCTACGATTTTAGGATGCAAGAAAGTTGCGTTGCTTTCCAACATGCCACATGTTGCAAGGCGGCCAACTTTGTGCTTCAATTAATTAATACGGTTAGAAGAAATAAGTGGTTGGCATAATGGTGGCATTGTTCAAAAATCGACCCAATTGGCCACCCATTAAACCCTACGCAGCGAAGAGCTGTGCGGCAGCCGCAGCTGCGGCTTGTTGTTGCTGCTGCTGCTGCTGCTGTTGTTGCTGTTGCGCCATTATAGGAATGGCAGTTCCGTCGGCAGTGAGCAGCAGCGTTTGTGTGGCTGGGGCTGTTGGCTGCGGTTGTGGAGCCGCAACCGTCTCGCCCAGCGCGGTCGCATTGCAGGGCCAATCGGGAAGCGCTATGAGTTGCTGATGGCCGGCCTTGCTGGGATGAGGCGCTGTGGTCGCTGCTATAATGCTGCCATCCGGTGATTGTAGTAATATCGTATTTGGTGGCAAATTAAAGCAGGTCACAGTGCCGTTGGGGGCCACCGTTTGCAATTGAAGTGCCGGTTGCTGCTGTGGTTGCTCCTGCTGTTGTTGCTGGGTTGGCAGTAACATGGTGGCTGATGCTGTTGTCATTGCGGTCGGGGCAGTGTTGCAGGTGTCATGGATGCCATCACTGTCGTTTTGTGCCACCAATTGCTCTTGAGGCTCCTCATCTTCGTCCTCCTCGATGATCTCCTCGACTAAATCATCCTCGTTGAGCTCTTCGATGATATCTTCCGTATTATCGGTAGCATCAATGTAGGTGGCTGCATCGACAGTGGCCGCACCCATGGCAGGTGGAGAGGGTGTGGGTGTGGGCATAGCTAAATAGTTGTTGTGCTGCTGCAGTTGCTCACTCTGCTTAGCTGTCAGCGCAGTGCCCTTCGGTATGCGGAACTTGCGCAGGATTTGGGCAGTTGTGGAAGAGAGTGCGTTCAATGCCGCCGCATCGTCATCTTCATTATCGACATCGTCCTCCTCATCATCAACGAACTGTTCTTCCAGTTGAGCTGCTTGCTGCTGCTGCTGCTGCTGCAAAATACTGGAGGCATCCTGCGTGATGATGACGGTGGTGCCATTAGGAGCGGCTGTGTTTGTCGAACGGCAGCGTCCAGTCGTGTTCGTTGCCGACGAGTTGACGCGCAGCAATGTAACCGCTGGCGGCGAAGATGCCACAGACTTATTGCCGATATTGCCATTCAGGATATGGGGCTTGCCGCTGCTGTTACTGTTGCCAGCGTTTCCACGCGTCAGCAGTATGACAGGTGCCTTCTTGTTGTTGCTGCTGTTGCTGCCGTTTGAGGTGGCGACTTTGAGGCCATTGGTGGTGTTCACACAGACGCTGGTGGTGCTTGCGGTGGTGTCGTTGCCACTGCTGTGTTTAAAATGGGAAGATGAGACAGCAAGGTTAGTGTGTGAGTCAGGCACGGTTATCGTTTGTTGTTTAAGTTTAACAAAGTCAGCGTATTTATCGACGAAACTGACCGCCCCGCTGGGTTTGCTGCCAGAGTCGCCGCGGCGTGCCAAGGCATTAGCCTCCTTGACAACAATCTCATCATGGTAAATTTTTTGTAGTAGCAACATGCTGTTGGCGTCGTTTTGATTATTGTTGCTGTTGCAAACATTGGTGTTGTTGCCAGTTGGCCGTCGTGGCAATTCATTATTACTGCTGAAGTTTTTGTTGTGCATGTTTTGTTTGTGGACGTTTGTTATGTTTGGACGTGGTGTGTAGGGCCTCTTGAACGTTATGTTGTTGTGTTTAGAAGAACCTGTTGTTGGTTTGATGCAGTTCACGTTTGTTGTTGTTGTTTTTGTTGATGTTGTTGTTGTGTGTATGTTTATGAATTTTGTGTGCAAATCATAAGAACACAAACATAAACAAACAACAGAAGCAAAAAATGTTGTTGGTAGCATTTTTTTTATGTGGTCGGTTGTGGGCCAAAGCAAAAGGTTTGGAAAAAAGAAAAATAAAAGAAAATGTTCATTAGCATTTTGTCGTTCTCTTATGCAAGGACTTCCTCTTTCGAATTAAGTGTTAGAATATTCAAATGAAGGTTAAGTTGTTATACATATCAGGAAATAAAACGTACACAAAACATATGAAATAAATTATCTTAATATTGATGTACATTAATTCAAATTGATGCATCATGATGTTTCCTTATACCTATGCAAATGATTAGAGTATGAGGCGCGTTTTTGTCAAAATTTTGTTGTGTTGTTGTTGTTGTTGTTAGTAAAAGTATGTGAATAGTTAGGTGTTAAGTAACATGGCATACGTACAAAGACATATGTATGTATGTACCGCATACAATCAAAATTTCAAAAAAAAAAAAAAATTTAAGAAATTTAAAATACAATCATTAAAAAAATGTACCAGCATAAAAATTATAATTGCACGTCAAAGATTCATTCTGCAGCTCAATAAGGATTTTAAAGTAAATGAAGATGCTGAATGAGACTGAGTTGATGGGCAAACTTAATGTAATGAGCCGGGTAAAATAAATATAAGCCAAATCGAAAGTAACATGTCAACTGAAAATGTCGTATAAAGAGAATAAAACGTACACATACCTTGCACTAAAAATCCATTTAAATTTATTATTTATATGTTATTCCCATTAAAAACAATTGAAATGAAAATGTCGCGTAAAGAGCCAATTTAAGAAAATATGCTTGTGGTTGTTGTGTTGCATGTGGCTGTTGTATGTTGTTGTGAGTAGCGTTCAGACGTTGATACACTGACCTCGATGATAATGACGATCTCATAACATTGGTGTTAGATGCGTCTGGTTTAGTGATGTGAGTAAGTGTTGATAGAGGTGTGTGATGATAATGAGTATTACAGGTATACGTTTATTAATTATAAACAAATATACATATATATATGTATGCATATACAATATTATGCATAGTATATTTAAAATGTCGTTCCATTCTGCGCCAAACTAACATTGAAAACGATTTCGATTTCCATTTGCGCTGTTTTATTGTGTTATGTAGCATGTTGTATGTTTTGCTTGGGCAACACCGAAACAGGATTTAATTGTTTTATGTATTTTATAGATATTTTAATTTTTGGTTCTTTGGCTGCTTTTCCCGTCGCGTTGCTCTTCAGAGCGCTAAAAGCACGGCTTCGGATATATCGTAGCTATAGTTTTTATATTGGGGTTTTTGTTGAGTTTTTGTGTTGATTGATCGGTTCGGTTTGGTTTGTGTACATAAAACAAAACAAGAGAAAAAAGAAAGAAAAAGAAAAAATTGCATTGAAGTAACGTATTGTAAAACAAATTATGTATTTTTTTGTTGCATTTTTTGCATAAAGAAACAAAAACACGTGAACTTTTAAAAAGCCCATTACATAGGGTTGTTAATAAAAGGAATAGAGTTGAGACATAAGATTGACGATATTTCAATACGTACAAAAGCAATGAGTGCACGAGCAAATCAAACGCCGAATAAGAAAAAAATATACTTATTTTCGTACAGATGTATACACAGTACTTGTAGTTGCAAGGAAATTAGAGAAATATCAAAAAAAGAGAAAGAACAAAATGCGATCATAATAAATGCACAAAATGAATACGTTAAAAAAGGCTCATAAGAACTAATCTAAATAATAAATAATAGAAATACAAATCTTTATAATCATTATTTAGTAAATTAAAATGCAGTTGACTACTATTTGTAAAATAATCAAATCATATATTGAGTCAAGATACTTAAATAATCTACTAAATGAAATGGTCATACATTTTAAACTAAATTGTTAATGTGTAAATTGATGTTTTATTTGGTGGTTACAAAGGCCTTGAAGTGTTTTTGTTGTTTGTTGGCGAGCAGCTTTGTTATATTTTATTTATATTTTGTAGCAGCAACAATAAAAACGGCGTTTCTCAACTCTACATTAGAAATTGAAATCGTAACGGAAAAGGAATAGGAATAGAAATAAAGAATATCAACTCTAGACGCATATTACCAGCAGCATGTTGCTGAACGCAGCAAACTACACAACAAATTTTTGAACTAGGCGCGTACATCAAATGAAACTAATAACTGAAAGTGAGAATATAGAAGAATACGATAAAGTAGAGAGAATAATAGCACGCTATTATAGAGATAAAGGAGAAAATAAGAGAGCATAGCATAGGCTGCAAGTGCAGAGCTTTACCTAATCTCTTTGGTTTCCAGCAGCGACGACGTGTTCACATCGTTCACCGCATTGATCATCGACGTGGGCGAGAAGGGCAGGTGGTACATGGAGGCGGCATCCAGCGCATAAGCATCGCTGCTCTTGATGAGCAGCTCGTTCTTCAGCTCCATGAATTGCTGATGCGGATTGTGGGCAAACTGTTGCTGCTGCTGCTGAAGCTGTTGCAGATGCGCCGACGACTGTTGCTGATGATGTTGCTGCTGCTGCTGGGTGTCCAGCGCATTCGCGTTCAATGTCTGTTGTGCACTCGCGTGCGTCGTAAACGTGTACTGAGGAGTGGCTGTGGCGCTCATCGAGTAGGGACACAAGTCACCCAACTCCGTCGCCTCAAGCTTAGGCTGGAAGCTTTGCAGGCCATCAGGCGTCAATATCTGATAGCTTTGCACGGTTCCGATGACATGCTGCTGCTGCTGTTGTTGCTGTTGCTGCTGTTCTGCGGCAGTTGGCAAGGCGGGCGTAGCAGCCGTCGTCGAGGTGAGATAGGCCACGTTGTCGAGCTCGTAGTGCGGCTGCTGTTGCTGAGCCTGCTGACTAGTAGGCACCTTAAGGACCTGTTGTTGCTGTTGCTGCTGCTGTTGCTGCACTACCAACTGCTGCTGAAGCTGCTGCTGTTGTTGCTGTTGGCTTGTCGTCTGATATGTGGCCGTTGTTGCCTGCGGTCGTTGTGGAGTCGTTGCGTAAATCGTCTGCGTGCCATCCAGCTGCAGAGGCACCAGGTTGCCCGCCTGATCCTGAATCATGATGCTCTGACCGTGCAGTTGTTGCTGTAGCAGGGCCTGCTGCAGTTCCAACTGGTTGGAATAAATGAGCGTAGTAGTGGGTTGCGCTGCCTGGGTACCACTGGGCGTGGTGGAACCGCGCTGTAGGGTCATAGTGCTACTGGCCCCCGGATTAGCCAATGCCAGTTGCGCTCCACCCGGTAGGATCATGCCGCTGAAGTCGAGGGAGGGCAGCGTCTGCAGCTGCTGAGGTTGTTGCTGTTGCTGTGGCGGCGTAACTGTCTGTTGCGTCGTCACCGGCACCACGTCAGAGTTTTGCACATCGTCCAGCACACGGTCGATTTGCGCCAGACGCTTTTTCGTGGCACTGGGCGTTGCAGGCGTAGTGCTGTCGCCCACCTTGGGTTTGCGTGAACGTGGTGTGCGGGAGGTACGTGAACGCTTGGCCCCCGGAGTGCCCGCTTCCGGCTTGTTTGGCGTTGTTTGTGTAGACACGGGCATGGGCACGTCACCGTGCTTGTCTTTCTTGTGCATTTTCATTTTGTCGGGACGTGAGAACTCTTTATTACAGATGGGACAGGCGAAGATCTTGCGGTTCTGACCCTCGTGAAAGAGATAGGCGTGCCGTTGGAAACTGTACTTGTTCTTAAACGTCTTAAAAATATCATTTTTGGCGCACACCAGGCAGTAGGCAACACCATCGATAATGTGTTCGTAGCGAGCAATGTCGAGACCACGCACGCTCATCTTCTCTAGGTACTCGCCCTGTTCGTCCTCGGCAATGACACGCGTCTTGCGTTTACGCTTCTGCTTGACAACGTTGCTGGCTGTCTTAGGCAGTATATTTGGCAGACCTGAGTTGTTTACCACATTGGACACAGTCTCGGTTATGGTCTGATCGTTAAGCTCATCATGAGTGGTCGTCGTTATCGTATACGTAGTTGTGCCGGGTACCGCCTGCTCCGCTTCTTCCTCCGCCTCGGTTTTGATCACCTGATACTCTTCATACTCTTGATCCTGATCCATGCTCTGCTCCTCGTACTTCACTTGAATGGCGTTGTCGTCGTCCGTGCTGCCATGCTGTGGCTCATATTTGATTATGTCCGCGGCCACGGCACTGCTGCCGTTGCTCAGACAGTCGCTACTGCCCGGCTCGCTCTTGAGCACGTGGTACTCCTCGTATGTATTCCCATCGAACTCAATAATGGTCCCATCGCTGTTGACTAGCGCCGTCGTGGTCGTGCTGTTTTGGGGCACGGGAGTGGCGGCCGTCGTCACTGAGGGCATGCCGCCGTTGTAGTTCTCAAACACTATGGTTGTTGGTGTCTGGCCATCCTCGCCGGTGGTGGTAATGTAGTGGTACTGGGGCTGTTGCTGGGCATGTGTGGTGATCGCATTCGCTCCGGTGTTCGGGTGCAGGATGGAGGACGAACTAATAGTTGTGACCACATTGTCTTTTGTTTATATTTTTTGAAAATACATATTCGGTTTGGTTCATAAAAGATGTGTTGAATGTAATATTTGCATAAATCAATAACTCAATTCGGAAATAATTCAATTCACTCAAAATAAGTTGAAATTAATGGAGTGCTAAATGATAAATTACGAGACGGAGTCATCGTCATAGCATTAAGAAACATACATATGTATAAATATATATATGTATGTATATGTTTCGCATATAATACTTATATAGAACGTGAGTGAATTGGTTCTTTGTTTGTTGGTAGAATTTGTGTTTACTAAGTTCTATATGTAATCATAAATACTTTTAGTTGCAATACATTTCAATTCAACGCTATAGAGATACAGGAAATAAGGCAGAAGAAATAAAAACAAATGGCAACATAATCTTGCAAGTTAACAAATAAAGTAAATGTATTAGATCTCAAGGGGAAATACTTTTAAAATTTAAAAACGTTCAGTGAACATGTTTCTGGTTTGTGTTGAAAACTTCACTATCGATTTAATGGAAATTTTACGGAAGATACCGGAAGATATCGAAAATATTGGATCACAGGATAAAGAACGAGAATGTAATTTGATTTCAAAGGGAAATATATATTATAAACCTTGTTTTAAGAAATTTTCTTTATGGATGATTCAGAAGAAATTGGTACCTTTTAAACTTTTCACTTTTCCAGTTTAATGTGATTGATACGGAGTCGTACGCTGTGCAAATTTGGACTCTTTTTGAGAGTAAAATGATTGATGATTTAGAAAGTAAAGAAATTAAATGGCAATCATAAAGAGGTAACTTTAAAACTTTTCATTTTTCCAGTTAAATTTGAACGATTGATACGGGGTCGTACGCTGTGCAAATTTGGACTCTTTTTGAGAGTAAGATGATTGACGATTTAGAAAGTAAGGAAATTAAATGGCAAACATGTAGAGCTGTCAAAATCCAAAAAACCAAGAAGCACTTAAAACATAAATTATTTTAAGACAACTTTAAACTTTCCTGCAAAGCCACTCGCAATATCATAAAAGTGGCAACGCTTCGGACTTAAAGTAAATTGGTAGCACTTTAAAACATTTTTCGTCCAGTGTTGATAACATCTCAATGATGTATTGGAAAAAGTTTCGGGTAAAACTTAAATATAATTTAACTAAAATTAAATTGCATTAACTAACTAAATCCAAACGCTAATTTAAACAAAATAAAATAAATTATTTGTTACAATAGTTTTGAGCCTTTTTCAACGCGCATTCCACGATTTTATTGGTTTGATTTACGCTTTTATTTTAGTTCATTGTTTTTGCTTAATACTTTGTGCATTTATTATTGTTGTTGTCAGCGAATATAAAATTTTTCATATGTGTACATATCCATATACAGAAAATAGAAAATATGCCATGTTAAAGTGTTATAATATTAAAATTGTAAAAAATGCATATAGTGTATAAAACTCAAAAGCATTTGTTATATAGAAAGTTTGATGGATTTGGTTTTGAAACACATAGAGCGTGGAAAATAGTTGAATGGATATAGCCTCGATGATACGGTATGTTTTTCGTTTTCGTTTTACATAACCAGGAATTTAACAGTTTTACAAAACACCGCAAATGGAAAACCAACACATTCAACTTATGACAGCATTAAACAATTTGTGAGATCTTTCAGTTTTTCAGCCCGTTTATGATTTGCTTTCTTGTAGCTAATTTGTTTATCGAAATGCAGATTGCGCAGAAAAATTTTGGCACAAAATGTTAAAAAAAAAAACTTAATTAATTGCAAATTCAAATAAATAATAAAAATTAGAAAGAAAAAAAAAACACAAATAGGTATACAAATGTGTGAGTAGATGAAATGAGTAATGAGTATACAAAGATGAAAATAATAAATAAATAAGGCGCACAAATTTCAATCATACGAATTTGAATCATTGGTGCGTTCGTTTTATTAATGGATAACTAATAAAATAATAATAACGTTGCAATGTGAATAGTAGCAGTAACAGAACATAGCTTGATACCATTATACAAAGACTACGAACAACAAACAAATATATGTATATTAGTACATTAAATGGGAAATCTTACCGGTAACTGTTGCAGTGCTTGTGGCGACATTTTGTTGTTGCTGTTGCTGATGTGTGGGACTGGCTGTTGCTTGATATGTGGCCGTAGCCGAGCTGGCCTGTCCATTGGCATCACAGAGTATTTCACTTTGCAGCTGAAAGACGTTGCCATCGGTGGTCATGTTGTTGTTGTTGCAACCGCCGTATTGTTGTTGCGACGCTGGAGATGGCGCTTGATGCTGCTGTTGTTGTTGTTGCTGTTGTTGAGGAATGCCATTTAGTGTGGTGGCCGCTGGCAACATTGTGGTATAGACAAATTGCTGCTGCTTCTGTTCTTGACTAGAGGATGTGGCCAATGGGGGTGGCGTTGTTGCTGATGCCGATATTGTTGCTATATTGCTTTGTTGACTTAGTTTTGGTATTTTGCCTTCAAATTTGCGTGGCTGTTGCATGAATTGCAGCTGTTGCTGCTGTTCGTTGATTCTGCGTTTGGCATCTGTAAAAAGGTTGACGATGTTTGTATTATTCAGAATTAAAAATATTATGTGTTGATTGGTTTGATGAGAATGTGTTAAAAACACAACACACACACACAAACAGACGGATATGAAGAGAAATGGGAAGGTAAGTGGAGGCAAACAAGTAATGGCAAAATCAAAGTGAGAAACATGCCCCAGGCCAACGGAACCAGCAACGGAATACCAAAGCAAGACCTTTATATGTTTAGTAAAACAGATTTTTTTATAGTTTGTTCTGATTAGAATTTTAGCATGGTTTTAAAAGCGTGCTTATATATTTTCTCCTCTATAATTAAAACACAATTGGACACAGTTCAAAATACTTATGATAGATGAATTTACTAAACATATAAAAGTTAGACGATGACACAACTTTTAGCGGCTGTGGGATGTAAGTGGAGCGCAGACAGAAAGAGCAGTGACAGGATGACAAGTGGAATGCGAGTGTGCCTGCGTGTAAAGTTCGAAATTTTGGTGATTCAATGCTGTGTGGGAGAGTTTAGCTGGGAAATGATTAGATGGTAGGCATGCTGTATATTGTTAGTTTGCTAGTGTTTCTAGTTTAGTTGGTTGTGCAAATTGATGCGGTTGTATTAGCAGTTGTTGTTGTTGCTCTTGTTCATGATCATGTTCGTGTTTTTGATGTTGCTGCTGCTGCTGCTGCTGTGTTTTGTTGCCACCAAGCTCACCTCCGCCGCCGCTCTTAACGCTCGCTGTTGTGTTCAATTCTGATTCTTCTGCTGCCACTTTCGCTAATGCTGTAGAAGTTGTAGATGTTGTTATTGCTGCAGCTCCAGAAGTTGATGTTGGTGATGCGGCTGCTGCTGCTGTTGCCGATGCTAGTGGGGAATTTCTACTACTGTTTGCTTTGCTATCCTTTTTTCGCCTAGTGGGAGTTTTGCGTGGCGTACTACCGCCTACTTTGCCAGCCCCTCGCGCACCCCGTCCTCCACGAGAAGTGGATGATGTGGATGAGGCCGGTGAAATGGAACGATCGTCTTTGGCTCGCGGACTGCGACCACGACTGCTGTTCCTTGAGTGAGTGCGTCGTTTGCTAGCCAGCCAATCATCATCATAGTCGGCATCGTATCTGCGCTTTTGTTTGCGTCGCTTGAAATCCTCCTCCTCATCATCGTCTTCTGTGAGGAAGAGAGAAATATAGAGGGAAAAGAGGCAAGGGTAAGAGATGAAAACTAATTGACTAAAGGTTCCCACCCACCTGTTCCGTCGTCAATGTACTCTAACAATTCCTGTCGTGTCTTCAAATCTGCCGGACTCTGCAAACTCATGGCATCCTCGTTTTGATATTCGTTCTCCCCCTCGAGTTCGCTGGCATCGAGCGTCAAAGCGCTCTCCTTCAGCATGGCCTTGACATCGTCAGGCACATTAGGATTCTGTTGTATTTCATCCAAATCGAGATCGGGATTGCGTTCTTTGAAACTTTTCGCCTTTGTAGGATTGCATTGTTTCTTCATTCTTTGAAAAGAATATTAAAATACATTAGAATAAGTTGTGTGAGTTGGGAGTCAGGCATCGGAACCCACTTTTTATCGCATAGCAGGACATCCAGGTGCGGGGGTAGAGGTGCCGGTGTGGGCACGCCATTGGGCGGATCCTCTGGATGCTTGCCCACATCGCGACCCTCCAGCCAGGACTCATACCGTTCGCTCTGAAAACGCTTTACAAATGTGTCCATTGAGATTTTGACCATGTCATTGCTGCAGGTACATTGCGTTGCACGCTTCCCGTACTCAATCCAGCGTTCCATGGCAAAGTTTGTTGATTCGGCGCAATTGAAGCCATGATTGAAGCCCGCATGATAGCCAAATGGAAATGTGATCATTATTTCACCTGATTCTTGAGTGATCTATGGACAAAATCAAGTATTTATTGCTTTATGGATGGAAAGTAAGTAGTAGGACAATAGTACCTTGCTAACCGGCACATCGTGCTGTTTGAGTATTTGCGGGGATATGAGCGTCATCTTATGTCGCAAATATGCATTGCAATTCTTGTAGCTAGCCGGAAAATACTGATTGGCCACCTTCTCTAGTTTACGTCCGTACTCTGGGGGTACCACGTACCACGTCTTGGGCGCACCAAAGTGCAAATAGTTAATCGAATACAGGTCCATGTCCTCAGTATGCCAAGCAAATGTCGTTTTCCACATGCCAAAATACAAATAGGCTGTATTCACTCCATCAATTTGTATATTATAGTCTTTATTCACAAAGTCAAGTATGGTGCCCAGTCGATTGATGTTCCAACTCTGTGAATGGTAGCACAATAATAACAACATCATCATCATCATCTGAGAACACCTAGCGCCAATTCTACTTACATCCTGATCAGGATCTGTGATGCTACCACTCACATCGGCCCCATATATGGGAGCCACATATGTGATATTCTTCCAGTATTTGCGCTCCAAGTCTTCATAGTCGAAGTGCTTGGGTGTGGCATAGCGTTCGGTGCTAGCAAGCTCGCCGAACTGCTTCACTGTCAGTGGTTTCTTTTGTATGTTGATCTGTTGATAGTAACCTTGCTTGCCGGTCACCACTTGGCAGATAGGAGCCGGTATGGTTACATTAAGTGCATCGAGATCGCTGTAGCCACTTTTGCGGGGCACCCACTCCGGTGGTGGGACCACCTTGGCCAGGCCCGCTTTGTGGGCACCCTGAGACTCCATGTAGGCTATGTACTTGGGAAAGTCTTTGAACTCCTCCCAGGTGGGCCGGAATACCATAATGCGCGGTATGTCAGACATTTTGCAGTGTGATGTTTGTTTCATTGAATGCTTTCTGCTAGCTACGAGCTGCGAGTGTGTGTTTATATTTTTGAGAGTGCTGTAAAATATCTGTGGAAAGCAGAGGAGCTATTAAAAAAGCAAGAAATGCTAACGCATTCTTCAATTTCATTAATCCAGTCACAGATGCAAGCCTGTTTGCCCGCCAGCCGTCTATCTGTCTGTCCACCCGTCCGCCTGTCCGCCAGTCTGCTTGCCTCAGACAACTATTAAGCATTAGGCATCAGCCAACAACAGTTGTCAGGGCAGCACGCGCGATCGCTCACAAAGGCGCACAGGCACTGCAAGGAACAGCTGCAATTTTTGAAGCGCCTTTTTCAATGGGCCCTCGCTCTGTTGCCTTTCTTCTTCGGGTAGGAGCGGCAGCGACTGCGACTGCGACGACGATGGGTACGGTAACAGCAGGCAGAGGCAGTGGCATAGGCGGAGGCAGCAGTCTATCGACAAACTACAAATAGCCTGGCAGGATATGCGGCTCTAGTTGTTGTAATTTTTGTATACGAGTATATGCAGCAGGCATTTTTACGGCTGTTCACTGCTGTTGGAATTGAGGCGGGGAAAATATAATTATGGTGCATTAATCTTACATTTATAACCATATTTATATTTGTTTCATATCATACAAATAACATAAAAATATTTAAATACCCAGCTGAAAAGTTAAAAAGGTTTGCATTTTTTAATGAACTTTAATGCTGAAAGAGGATTTATTTTATTAATTTTAAATCTTTAGGTATAGATTTTGAACAGACATAACGCATGGGGATGCGTGGATTAATGGGTTTTATATTAAATGTTTTTTTTTACCAATATGTTACCAATTAATATGCCTCAAAAATACTTGGTCCAGAAACTGATCTTACGCATAATATGAATTAAACCACAATTTGATAAATGTAGAGCAGGATTTAAAAACAAACTTTAGGTCAGAATTCCAGAAACGTTAAAAAAATAATATTTGAGTTCTTAACCCATATTTTTGTTTTTATTTTGCATTAAGATGTAAAATATATTATATTCCTTAATATACTAATAGAGTTTTATGAAAGAGAAAGGTCAAGTATATGGGCTCCAATACTTCTTAAATCATTTTTAAAATACTATCTAATCATTAGCTTTGACCCAATTAAATAAAATGAATTGTTCCGATATAACATTGAAAATATTTAATGGAACAAATAAGGGCTTGGTGTTCTCTGCTCTGTATTCTGAAAGATACATTGCTTGTGGGTTCATTTGAAGGGCCTATAATATTATTTCAATGCCTGATAAAGGCAGTAAATTTAGTTACCTCCCCACCCAACCCAATGACACAAAAAATCGAGACAAAAATGGCGCAGACAAACGAAAATTGTTAAGCGTCCAATAAGACCACACAAACCTTTACAACTTTTACATGAGCAGCAACAATATCAAGAAAATTGCCGATTAACAAATCCAATTAAAAGCACATAATAACTATTAGCGACGAACGTGCAGGAAAATTTACGCAATTTTGGATACGCAGAAAACTGTACCACCAAACGGCGACGACGATTGATGACGATGACGAGGACGACAGCAGCAGTAGCAGCAGCAGAAGCGAAGGCAGAAGGAGCAGCAGCAGCAGCAACGACAACGAAAACGACGACAGGAGAAACAACGAGTGGGAAAAGTAACGACTAAAAGGACAAACAGTATGATGTGCGCTCCATAAATGCACGCAACGAGTAACGAGTAACAAACAGAAAATGAGAGAGAAGAGACGGCCAAAAGGGGCTGAGTGGCATTTGATGCGGAGTTTGTGTGTGTGTGTGTGTGTGTGTGTGTGTGTATGTTTGCGTGTGTGAATAGGAAATTTTATAACTCACTTGTATGTGTATGTGACGGCGGCGACTGCTGCGACAGCGGTGTTTGATTTTCTTTTAAATCCAAAAATTTGGCAAATGTTCCAATATCTACTATATGGAGTAATGCATAAGTGATCTGTTTATAACTCCAGCTCCAGTATGACTCGACTGTTGTTGTTGTATAGATATAGATTCTTGAATTTGTTGGCTTTGCAGTTTATTGCACATATTTTATAGCAATTTTATAATTCACTCTTGATTTCTTGGCTATGGTTGTTTTCCAGTAACTATTTTCTTTATTCTACTTTTTCATTTATTATAAGTTAGCCTTTTTATGTGCTACACTGTTTGGGTTTTCTTTTATGTATTTGCACAATTGCACAATTTGGTGTTGTTGTTGGTGTTGATGTGGCTATTGGTTTTTATAATTTCTTGCACATTTTTTATTCAATTTTATTTTTTGCAATCTATTGTATTTTTGCTGTTTCTTTAAATAAAACACTTTGCTAAGCAATTGATGATTGTTGTCCTGCAACATTTGCCCGAAACTCAATGGCGTCGTTGTCCTGCTTCTTTACAAATATACATATCCACATATACAAGCACATATATATTTTCCAGTCATTTGGGGGTACCCTCAATCCAACTGATACACTAGGCTAGACACAATCACGGGACGCGTGGCACACACAACATGCCTGTCTGAGCGGCGAGCATAAACTAAACCTAAGCCGAATTATTCGTTAGGCGCTGCTGAAGGCGGCGGCAGCGGCGACGTCAACGGTGGCAGCGACAACGAACAGCGAGCAGCGAATGGCGAACGTTGCCGAAGGCAGTGACGAACAGAACATACACTCACACACAGGCAACCAAACGAAATACATGCACGTACATGAATGTACGTATAAGGAAGGACATACACATTTGAACGCAGAGAGCGTTGTCCTTTTAATGCGAACGCTTTGGCCGAAACATAATGTTAAAGAAAAACTGGTGTAGAGCGCAAAAACAAGTTTGGCAGGATGAACGTGGAAAATGCAGAAAAGCAGAAAAGCGACAGCAGTTGTTTCAAACAGAGGCTACCCAACAACAGCAACAACAATAACAATACAATTCATTGTTGGCATTGCCAAAAACGAGACACAGCGAATGATGCACAAAGCATCAATTTGCAATGCTCCGAGCTCTATGCGAATGCAGCCGCCAATGCAACCCCGCCTCCTTTCTCTATATATATGTATACACGTACATATAAATATAGTATTCGGTTTTACTAGCGTTCCACTATATATTATGGCGTACGCAATAGAAAGTCCTAATGATTTTATTTTATCTAGACCTGCACGCATATGCGCGCAAGGATTCAACATTGGATTAGTTGTAATTATGCAGTGTAATCGCTGTGCATAGATTATTTCCCTTTTAATCTAGGATGTGGCTTGGGTAGATTTGTGCACTACAGCTGAAAACCCTCAGTTGCAGGTATCGCAACATTTAAGCGATCTATATCGGCACTGTATGCACCTATAATCTCTCCTCCTCATCAACCATTTGATTCAAGACTCATGCCTTAGATGATAGTATGGTTTTATATTGAAGGAAGTACTTGTATATTTGTTTTTTCCATTAAAGTAGAGCAGATCAGTCCTTTCAAGGTTTAGGAAACTGTATTCAGAGATTGATGATCGGTTATGCACCATCTTTTATGTCCGTATGTAGATATTGAATAACTTTGTCATTAGTGAACCGATTGACTTGAGTAGACCAGTGTTGAAAACCTCAGTTCAAGAAATTGTACAGAACCAAATTAAATAAAAATATCTCATACTTGAAAATCGGTTGTTTATTTTCAAAGGTATGCAATGTTTACATACCGACATAAAAGATGGCGCACCCTGTATACTTCCCAATCATTCTTAACTTCAGACTTGGCAGATATCGCCCATAATTATATATTTTACAAGTAATATAGTATACTTCCTGGGGCACACGATTTTTATACTCTGTACATGAACTGAAAAATGTAACAGGCAGAAGGAGGCATTGCAGACCCCACAAGGTATATATATTCTTGATCAGCATGACAAGATGAGCGATCTATGCCTGTCTGCCCGTCCGTCGGTCCGTATGAACACCTGGATCTCAGAGACTATAAGAGCTAGAGACACAAATTTTTGCACAAAGATGTTCCAAAGATAATTCCCCCCCACCCTTCACCACTATGTGGGATTTCCCGATTTTCTATTCGTATAATCAGAGACTATAAGAGCTAGGGACACCAAATTATAGTCCCAGATGCCTTATGTGAATACACAGAAAATTTGTATTTTGGAATTGCCCTCCACCCCCCCTCTCCCACGAAATCACTGATTTTCCGTAACTCCCGTATTTTTTGGGAAGTTTTGCTCTATTATCTATCTATCTTTGAAGAGTTCAAATTGAATACTCAATATAAATTCGATATTCAATTTCAATATTTACACTTTATTTCGGTTGTTTCTTCTATTCCGTTGTTTCTTCTATTCTAATGATGGAACTAAATTTAAGGGACTTAGGATGAACTGATATTTATGATAAAAGCTCACCACGAATAGAAATCTGAAAGCTATGCTTTGCAACGACAACACTTCAAAAATTTGATTTCAGCCAATTTTGCTTACAGGAACTATTCCTTCCATTATAGTTGCCAAGCTTTGTTATATATAAAAAACATCTTTACAAACGTCATTAGAAAATGCCTCAAATACTTCGTATAGATTGGAAGCTCGATTCATTTAAAGTGCCACTGAATTGTATCCTAAAAGAGTCGGAATATTAGGCAAGAGAAGAGTACGAAATTGAAGTATGTATAAATACTCTTTCATATTCTCAGGATAGATACCAATTTTATTAACTCTAGTCATTTGAAGGTAAAGTTTGTTACAAAACAATTATTTAGCACTTCGATCAGTACACAATGTCAGTGTATAAGCAGTGGATTAACATTGTTAAAGCCAAGTCTCTTCATAACGAAAAAAGAAAACAAGGCCCACAATTGAAGCTAACACGCACACTGTAAAAGGGAAGGAAAGAGAACCAAACTAATTACATGAAAAAACGAAATGCAGCAGAAATATAATTTACAACATGTCATTAACTAGCAACGCTTGTGGAACGAGGCGAACAATACACGAGTCGGCTGCCGGGCAGGATCAAAGCGTGACAGGACAGCGAGCAACTGCA